GTCTTCGCGGCGAGGAGAATGAAGGGTTATACCGCGTGCGCATCGTCGAGAAACGAATGCCTGGACTTGAACCACTCTCTCCTCTGGGACCTGTATGCACCGCACGTGTATACGAGTGCAACAATTGCCCCTACACGTGCATGACACGTAACCATATGCAGTATCACGTACGGAAACACACTGGCGAACAACCATATCAATGTGGTGTGTGTGGTCACCGCTTCAGCGTGCGAAGTAACCTGCTGAGACACATCCGGACATTGCATAGGGACCAGCTTGCGCCTTCGTTTTCTACCCAACCCTGCGAGTGAGGCTTTCGGTCTCCTTGGTACACCAAGGATCTGCCTGCCGTGTGCGAGTTGTCATTGTTTTGTGGCTATGCAGACGTTTTATGACCAGTGCTCATGTTTCCAGTCTGCTGCTTACGTCTCACATTGATGCATTTCGACTTGTGTCTCATAGGGGTGCATTCAATGCGTACATGTTTTACGCACAGTATAAGAGTTGTTCGAACAGCTGTGCACTAATGTTATGAATAGAGAACCGTTGTTTTCGGCTGTGAAGCTGCATTTTTGGCAATTGTTGAGCTGTTGTTAAAAACTCATGCCATTTGTTCGAAATTACATTACGTTAGTACATTCTGCGGCGAATTGTACTAATTACTATTGATATCATTGACAGAGCAATACTTGAGAACTAGATCAGTATATTAATGTTACAATCCCCATTTATATGGTGCAGTTTTTGGTGCTCCTGGCATTCAGGTGGATGTACGTTGGTTTTTTCAGCTTAATTGTCTACTTGCGTTGTTTTACATCTTCAGAATAGTGTTTGATTTTCTTCGGATTTATAACATTCATCGAATCCAATATGTTATTTTTTACCTTCAAGGCTCATAAATAGCCTCTTTTGATTGGAAAGGACATTTCAGGTAGTAGCTAAGTGTTCTAAAATAGGATAATCGGGTTGAATTCTAGAAATTTTCAGAATTTTTTTGATTTTTGATGCTTCCTCTGCGACGCCCTGATGCTCTGCTAGGTCGAACAGTTCTTACTTTCTCCAATAAATCACTTGAAGTCGGTATGCTTTCATTTCCTTGAATTGTTGAAATGCGATCAAACTGAGGTTTAACTTCAATGACCTTATTTTTAAGCTGGACTGAAGTTTCGTGGGATCTTGCAACATCGCGATTACTTTTTTTTCTTCTGACCGTCGTGCTTACAGGATTCATGGTACTCATCAGGCATCGAAACAATTCTTTACTATAATACTCAAGATACCTGATATTTTCTAACCTTCAGTTCGACTGGAAATGAAATCCTTGGTCTTTGTTCTTAATTCACTTTCTTGGCTTCAACCAACTTATCGAGTTTTCTTTAGACACCACTTTTCAAATTCCCGCGAAAGCCGCTTTCGACATGTATGTATAATGGCGCACATGTTGAATACTATTGCGAATGCTGTGCAGGGCGTGCAGGGTGTTTTGACCTAAGTTGTGTTGCGTGCAGGTGGGCACACATGTTGCACATTATTGCGAATGCTGTGCTGGGCGTGCAGGGTGTTTTGACCTAAGTTGTGTTGCGTGCAGGTGGGCACACATGTTGCACATTATTGCGAATGTTGTGCAGGGCGTGCAGGGTGTTTTGACCTAAGTTGTGTTGCGTGCAGGTGTTGCATCCCGACGACCAGTGTGAGCTACCGATCTCCGAGTTCAGCAAGATAACGTCTGCCACGGCTGCTTGGCGTCACAATTTACTACCTCATCAGCTTAGCTCGGAAACTGGCCAAGCTACTAAGAAAATCTCAATGCCGATGAATTGTCCTGTTTGTCCGTACAGTACATTATGCGGGAGCCACATGAAGCGACATCTTCGTACTCACAGCGGCGAACGCCCATTTGCATGCACTGTTTGTGCCTACCGGGCAACGCAGCCTGAAAGTTTGCGGATCCACATGCGCACTCATACGGGCGAAAGGCCCTTCTCCTGCCCTCACTGCTCCTACCGCTCTACTGTGAAGCACAACCTTCAGCGTCACGTGGCTACGCATACCCAACACCAGCAAAATACTTAGTGATGACATTCTAGTGTCATACGGATTCGTCTTGAATACGGATGCATTTTTACCAAAGTTAACTTCATTGATATTGGTTTTGAAGTTCAATCAACCAGTTATTGTAACAATTAATTCTGCATTATTTTTACCTTACTGATCGGTTAGTGTATGGAAACAGATGTTCAATCTTATACCTCCAGTCCTTCCTAGTTTGGTTAGATTATTGTGATCGCTACGCTTTTACTTTAGTTTCTCTTAGTGTTGGTCTGTTGATTGTGGCTGCGTGTTTTCCTTGAGCTCTACACAATCCTCGCAGGCGGTTATATCTCGTTGAAATTGCCATGTATGGTCTCCAATCTATCGCATTGCACGCAACGGCTACACTTTTGCGCTCGTTTGGAATTAGCTAAGGCTGTTCTTTTTCATACCTTGACAGCCGATGCAAGGTTAAAAAATCCTTAAAAGCTGTCTGGTTGATGGGTAACTCTGTGCTCTTGTCAACAGGTTGGTTCTTATCCTCATCTTGCCGTGACCACTTGTCATTCGTCTGAGTTTGAAGTTATCTCCGACACGCAGAGCTTTGAAGCGGCATCCAAATCTGCGTTGTCTTCGAGCGAGAAGGAGGAATCAGCTGGGGGAAGTACTTCGAGATACAACCACCTTGGACCGCATCGTTGCCCACTGTGTGACTACAAAGCCAAGACCATGACACACTTACAAAACCATCTCGCCGCTCACACTCACGAAGGCTTTGCGTGTCAACGCTGTTCCTACCGAACTCTCAACAAGTATCATCTGTCGGATCATATGAAGATTCACGAGCCCCGTAAGGTCTTCAAATGCGCCATGTGCCGTTACACCACGACTCGTAAAAACAACCTACACCGGCACCAAATGATCCATGGAGTGGCCATACCTCGCCTTGATGGCGCTAGCTAATTACTATTGGATCGGAGGCATCGTTGAGGGGCTTGAAGCGGGTCAAAGCGTCACAGAAAACCTGAATTCAGTTCACTAATAATAAGCACTTATCTTCAAGACTCGGTATTGAAGGACCAAGAAAATAACCACATTCATATGAGGAATGTGCGAAGATAAAATTAATTTATGCCCTATTACTACGCTCTCTTTACTTGGTTGGCGGTCGTAAACCTGCTACTATCTATAAATCTGCGTAAATGGCGAAATATTAAATATTATCTGACATGCGTTTGCGCAGCATATCACAGTTATCCGTTCAATGTTAAATTATTACAGTGTGTCAAGATACTTTCGTGTTTCTGACGTTAGTAGGCGGTGCCCTTTTTTTACTCGATGTAACTCTTCCAGAGGAGGCCGTTCAACTGCACTAGTGGGAGTGCATGTTAGATGTTTACGTACCTACGCGTATACTGGTTTGATCTGACGCGAGTTCTTGTTTACAGGGAAATATGTCGCAGCAGCAGGGACTTCACTCACTCTTAACCTGCAATTCATCGTCCAGAAACTCGCTTGTAGCAGTGATGCCTCCTCCACCCCGCTCACTGCAACACAAAGATCCGTCGCTGGAGTTCCTCATGTCTTTCTCCAGCGGCTCGTCCGCTTCTGCTGGAGAAAGTTCTCAAGCTTCGTCCTCCTGCACTTCGTTCCGCACTTCCAACTTCGAGTTTTCGACGGCGCCAAATTTGTCACCTCGACAGCAGATGTCTGAAGCAGGGAAGGAGCATGCAAAGCAGATGCATCGTTGCAGCTTCTGCCCATATGTCTCCCCTCTGCTTGGGAATCTCAAAACTCACCTGCGCCGCCATACCGGCGAGAAGCCATTCTCTTGCACCTTCTGCCATTACAGATCTACTACCAAGAACAATCTCATGCGCCACAAAATGAGCGTGCACATTGATCTCATGGACCAGCAATCAACGAACAACATCAGTGGCATGGAGTCTGCAACAAATAATCCCACGTAGCACCAGCGTTGCCAAATGACGTCATCAGAAACAACTTCATGTATTTAAATTTCAAGTCAGGATTCATAGTGTGCGTCGTGTCTATGGAGCTCAATATTTCATTTTATGTGCGTCTCTTTCGACAACCCAATTCGCTTATAGGATGAATAGTTTCATTGATACCTATAATGTTGATTCAAATGTTAAGAAGTGTCTACTTTACCTCTGATTGTTATTTCAGTCAAATTTCGGGCTAAGGAAAATAATCGCTGTCTGCAACAATTCATTATTTAAGTGTGGAGCTATGTAAGTTTTTGGTTTCAATCGGAAACCAATGTGAAGTATTTGTAGAAAGTTTTAGGTTTCTAGTGATAGTTCATTGTGAATACTCAGCTCAAAGTTATCTGTAACGGAATAAAAAAATTGAAATTATTACACCCTGTATTTCTTACCTAATCTCGGTATTAGTCGTACGTCCAATGTCGTGATTTTGTATAGTGGATACGAGTGCTTGGTTTTAAATTTGTTCTCGTGTTGCAAAGCAATGCTTCAGGGCTTGTTTTACAGGTTAACTGTCTGGTTTATGGCGTGTTACAGGTGGATGGACCTCAAGCCATTTGTGATGACAATTCTTCCCAGCGAGGCGTGATTGCCATGGTTGGTCATCCCTCTGCTTGCCGGCAGTTGCCACGCCCTGCAGGAGATTCCCGAGGAAGTTCTCCGTCACCAGCACCTTTGTCAAACTTTGATAAATGCCTCGCGATACTTATGCCTTCAAGTCACGCCTCATCTTCGGCCTTGCTAACCTCATCCAAGCCGTCACTCCTCGGCTCTGAATTACGTCAGGACGCTCAGAACTCTGGATCTGTTGGAACCGACAAAGGTTTCATTCGTGACTCGGTGGAGATCCAATCTACTACTGGCGTTAGCAAGATAGTTGCCGTTTACCGCTGCAAGAGTTGCACGTACAGCTGCGGCAGTGCTGAAAATATGCGCAAGCACACCCGTGTCCATAGCGGGGAGAAGCCATTCGCTTGCCCCATGTGCTCGTACCGTGCATCGCAGCGCGGCAACCTCAAGCGCCATATCCGCCTGCATGATCCGCTTACGCAGTGACAGTAGCACTGCCAACTCATGCGTATGGTTATTTACTTTTATTAAACGTATCATTGAATAATGTAAAACATTGTTTTGAAGCGTTCTACGCACTAAGAAAAATTATTCTTCTCTTGATGATGTACTTATACAGGAGTCATGATGGGGCATTTTATGTTCTCGAAGTTGTGTCACTAGTCCTAGCTTCCATGATAAATCTTGTGTAGCCGCGAGGTTGGAGCTTCGCTTTTTCTGTGTTTATTACTATTCCGACTATCGGATAAGATTTTAGCACTTTATAGATGCAACTGGGGTTAAATTCGCGATGAGCGTCGAAAGTTGAACTCGCAATCAAAATGACAGAAAATCTGTATTGGTGCTGGGCGTGATTATTCGATGCATTATTTTGGAACAATGTCGTCAGTGTCCAGAGAAATTATCTGTTCAGGGTTTGGCTATTAATAGCGAGTATTTATTTCTAAAATATAATTAGTCTTGTTAATTCAGCCCTAATTATTGACTTTCATTGATCAGCTCGGAGTCCACGATGGGTCTTCAGCAACATCACGGGCAGCCTGGCACAGATCAGCGTCGCTTCCGTTGGGCGTCCTGGCAGGAGGAATGCCTAAATTCAATTCTGCAAGTTTACCAATTGTTCCTAGACCTAAAAAGTCTATTATTAGCGACAGCTCTGAGGCAAAATCATTTGTCTGCACATTTTGCTCCTACCAAACTAATGTAAAGACAAATTTTCGAGTGCATCTGCGCACCCATACAGGCGAGAAACCCTACGAGTGTCCATACCCTCAATGCACATACCGGTCGTCCCACAAGTCAAACCTTAAACCTCACATGCTAAGGCATCAAGCTCAGTCACCTACAAACATGCGTTACAATCTCAGCACAAACGTAGACGCAACTCTCGACTACAGCCTTGCTGCTCAATCATTGATGGACATCAATTCATCTCAGCCCTCGAAAACCTCGCAAGTTTATACCTCTTGCACTTCTTCTTATGTTACAGCTGGGCCTCCTGGAGTCCCGTATGAAGGCGACCAACTCTACAGTATATTTGCTTCGTCTTCTGATGCTTCGAATATTTTGTCTAAAGCATGCCTTCCTGCTGATGTTCCATCCCAGTCATTCCAGTTATCTGCAACTGTCGGAACTTCATCTTCAGTGGCCACTGAATCAGTGGGCGAACCCATTTGTTTGTTGGGGACGTCTCCAACACAGCCTGAATATTCTAATTACTCGGAATCTCAAGAAAAGTCCGAATAAGAGAAACTCTTTTAAATTCCATTGACGTCTCTACCATGACGGATGTGAATCACATTGATTTCAACATCCAGAAGTCATGCAATGCCAATGCGTCAAACTTATCACGTTCTGAAGTCAACTTATACTACAAAGCTAACTGTTCTCCGTTCATTTTCGTACCGGTCGCACAATCTAACGGTCACTATTTCATGTGTGGCAAAAGAGATCTAAGTCATTCAGTATTCTTACTACCCTGCTTCAACATGAGAGGTCTAGATTCCTGTAGTAGATTGTTATTGCAGCATTTATTTAGACCCATTAGTGTGTACTCGATTCCTAGCATCACTATGGTTTTTTGTTGAATTTTCAGTGTGTAACAAAGCAAAATATGTAGAGTATACATTTTATGAAACTCTTTGAAAGCTCTGTTACTCCATGACTGATTAACCGAGTTGTAACTGCAGTTTTTATATTGCTTTTCTACCTCTCATTCGTTACGCTTATGATACCTACGAGGCATTTTTCTTCGATTACAGGTATATTTGAGTGCCCTTGCCATGTATTTTTTAAATTTTTTTCATTCATTTAATTCAAGAATATGATATTTATGCGATGTAAGATAACGCTCTAGCGACTAGAGATGAACTTTTTATGGTGTGTGTAAGTAGAGTTCTACATAACTTCGTAATCGCTTTATCCTACACAACTGTAATACACAGCTGTAAACTCGGATCGTATTTGTGAAGCCAACGTAGATGTCTCCCAATCTACTCTCTTACTTACTTTGGTTCCGAAAATGCAGATTTTTCCTTTAATTTTCTTATAATATGTCATTGTTTGAACGTCGTTGGCTTTTATTTACATTTGCAATTTCGTTATCATATGCAAAACCAATGAATGAAAATATTTTACGTTTGAGTCATTATGAATTGAGTGTGCATTAGTTTCTCGTAAATAGTGTTTTCATGAGGCCTGTATCAGACAATACTTGTACAGCAATCCTATGTGAACCGCGTTTCATGAGCATTGTTATTGAGAGTGCCACCACAAGCTAGTGTTACCGCATAAAGGATCTCACTTGCGTTTTTTTCTGGATTCGTAGGTATGATACCGTGTACCTTGCTTTTCTGTCTCTCATGCGGGTGGCCGATGTCTCTTGTACGCGTAGCTTTTTTCTGTTTCGGTCCTCAATTCCTCCCAAATTTTCGCCTCTCTGAGATGGTAACGATGCTTCCTGCTCAGTTGCTTCAGTGCGCTGTCGGTTTCTGACTTTCCAACATCACTTGTAGATGATGTTGGTGCAGGAAATTTGCTATGCTGACTTTAGTTGGGAATAATATCTTTTGACTTGCGCTATGAGATGGATTCGTAGGTGAAAGTCTAGTAAGCCAAGTAAACTACCACTAGTGTTAGGATGCATTGTCGATCTTAAATAGATTTGACTGACCTAAGAAATTTGCAATCGATCCCTTACTAAATTTGGTAATTGTGGAGAGATTCTATGAAAATTTATTATTCATTCAAGATGAAATCTAATATAGACAGTTACTAGACACGATTGCGTCTTACCGGGCTTTTTTTGGCAGTAGAGCTCCCGGTTGTCTAGCTTGTACACGATCTGATAGCCGGCACCTAGCTCGATGACTGGGTGCTGGCTACTACGCTGCAATGAAGACCCCTCACACTCACTGAGATTCCTCTATGATTGACTGTATATAAAATTGGATAGATTATATTAATTATCGGTAAGGTTACTATTCGTTCTTTCACGAGAATAGGCTAGAAATGCAGCACCAGAGTTGATATTCTAGCGCTAAACAGGTACGGAAAGTTGTCTCAACAAGTTAAAATTCTCGGTAGAGTTGTTATTAGGTAATGTAGGATCGAGCTGAAACAGTTTTCACTGCATAACATTCAGCGCAACCTCAAAGATAATATTATTCAGATATCATCAGATTTAACAAGGAGCTTTGCTGGGCATTAGTCAAAAATCGAAAATGTTTCTTATTTGTGCGTGAAAAATTAAAATGCCTGAAGAAATATTTGTGTAACGATCGTGAGTTGTAGTTTTCGATACCAGCAACCTGGAGGTGCATCAAACTCCTACCAAGCATTCGTGTTTGATACAGAAGCAAGTTCAAATCTTTCTTACTGTAGCTTTGTTCACTGTGGAGTTATCTGGAACGACACTTTTTGACCACAGTTGCATATAGTCGTCATTTTGAGCGGCGGGGATAAGGAGTTTAATAAGGAGGCGCAGAGTTTGGAGCATAAGGAGGCGTAAAGTTTGGAACAAATCACCAGGCTCATTTTCACTTCAACAAATTGCAAATGTGGAAACACATACCAGCGCCCGGTTGTGAAGCTCCTTAGAGCATATCCCATCAGAATGTTGTGGAGCGGCCTCGAACGCTTGTCTCCATGACGTGGGGTGCTTCTCGTCGACAGATGCTCAGAATATATGTGGCCTTTATAAGAAGTGAGATGGATGAAATGGAGTATGGCTCCACACTTGTATGGGACATTCCAAAGTCTTATTGAACCACCTAGAAACAGTGCAAAATTTTGCTCTCCGGTACATCCAGAGAGCACGCCTGTTTTGATTTTATCATCTGAGAAACTCATATCGCACAATTGTCTTCAAGATACAGAAGTTGATGCGAGTCAAGGGACTTAACTGAATGGCGATTTGCTGAATTAGAGGCCATAGTGGCATCACGTGGAAATGAGGTGGCTGAGAGGGTTGCAAATATGGCACATTCTGACAACTGTTCAGCAAGATCTCAGCTGCGACTTCGGTTCCATGAAGTCTTTCGCCGTTCAAGAATGGGCACGCCTGAAAGCGACCAGTTGCCGCGAGAAAGGGGCTGGCTAAAATATCATATTACAAAGACTACAAGCTCGAGGGTAGCGACTGGCCGAGCTTCGAGCAGATCAAGGATTTCTCATGATGGTCGCGCAAAACTTGCTCTCAGACTTTGCTGCATTCTGACTACCAGCCTTAATTAAGCGATTGTAGAATCGCACGGTTATTGCCAGAGGAAAGCTGAACATGTCAGTAAAAAAAAAGTTCCTTACGTTACGGAGAAAGAATACCAAATCCCTGTCAACAAAAGAAGAAGACTAGAAAAACATGTCGACGTTTCTAGCAAGGGAACTCAATGAAGGATTTTGTTAAATTATTTTCGCACGAATTAGTTTAAAATTGTAAAATAGTGCTTACTTTGCTTAAGCAAGTGCCGATTAATAATAATAATAATAATAGTGGTTTCAGCGTTTATTAGGCCGTAGGCCTGTTGCCGATTCTTAACATCACAGAACATTCACAGCTTGATGCGGTCTTGAACTCACAACTCACTGCTCCAATTTTTGCTTAACCGCCCGGCCTCCTTGCCGATCAGAAACTGGCGCACAGAGCTGGGATCGAACCCGCGCCTCTCTGCGCCAATCTGAACTTTTAACCACTGGGCCACCCTGCCGACAATATAGCAACCATTTTAAAAATATATCTCAGTACTCACTGCAGTGAGTGACAGAGAGCGCATTTTCTCGTCGACGAAAACTTGAGGTCACGGACAGACAGACGGACGGACGGACATGGCGAGCACAATAGTGCATTTTTTCCATAAATGAGAAAATGCTCTAAAAAGCGGAAAAAGCACGTTTCTTGAGAATATCTATGTGCCTCTGACGAATAAACTATTAAATGCTGATAAGTTTATTATAAAAAATCAAAATTAGATCGAATCATTGCCCCTTTTTCAAAACGCAAATGATTCTTCCGGCTTTAGGGTAATATCTGACACGTGATTTAATTTACTCCAAAAAGCGTCACATCATTACATCGTCGTGGTAAAAAAACGGCAATGTGCACTGCGCGCGAAGTCACCGAAGTGCTGTCCTGTCAGTCACGTGTACCTTTGAAAATTTGTGCCAATAAACAATTTGAATGCATGATGTGTAATCAAACTTCATCATTACTTTTGAAACAGGTAATTTTTATAAAAAAAAACTAATGATAAGGTATACAAGTTACTTTTAAGCTAATATAAGAGACCGAGATGGCCAAACATCAGCGTACAACCTACAACGAACGAACCAGATCAGCCGCTATACATTTTTTTTCTACTTTTTTCTTTTTCTCTCTTCTTCTTTTTGCCACACAATTCCTACTACACACAGCAATCCCCCAATTGTGGCCTTTTCCTGTGTCTGTGTGTGTCATTATTGTATAAAACAGTCTTGCATTAATTTTACCTAGCCAAATAACCCTAACCAAACTGAACACAGCCTGACATATCCTAACCTGTTGTAACCTAACCTGTCCTAACCCAACCAGGGCCAACCTAACCTGTCCTAACTAGCTAGCTATCTTGAAGTTGAAACTATAAGTAGCACTGTAGCAGAACTCTTGATTATGCAGAAGGCTACTGCCCTACGCCTACAGGAAAAGGTAACTGTGGTTAAGTATCAGAGTATGTTACTTACCGGAAGGCGGAAGCTACCTGTAAATATTACAAGATGGAGATGGAATGATTATGATTAGAACATGATCATCATTTGCATAATGAAGAAAACACAGCATTGAGATGCAGCTGGAGCTGACTATCTTTAAATCTAAAAGTAATCAGTAATTTCAGTATTTAGGCATGTGTTTTTTATAATAGGCATGTGTTTTTTATAAAAAATTTATTCTCTTTTAAATTACTGGCATGACAATCTTACAAAGTTACAACTTCACACACATATATAGATATATTTGATTAGGTACCGTCCATAGTGACAAAGCACAGATTTTTTAGAATCAGTTCATTTTTCATTCCCTCATTTACTCACAATTTAAACCAATTTCTTTTGGATGATAATGCAGGTATCCAGGATACTTAACTGGTCTACATATAGGACTCAAAAATGAACTTGAGGGAGAGTCTAAAAAACTCTGCTTTGCCACTATGGTACCGTCATGCCGTCATGGGGGTAAAAAGGGATGGTTTTGAGCGTTTTTTGTTCATAACTTCTTACCATGAAACATTTCAGAAACAAGTTTAGGCTCATTTTATAGGTATACTAGCTCTTTGCAGTTTGCAAGCACTATCCACTATCAAATGGCATCTTCAAAAAAATTCCATATGCTATTCGTAAGGTGCCAGACGCAAAATAAAACCGTCCCGAATTATCCCTGGGAACGTGGTAATCCAGGACACTTGCAATAAAAGTTAATTTTAAAACTTTTGAAGCATGCTGAGTGTACTCCTCTATTACTAACAGTACTCTGAAGTCCTCCTCTTCCATTGTAGATGTAAAATAAATGACATTTTCTGTGATTTTTACTTGTTTTTCCTTTTTTGATATGATATTACCACATTCATTAATTACCGTATTATTGATGTGATATTACCATATCCATGAACATGCCATTGAGCATTTACAACAACCTTGTCCACTGCAAGCTTCATATCAGCAGCCATGTAGCATTTCTTCTGTATCTGTAAGCTTACAAAATGGCTTGTAATTTCACACCATTTTAATTGGGTTAAGTGAATTCACTATAAAAGAAAAATTGTAAAAAAACATACTTGAAACAGAAAAGAATGTTTTAGTCACAACCATCTTATGTTTTGGAGAAATAAATCATAGTTTAGGACTTTAGGTCAGTTACTCTTCATTCTATGTATGATGCCCGGTGCAGTCGGGTGCACAATTCTATATATAGCATTCTATGTACAATTTTGTAACGACCGATGATAAGTGAATTTTTTTTGCTGAGCAAGGTAAATGTAATCAAACTTCTTTGTTGTTAATCAATTTTTTCGTTAACTGGAGCCTTTGCTAACTGAGGTTCTACTGTAAATGCATTTTTAAGGGTGTCCCTAATTACCCCGAGGGGGTGTCCCTTTTTACCCTGTTGCGTGGAAATCGCTTCCATTTTTTTGTGGAATGAAATAGGCAAATTCTGTCAATTACTTTTTCAAGCCAACACCTGGGTGCAACTTTTATGTAAGTAAAATTTTTTAATACGGCTAATATTTTTTTTTTGCTCCAGACCTTAGCAGAGGTACTTTTCCAAAATTGCACTTTTCACTTTTTTTCAGTGATTTTTTTTAGAGATAGTAAATGTTTGATTTCTTGACTAGCTTTATACATAATAGATAGTAAAAATGTTGAAGTTTATGCCACTATTTTTTGTTTTGCTATATTTTGATTAGTTTAGCTGCTACTACATTTCTACGAAATGTAGGATGCGCATCCCGATTTACCCCGCCCATCCCTTTTTGCCCCGTTTAACGGTATGTATTCCTATTAAGTATGATACTGCCAGTTTCAAGTTTCACCAGTTTTCATGTGTGTGCTGTGTGCAATATGCATTGTGCAATAGTAGTAGCCTAGTTGGTACTTGGGTACTTACAAGTCAGGAAAAGTTTTTTTTTCTGAAATTTTGCAGCTACAGGGTGCATACTGGTCATGGAAAACCTGGAAAGTCATGAAATTTGAATTTTCATTTTCCATGCCTGGAAAGTTGTTGGATTTTATTTCAGGTCATGGAAAGTCATGGAACAAAAGGCATTTTGATTTCCCTCAATAAGGTTGATGTTGGTTACATGGCCAGGACTGCAATAAAAAAACAGCTTGCAGACAGGAATGCAAGTGCAATGCAAGTTCTCACTTTCAAGACACAAATGCGGGACTTCATGCAGGCTGTAACCCAGAAGCTACTTGATGCGAGCGCTATCACTCTATCAGTATCAGTCATCAGGTACAGGCATATGGCCTTGGTACTTGGTAGGAACCTGAGATGGCTGGTGCCACCAAAAGTCTTCATCAAGAAGGACTGTAAGGAAGCTGACAAGACACAGTTGAAGAACAGTCTCATTTTGCTTGTTGATGCCAAGAGATTCCCTAATACAGATGTAGATGGTGTTGTGCAGAGAGATGTGCAACTTTAGAGATGAATTGTAACATTGCAGTAAACTAAATGCACAGTTTCAAGCATTTTCAACTTCTGATCGACTGGACACTTTTTGGCATGCCATTCTGTCAAAGAGCTTCTACAAGGTCTGGAATGTATAGTGCAGATGCTCATGCTCCTGTCTCATGGCCAAGCCACGGTTGAAAGAGGGTTTATGTTCAACAAGGAAATCATGATGCACAACATGGAAGAGCCAAGGGTGGTTGCCCTGTGTGCTGTGGTTGACCATGTTGCACATGTTGGTGGCCTGGACAAGATGACCATCACCAAGAAGATGTTGCTTGCAGCTGGCAGTGTCAAAACAGCCTACAATAATTATTTGGCAGAAGAGAAAGAGCAGAATGCAAAGGCCCAGAAAACCCAGAAGAGGAAGGCTTTGTTGGTGAGCTAGATGAAATGAAGAAGAAGAAAAGGCATATGGAGGAGGGCATCAAGGTGCTTGGGCAAGCAGCAAATGAATATGCAGAAGCATCGGAAAGAAAAGGGGAGTTTAAAATTATTGCAAGGTTCAATGCCATGAGGCAATCTTTGGAAACAAAGCTAGACACTCTTGAACTGAACATTAAAGAAAAAGTTGATATAAAATAGCTTCCAGTTGAATGTTAAGGTAGTGGTGTTGAAGAGTGTTCTGAACTGTATTGATATTATCATGTACAATCTTGTGTGCATTACTCAATATTTATTGTGATATGACACTATTGAATTCATAATAATACCTGTGTGGGCTTGATTTTCAGACTGTGTCATTTTTGTTCCTCTGTGGCTGCCTGCTCTATGCATTTACACATTTGTTATTTATCAACTGTAGGCAACTAGGCAATGATAGAATATGCACGGTTAGTCTTTCAGTCATGCTAAACCTGTCATATACAGTATTGTGCAAATTAGTTTGGACAGTGGTTGAAATAACAATTATTTGCCCCATTGAAGTTTTATTAAAAAAACATGCCAATAGGACAAAATATGATATAATCAATAGGAAATATGACCTCCTTTTGCTTTTACAAGCATTTGAACACAATTTGGCATGGATTTTACCATAGTTGAACACATTTTAGTCTTTTGCTCATCATGATACCAGGTCCTAATTACAGCACTTATTAGCTTTGCCATTGTCAGACAGTCTTCTTTCAGGAGTCTTTGTTTGATTATAGCGCATAAGTTTTCAATGGGATTAATGTCCAGAGAATTTTCAGGCCAGTTTAAAATCTCCAGTCCACTTTCTTCAAAGAATGTGCGCGTATTACATGCAGTATATATATATATGGCATGGTGCATGATCCTGCTGAAAAATGCCATCTCCATCAGGAAAGTCCCTTGTCATACTAGGAAGCAAATGAGTCTCCAAAATAGCCTTCTATTTAACACTATTCATCATTCCCTCTACGCTACTGAGTCATCATTGGCTTTTAGCACTAAAACTACCCCAAAACATGTTCATAAGCAGATGTTTGAGAGATGGCATTTTTCAGCAGGATCATGCACCATGCCATATATATACTGCATGTAATACGCGCACATTCTTTGAAGAAAATGGACTGGAGATTTTAGACTGGCCTGGAAATTCTCCAGACATCAATCCCATTGAAAACTTATGTGCTATAATCAAACAAAGACTCCTGAAAGAAGACTGTTTGACAATGGCAAAGCTAATAAGTGCTGTAATTAGGACCTGGTATCATGATGAGCAAGTGACTAAAATGTGTTCAACTTTGGTCAAATCCATGCCAAATTGTGTTCAAATGCTTGTAAAAGCAAAAATAGGTCATATCTCCTATTAATTATATCATATTTTGTATCATTGGCATGTTTTTTTTTTAAAAACTTCAATGAGACAAATAATTGTGCTATTGCAACCACTGTTCAAACTAATTTGCACAATACTGTATGAGTCTTGGAAAATTATATTGATGATCATGGAGAGTCATGGAAAAGACATGGAATTTTTTTTCTTAGTAACAGTATGCACCTTGCAGCTATAATATTGTATAATTTCAACAGGTATAAAATCTCGTTGCTCTAATGTCATGTATTTTTATTAGATGGAAAAAAATGGTGGATAGCACTTGGCAAACATGTCATTTCATAAAATTTTCAACCTCCATAATCTGCAGTACTTTGATGCTCCCACCAGTGCCAAAATATCCTGCAGAATGCAGGCATGGAATATATCTTCTTGGTGAGACTGAGCCACAACTTTATTTTTCAAGACTTGGTTTTATGGATTTGCCAGCCATGATTCCATTTCTTTGAGCTGTGAATTCCATATCTCAGCCATCATTAGCCATGAAGAGCCATTTACAAACCACAAACTTATTTACAAAGTCCTGTGCACGTGTTACCCCAAATCTTTAACACGTTGACTCCGAAGTGGTACATATCTGTACCACGAGGTATATTGCTCCAGGACAGAGTGGTACATATGTATACCATTTCAATTATTTCAGCACATTATTTCAAAAAAAGATTTTAACATTCAAGTTAAGAAGTTAGTCACATTATATTTTTTACCGGTAATAGGAAGGATAGGGTCAATGAAAAAACGTAACAAATCTCAAATGCGCGTATTTTTAATAGCACAGATTTGAAACAAATACGGCATTCTGTCACAGCCTTAAATTCCAGTTTATCACATAAAGTGAGCGATAATAATTAAAATGAATAGAAATATGGAATACCAGCCATATTTCCTTTATCAGTTGATGATTTGCTCCAACTTCTAGACATTTTCATGTTTTTCTATTTTTTATTAGTTTCTAGACTATACCACAGAGCCGTGGTACAATAGTGTTACACTTTGTTTGTCGCATGGTTTTTGCGGCTGCAGTACGTTGTGGTACACATATGTCCCACATGTTTTCTCTCACCAACATGTCCCGTCTAATGCATATAGAGCTATGCACCTCCTTTCACTGCGGTGGCAAGTGTCAAACTAACTTGAGAAAGGAAATTTGTCACCGTCTGCTAGGGAAGTTTGGCATATGACCAATTAGAGTCAACGTGTTAATTTTACCCTGAAAATGGTCAAACATCAATAATGACATTTGTCTTTAGTCTTTACTTTAGTCACTTTAGTGGCAACTGAACAAGTGATTATACTGTCTGACCGCTCTTCAATGAAACGTTTTGGGTTGACTCAGTATTACGTTCTGCCAGAACATTCTGGTGGGGTAAATCAAGACAGTTCTATGTCATCGTGTAAAAATGTTATAGCAGCAAAACTGATTGAAATATTGCAAAACTAACAATAGTGGCATAAACTTCAACATTTTTCTAATCTATGTAGCATAAAGGAAGTTAAGAAATCATACATTTATTAGCTCTAAAAAATCCCTGAAAAATGTTTAAAACTGATATTTTGGAAAAGTACTTCTGCTAAGGTCTGTAGTAAAAAAAGTTGTCATGTTAAAAAATTTTGCTAAAAAACTTGCAGAGACAGGTATTGGCTTTAAAACTTTATTGACACAATTTGCGTACCTCAATCCAAAACAAATCGGCGGCCATTTCAGCAAGACCGTCTATTATGGGGAACCCCCCCCCCCAGGGTAATATGGGACACCCCTAAAAATGCATTTACAGTAGAACTTTGGTTAGCAAAGCTCTGGTAAAAAAAAAGTGGTTAATGACAAAGAATTTTGATTAAATTTATTTATTTTGTTGAAAAAATTTCACTTGATGAAAAATTAATGCTTCATTGGTCATCACAAAATTGTGTATAGAATCTCCTAGATAGAATTATGCACCAGGCAACATAGAATGAAAAGTAATTAACTGAAACTATGACTTATTTTTCCAAAAAATATGATGGTTGTCACTAAAATATTCCTTTCTGTTGCAAGTATTATAATTAATTGCAAATAATTATAATTAATTTTAAAGTTTCTAGATGGAAAATCCATAGTCATACTACAGACTTACAGAGCAATATACACATGCACTGACATGGGGATGAGGGTGAAAAGAGGAAATAGCTTCAAGATAAAAGGGGGGGGGGAAGGCATATTGTGTGTTGACGCACTCAGCACTTGTCTTCAATAGTTGTGGAGGTTTTGTCATAACTTTCAGGCATTTCTTGTTAAACTCCATGTGAGAACCCAAACAAACTAGATTCATTTCACACCATTTTATAAAGTAAAAAAATCAGTGGTAAACAATTGTGATTAGTTATTCTTTGCAAATGCACATGAATTTGTATGTGCCCGTAAACACATTGTACGAGCTTTGTACGTACTTCATACATAAGTCCCCAAACCACAGCTGCCCATGAACTCCACACATCTGCAGCATTTTGGGGAGAGAGGGTATCTAGCTGGGGAATATCAAGCCTCAACCATTTTCAGCTTTTCCTTGAATCATAACCTTCAAATAATTCATGCACAAATCAATTCATGTATGTTAAACTATTATTCAAAATTGGAGAAATTGATTTGATAATAAACATATTTCTGAGTTTACGTCTGCAAATCTCACCACAGCTTGGGGGTGAGGGAAGGGGATTCCAAGCTTGGGAGTTGCTGTGAACCTGTTGTTTTGCAGGTCTCTGCTTGTCTGATTTATGACTGCATTCTTTAAACCAAATAGGTGTGAACTGCATACAAATAGGTGTGAACTAACCTTAACCCTAAGAGGATTGTTAAATGAGCTTGATCATGCCCTGAAACTAACCCCAGCAGTTTGTGTAAGTTACCCTAAGAATAATAATTTATTAAATCATGCATTACAGTCCTCCTTTGTTTTTATTAAAAAAATGTGCACCACCCAGTCCTTTCTCAGTCATTTCATCTTGATAATCAAAATGTGCATTTCGCCATGTGAAACATGTTGGAAATGCAAATTCCTGCCTGATACAGCACTTCATATCCACTTTTAAACTCAGATATGTCACTTGGTGGCACTCACAAAAGTGTTGTGTAAGAATTCCATACAAAAACTTGGATTTAAAAAATTTTTGATGCTTGAAAACCATTTACTGAGTATGAGTAGTTGCAGATGTAACAATATTGGAATATTTTATTGAGAGAAAATTGGGTGTTGTACAACTATGATCATACATTTGATTACACTGAAAATCTCACATCTCAAACAGCTAGAGTGCAAGCATCTAAAAAAAATATCCTTATTTTTCCCCAGAACTTTTGAAAATTAGACTTAGCACTTTGAAATTTTTCCTAACCTTGAAGCTGTTTTCAACTAAAATGTTGAATTAAATGGACGTTCAATTATGCAAAGTTTGAAAAAACCTACTTATTCTCAAAGAACTTAATGTATTGAAAAAAAGCATTAAAAACTTTTCCTGAGTGCACTAGGTGTTTAAAAATAATGCATACCTAGAGAGTTGGATATTTTAAAATTATGATAATTGTTTTTAAATTCCATTACAGGATTCCATTGAGAAGATTTAGAAGAGCTTGAGTCCAGTGCAGCACTTTGATATGGCTCCAGACCTGTTACATATTCGTATAAAAGACCACCAAACTTCTCTGCATTCGTCTTTTTTGCATCTCTTCTCCAGCCAGGACAGCAAGGTTTGTAGATGCTCATCTAAGGTTAAAGAATTCATTGTGTGTTCCAAGTTTACTTTGTACTCTGGGCTTGGCATCAAAGTTAGGTTATTGGCAAGTGAAATCTACTTGGGAAGATAAATAATTGGTTTAAAAGTGGTCAATACTTAACTTTGTACTTGCACATCAGCTAATTCAAGTACTAATATTTATTCTGAAATTCATTTGCTGTTCAATTTTATGCCTAATATTCAGGGGTTAGACAAAATAAAGGAAATGCCTGAGAAATCCCAAAATACATTTTATTAAGGTGTAGGTCCACATTTTGCAGCAATTTCAGCCTCAATTCTCTCTGAGGCATTGATTCATATAAATTGCAAATTTTTTCCAAAGGAATTTTAATCCATTCTTCAGTTAAAACTCCCTCCAGCTCTTTCAAATACAATGGCTGCAGGAATCAACTTCTGACTTGCATGTCTAGAATCGACCATAAATTCTTGATAATATTCAGGTCTGGTGGTTGTGGTGGCCAAATGAGATGCTCAACGTCATTAGAATGTTCCTCGTGCCATTTTTTAACAATTCCTGCTGTATAGATGGAGGCATTATCATCTTGCAAGATGGCGTTCCCCTCTAGAAACAGTGCTTGAACCATTGGAAGAACTTTGTCCTCAAAAATTCCTAAATAGTCTAGACTATTAGTGATTCTTCCATGAAGAAAAATCATAGGTCTGCTAGATTTCAAAGAAATAGCACCCCAGATCATCACAGATCCCCGCCATGTTTCATGGTTTGGAGGAGGCAGTTGGGATTGAATGACTCCTTTGGCCATCTCCAAAGGCAAACTTGGCCACAGTTGATTGCAGCTCTTTCAAAGAATCCAGATCAGTGCAGCTCTTGGCAGACAGTCTATGGAAACTGGGTTCTGCAGGTGTCCATTGAGGTCTGCACTAATTTTAAATGCCGTGGTCTTTTGATTGTTCCTCACAATTTGATTTCGGTACTGATGGTCTTTCAAGACGACTTCAAAAGCAGTCATTACTTATGAGACAGTACCTCCAGAAACGTCAAGTATTTGAAATGTTTCTGTCACATTAGCACCTGCCATACAGGAACTAATAATTTGGCCTCTTGGAAAGCAGACAGGTGTGCCATTTATAGGTTATAGACACAAAAAGCTACTGAAAATATCTGTGTAAGGGTAAAATATCAATGACCAGCAAAAATGAACAATAAAACATAAAAATATGTCACATTTTTATTGTTTATAACATATATAAATATTTTTTTTGCATGCACTCTTGGTGCATAATTCATGATTCATTGCTCCTAAAAATGTGATTTGTGTGATAAATTAATGCGTCTTTATATTTTTTGTATTCACATACTGTTACAATTTTCTATGTACAATTTTTTTAATAATAACATCAAATTCATATGTCAATTGCATGAAAATTTGTGACAATCATGTTTCCTTTTGTTTTGAAGATAGAACAGGCAACTAATGTTTTCATAGTCAATACAATACTTTACATTTTATATTAGATTCCTGTTAGTCCCAATGGTCAAATTTATTATTATTTTTGCTTGCAGATAAACTATGATGATGCCACGATTGCGTGTGGTGGCAAGCTGTACCCTGTGCACCGGCTCGTATTGTCAGTGTGCAGCGACTACTTTGCTGCCATGTTTGCTGCCACCAGCGCTGTTGGTCGTCACCCCATCATTGTTCTGAAAGATATTCCATCAGATATATTTGAAGTTTTGCTAAAATTTATATACATTGGTGAAGTAAATATTGAGAGGTCAAAATTTAGTGCTCTTGTGGATGCTGCTCGTTGCCTCAAGGTACGCAGTTTGGCATCTTATAAATATGATGCCAATTCTGAGAATCCAGACAAGAGTCATGATGTTTCTCCCAAACCTGCTGAGAAAAGGAAAGTTGTTTCAGAAGAAGCTTCTGCTGATGAACAAAAATCACCCAAGGTTACTTGTCAGAGGTCTCGACAGCTGACAGGAGCAAATGACAAGCAACTTGTAAAGCAGGAAGACTCGACTGAGCCGCAGCAACCTCCATCACAGGTGTTCTACTGCTCCAATTTTCTCATTCTGATTTTGATACTAATGCGATTTTAGGAGTTGAATTATTTATTTTAGTCAGTGATAAAAATGGGTTGTTTCTTGCCAATATCATATTGTTATCCCCCAGCGCTTCAATGATAGACAAGCTAGCAATTGTTGTGCATCATTTATAAATATTATTTATTATAAGTTTAGATATTGGCACATATTTTCATCTCTTCGTGTTTTTATATCCAAAAATGTTGTTTAATGCTTGTTTTTTTTACAGGTTTCATCTATGAAAATTAATGCGTCCTTGAAGTTGTGTTCAGTAAGACTCTCCCCCGTAGAGTTATACACTCCAAACGAGGAAGAAAACGACAAAAAATGCCCCAATAAAAGTATGCCCAGCAAGAAGTATGGCTGTAAGTTATGTGACTTTAAAACCCGTTTCAGGGGCGCAATGACGTTGCACCTTCGAAAGCACGTGAGACTAGAACAAAAAAAGTATGAGAACAAACTATACACCAAGAAGCAAACTAAAAGATGCATGAGCCTGAGAACTGCTGCACTGAATAAATATTATGGCCGGTCTTTGTCGAAGAAGACTGATATAAAAATGACTGAAATTGCTATAGATGAAGCAAAGATAAAGAATGAATGGGAAATTGCAGGTCCTTCGATTTGCAAGAATGATAAACCAGATTCGGACCAACATTCAGGCTTTCATTTACCAGTTCAAAAAGAAATCACTTTTTCTTGCACTTATGACAATAAAAAATCCGCTCGGAAGTTCTCGGTTGCATCGCCAGTGCCCAAAGCTTTTCAAAATGATCCCCTGCAATGCTCTTTGTGTTTTCTGCACTTTGGTACCAAGTCAAAGCTGCTTTCTCACAATCTGACTCACAAGCAAGTTAACGGATTTTACCGCTGTTGTTACTGCGACTTTTCTTCTCGCGATCTTTCCAGCCTTGAGATTCATCACCGTGTTCACATGGACGAGAAGTCATTCAAGTGCTTTTTTTGCGCCTTCTCGTCCCGTAGTCCATATGGTCTCAGGTCACACTATGAGAAGGAGAGTCACCCATTTCAAACCTTGGCAAACTGTCCAAAGTGTCCGTATGCCTCTAAGGAGTCCAGCGAACTGGAAGAACACGTGATGTATTCACATCCTGAGGGCAACGCACCTTATAAGTGTCCTATATGTTCCTTCTTAGCCTCCGACAGAAGCCAGTACATTGAACACATGCGTTCCCATCCTCCTCAGACCAAATCGTGGTTTTGTGTCAGTTGTTACTATTGCACCTATGATCTGAAAGCCTTCAACTTTCATGTGAAGACGAGACATAAGAAGAAGAAGAATATTTCAGTTGGACAGCCAGCACCGAAAAAATCTGCTTTGAAAAGAGAAAAGAAAACTCGCACAGAAGAGACAGATTTGGGCAAGATTGGGGCAAACCATGGCAAGTCACTGAATGAAATGAACGAGTCAGAATCGGAAATGTTTTCCTCTCCTGCCGCTTCATTTGCTAAGCCAAAACCGGTGCGCTCTACTTCACCATCCAACGAGCGCGTTATAAAGCTCGGTAAGAAGAGATACAAGTGTCCGTTGTGTTCGTTCACGGCACTTAAAAGGGCGCATGTACAAAAACACCTACGACGCCACACGGGAGAGCAACCATATGCTTGCACGGAATGTCTCTATCGTTCATCGCGATATAATTCCCTGGTGTCTCATATGAAACAGCACCGTCGCAATCTTCCGTTCAAGTGCACACATTGCTCTTTTACTACAGCGTATCAATCGCTTCTTCGTAATCACGAAGTTAGGGATCATGCCATTGATGATCTCGACGATATTTCAGCTACGTACGATATTGCTATTGAATCTCACTGTCCTCATTGCCCCTTAAGTTGCAACGACAGAGAATCTCTGCTGAGCCACATCGCCCAAGAACATCCTGAATCCACTTCAGTCAATATTCCTTCAACGTCGTCTACTCTCTTTTCAGACTGCCCTGCTGTTCCAGCGGAAATGTCGGATGCCTCTCTTAATCCTATCTCTTTCGGCGGAGCAAATATTAACAGTAAAGTAAGGAGTGACAACGACAGCTGTATATCCTTCGTACCCGAAACATCGCCCGTTAATGACCCTGATTCAGCTGGTAATCCCTCCGTTGACATGAATGACTCCCATCCATTCTCCAATGTCCAGTTGAAAGTTATCAAACCTTCGCTTATGGATATGGTTGACGTTATAGATGATCCTACTTACGAGAAAAGAGTATCTGTCGAGACTTATTTGTCTGTGGACAATCCTGAAAATCCTTTCATAATGAAAACGGCGGATCGTAAGTATCGTTGCAATGACTGCTTCTTTTTGACTTCCGATCCCGAGGTTATGAAACAGCACCTATCAGAGTATTTAGCATCTAAACCATATGAATGTGATCGCTGTGATTTTCGTTTTAAGTTCGCCGTAATCGCTAATAATCATAAAATGAAGAGGAAGGATTCAAAGAAATTGTACGAATGCCCAATATGTAAGGTGAAAATGTGTTTTGTCACAAAGCATTTGTATGAGTGTTATCATCAAGCTTGTGCAGAAAATGAACCGGGAAGGTCGCATCGCGGTAGACCGCTTAAACTCAAACGTAGACAGCTTCAACTGTCGGCCTTTGAGTTTAGCTCTTCGACCTCAAACAGAAAGGAAGCTGGTGAAAATATCAACTTGCTTCCATCATCTGCTCTTATCAAGGAGAGAGACCCAAATAATGTGGCAGAGGTTAACAAGCAATCAGAAATTAAGATCGACAACGAAGCTATGGACGATAAACATATAGGAAGCGATGTAGAAAATGCAATGCTCGGGAATAGCTCACGTCATGAAGTTTCCGAAGGCTGCAGTGGGCATGACTCTAGAATGTCCGATGAACAAAATAATTTTTCTGATTGTGAACAATTGAAGGAACTACTTAACTCCAAAGCTGCTGAAATTGAAAGAATCGGTATTGTTCGAAATGACCATCAGTTGAAGTCGGCACTTGAGGAAACTAGTGAGAAGATGAAGAAATGTAAAATTTTGATGCACCAAATAAATTCTTCTGATTGCTCATCTAAAAATTCGGATCGAAGCTCAAGAAGCAAAGCTAATGCTAATGCAGAAGTTCTTGGCGGAGCTGCCAACCTTCAAGGAAGTGTTGGCAGTGAAACTAACTGTGATTTCCAAACCCCAACTGAAGCATTTGATGAGAATGAAGTGAGTGAGATTGACAATCAGAACTCGCACGACATTAACGCCGTTGAAATCGAGTGCCTGCAGAACACTACTGACCTTCACGAGCAACAAGTATTTGAGACGAATGGACTTAAATCTTTAGTTAGAGAAACTTCTGAAGACGATGAGGCCATGGACATTTCGTTGATTGATATCGATGCTTTTCATCCTGCCATAAAAGAGAACTTTTCTGGCGTCGATGCACTGCGAATGGTCGAAGATTGCGCTCGTGATCCTCTGGATATCTCAGATTTGCCTTCTTGCAGTAACTCGTCTCTGGCTTAATATGTACTTGTACACAAATGACTTTTGTGGTCCCTGGCTTTTTCTGGTGCCTCTATCTCTGAATTCTTATCACAGAGAAAGTAACTGCTTTTTAACGTTTTTTCTCATGGAAAAAAGGCGGTATTGTGCATGTCATGTCCGTCCGTCTGTCTGTCTGTGACTTGACGTTGCCGAGTATCCATGATATTCGGCAACGAGAAAATGCGCTGTCACTCACTGCAGTGAGTACTGAATTATATTTTTTCATCTGCACGCAGGAGACCTGCATTCATCCCTTGGAATGACGTATGATTTAAACGGTGAGAAATTCATCGCAACGATTTTGGAAACGGTACTCCACAGCTGCTAGAAGGCCTTAATACTCTTCAGCACACCTAGCTTTAGAGCTATCATTAATTTCCTGCCTTTGTTAATTACTCTTAGCGCCCTGCATGTTGTGCACTTTAAAATCTAAGTTTCACTGACCCGAAATTTCAGAACGACACGGACGGCAACGATACTTCGTTGGGCCGCCAGTCGTAGGGAGCATTACTGCCCCCCACGGCTTAGCATGCCCAAACTTCCGTCTCAGTGTTAAGTGTATTTCTGTGTTACTTACAAGTGTATTCTTTTATCGGTAACCGTATTACCGAATTTACTATATTAAAATTAGACATCAATTGTCTATTATACTGTGTCCTGTCCATCTTCTTTTGTTGTTAGACTTAATTACTGTACCTCCAGTTTGTGCGCAATAAACCTTTGCACATTAGCGACCTTAACACCATATTTTGTTCATGTCAAGTTCGGAGATGAGATCCAAATTATGAGATTAGGACATGAATTAATGAAAGTGATAAATTTATTATTGCAAGTGATAAAGTCAACAGATAACTTCATGAACGGAATTTAGTGAAAATTTTATTTTTTTTTTCGTTCGCAAGTCAATACATGCATAATTTTCACTTTCCTTAATCCATCAATCTTCGTAAGATGAGTCAGCTAGATTTGAGTGTTTATTCCTAATTGATTAGTTGCATAACTTGCGACAGCGGAATTTTTTCATAATGTATAATTTATAGCGGAAACTACAGGTCATCTACAAGAATATATGTGTATATGAAGATGATCAGTGTATTGATATCTCCTTTATTTTTACGGGGAATAATAATTCGCAGCGCTCACGCACCGGCGCCACTCGACGTCGTCTAGAAGCACTGACAGCGTGCTCCCTTGTGGCTTTTGTTTCAAAGCTCGTAGTTCATTCTATTGTATGTTCATGAAAGTTGGACTGGACCTATAAATTTCTTGTGGGTTGTCTATGAAAAAGTTTAGTGCCATGTATCACGATGAATTATAAGGCAAATGTCACCTAAAACGTACATAAAACTTAAAATATTGTCATCTAAGTTGCGCTGTTTTATTTACGGTTTATTCATATGGGTATGTCAGAATTGCTGGGTATTATTGCATTCATCCCAGCTTTCAGTTGCGTGTAAAAATAATCGACTAATTATTTAAATATGTGCCAGTGCTAAAAAATATGGGATATATACTTGAAATTTCCTCCTGAAACTAGCTGTCAACATATTTCGTGCATGAGAGGTAACTGATATACCCATGCTTGTGGCAGGGGTGGTATCAATTGATGAGGTGATTAATTCATTTGGTTTCATGAATTTAGTGCGTTGAACTAACGGAAAATGTATTACTGATGCTGCGTGTGACAATACCACTGGCACGTTGACAGCTGAAACTTTTAGCGAGTGAAACTTGACCGGCGACATGGCGTTTTGTTGACTGGGCAGGGTGGCCCAGTGGTTACAGTTCAGTGTATCATGATAGGCGCAGAGAAGTGCGGGTTCGACCCCAGCTTTGTGCGCCAATTTCTTGTGAGAATCGGCGATGAGGCCGGGCGGTTAAGCACAGCAGAATTGTTGCAGTGAGTTGCGAGTTCGAGACCGCAAAATGCAGTAAATGTTCTGCGATGTTAAGAATCGGCGACAGGCGTACTGAACGCTGAAACCGCTATTATTATTATTAGAAACCGCAGGCGTCGGTATGCTACTTAGAATAGAAGTGTCTGCACTGAAGAAATAGGCCCATGGCCTGTTGCCGATGCTTGTACTTTTCGTGACTTGATTCCACAATGGATCCGGCCTTTTGAACCCTATCTTTCCATAACTGACGATTGATTGAGATAGCGAGTTCTGTTCTGACCACTGAAGCAGGAGGTGTGCTGTGCTGAGCTCCCGTGACGAAAGCCGGCTTCGGCCGACTGCCACGTCATCGTTCTCAAAATTTGAAGTGCCCATGGATGCATGCTGTGCAGTGCTGTCTCGCTCCGAGGCGTTGAGCCGGCGAAGGAGCTACTGGCTATAGACGAATATCTATCAATGCTCCCTGCATCCCACTGCAAAATGCAGTTCTTCTGAGATAACTCGAGAAGAAGTTTTTTGTACGACGCTTAGTCCTGACTGGCTACGCCAGGTGTGCTGTTTAGAACCGTTACGTCACAAAGAATTTAAGATAGCCCCATGTGTGGTTAGTGCCCCCGGGTTTGTGGTTGGTGCCCTCAGGTGAGTGGTTAGTGCCCCCTGGTGAGTGGTTAGTGCCCCCCAGGTGAGTGGTTAGTGCCCCCTGGTGAGTGGCTAGTGCCCCCAAATGAGTTGTTAGTGCCCCCTGGTGAGTGATTAGTGCCCCCTGGTGAGTGGTTAGTGCCCCCTGTTGAGTGGTTAACGTCCCCAGTTGAGTGGTTAGCGCCCCCAGGAACCTCCCCCTGGAGTGGGACTATCTGCCCTGGTGTGGGGCTTTCTGCCCTGGAGTAGTGCTCTCTGCCCTGGAGTGGGACTCTCTGCCCTGGCGTGGGACTCTCTACCCCGGTGTGGTCTCTACTTTGGCGGCCCCATTCTGTAGTCATTCAGCCGTCAAGAAACATTGGACAACTCTTCAGAACACCTAAATTCGTAGCTGAAAATAAAATTACTTAATTTCCTTAAACTGTCATGTCGTGGGGCCGCATTGAACTAGTCTTCAGAGGCTCCCATAAACTTTGATTTAAGAAGAAGAAGATTGAGATAGCTGCTGGACGTATTGCAAGCCCCGTAAGGTGCTAGGCATTCCAAGACTGAGCATATACTCTTGCATAGCTTCGTCTTGTCTGTTCTTGGAGGCGTTCATACCCGGAGCGTCAATGATGCTGTCGCGGAGGCTGTTCCACATGTGGATGACTCGAAACGAGTAGAAATGTTGTCGCATGGATGTATTACAACACAGTTTTTTTAGTTTATTGTCGTGGCCCCTGGTGTTAGTTCTTGTTTCAAATTCTATTAATCTTTCTGGGACCTTGAATAAACCGTGGGTATACGTATACTTGTATACTTCAATGAGGTTACCACGCAGACGTCGATAACGAAGGCTTGGTAGCTTCATGTATTTAATTTTTAATCTTTTTTCATAAGGCTTGCCTTTTAACGCCAGTAATTATTCTTGTAGCAAGTCTTTGAACACTCGACTCCTTGGATTTGAGGAGGCGCGTTTACTATTAACAATCTAACGCGGTCATATGATCCTCTAATTTATTTCAAGTGGCTGATAGTATAATTATTGTTTTAATGACCATTCGGCTTTTCTCCAATTCTATTACTAGACGTATAAAATTGTTACATCATATTAATCGAACTGAGCATCTCAAATAGCCATTGTAGGAGTTGTGAAGATTCGATATATGAATCTCAACTTTATTGATATATAAATATAAGGAAAGATAAGCAAATATTCTAAGGTTCACAAGACATGGAATGTTCGTTGACCATTTTTTTAATTGCCTGATTCTTTAAACAGATGTAATTCGATTATCAAAGCAGAAATTACTGCGAGAATTTGTGTAATGAATCATTCAATTACAACAGACGCCATACGCATTTTGAGGAACTAGAAATGGGCGACGACCTGCCTATATGTAAACAAAAATATAACTCGGTACTCACTGCAGTGAGTGACAGAGAGCGCATTTTCTCGTCGACGAAAACTTGAGGTCACGGACGGACGGACAGACAGACGGACATGACGAGCACAATAGTACATTTTTTCCATAGATGAGAAAATGCGCTAAAAATGAAACCCGTGAAATTGAGGGTAAAAAATCTCTGGCACTTCTTCGTTTTACGTTGAATTTGTTGTCTTTTTGCATTGCAGCGAGGAGCGAAACGCAAGCAAACGACTGGATATGAAAACAGTAAATCGATGAATGTACTCGAATACCGTAAGTCCGCTACCACGCTCAAATCATTCCACTCAGAATGAAGTAGCTTTTGTGGCTTATGCTCTTATTAGTGCAACATCATGATTGATTTAGGTTTTCTGTTTGAATTGGTAAGATAAGTTGGAGTGTTGTTCCTAACTTCATACCGAGTCTACCGTAGTCCAGCTCGTCATTATCGAAGTCCCTTAGCTTGTCTTGGTTTGGAAAATCGAGAAAATGTTCCGAGGCTGGCAGGTTTGATTGCGGTAACGGTAAATTTTCCCTAATGGTTGCTTCGTCAGCATCAGATGCGCTCATGAGAAAAGGTACAATTTTAATATTCTAAATCGTTAGTTGATATTGGTTTGTTTTCAAAATATAAAATATGCAATTCAAGTACTAGGTACTAGGTACTATCTATGTCCCATGATCATGATGTACTGGAAAGTATTTTTTGTGAGTGTTGAATCTATTTCTGGGTAATATCAGGAAACTAATATTTTTACATTACTTATTCATGTATAAATTGTATATATATACCTATATAGCTATATTATATAGGCTTATTATGCCGCTTAGTAGGTACTAGCCTAGGTAGGCCTATATCATAATCCTGTATGATAGCTGTGTCTGTATTTATAATATCACTTCATTCACTTGTACCGTAAAATGGGGTAACTTTGACCACTTTTTTGTTTCAAAATGATGCCATTTTTTTACTAGATAAGTTAAACTTAAATTGAAAAAAAGTAACCCCATTTTACGGTATGTGATATATTTGAAATCTTGCAGCTCAGTTTTAAAGTTACGTTTTATTCGTAATGATTGTCAAAAACCAAAAAATGATTCATCTAAGTCAGTAAGTGCAAATAAAAAAAAATCTTCAATTTTTTTGTGATGCCAAAATCAACTAATTTCTCTTTTTGTTAGCCTACAAATCTTGGGCATCCAGAGACCAGAGTCTTCTATTTTGTTTTGGTTTCATAAATAGTATTGCAAAGGAAAAGGCCACAGGGACAGGAACAGTTGAATTAAGCCAGATTCATGAGCATTTTTACCTCTTTATGGATGGCTTTTGCCCAATTTTCCACTAGGAGTTCTAGTCTCTAACTAAACATTTTAGGTCCAAAATATTTTTATTTGTGTCTTAGTAGTTGCAATCATGTCTGCATCTTCAATTGTTTTTTAGCACTAAAATAGCTTTTTTGTTTCTGTGGCCTTGGAAATTCATACACAATAAAGGCCATTCAAAGTCCTCAGGATGACTTGGTTCAAGGCCTTTACTGCAGCTTTAGGTATAAAAGGCTTTGACAACAGCTACTGTATCCATAGACACAAAAATTGAAAATTCACTCACTTTCTGCAACATGTTCAGAGAGCAGATGATTTCCACATAGTGTTACTAGGAAGTTGTGGCTCCAAAATTGCTTGGAAAGCATTAGTCATGGTACAGATTGGCTAATCAAATTTATTCCAAAGTCACATATTTTCAGTGAATTTGTAATCTTGGGGCTTCAAAGTTGAGTATTTTTGTTTCATTGGATTGGTAAATATGTGGCTTGCAATTTTGCTAGTATGCCCTGGCATTGAGGCAATCTAGTTTTTTGCTTAATTCCCATTGAAAATTCAAATATATACATTAACAATTATACATTTTCAATTCTTATTTTATTGTTTGAATTTATCATGATGCAAAATGATGGTTTCTGTTGTGTATATACTTAGCTCCCCCCTCATTTTTTGTTAGCATGTTCCCTTATTGATCCAATGAAAGATGTTGATAGTCAATATAATTAAACTACTGTCAACTAGGGTGACTTTGGCTGAGTTTTTGATTTTGTTTTGCAAACAAAAGCGGGGTCATAAAGGATGACCAAAGTCACTCCGGCGTTTAGGACCCCATTTACAACCCTGGCATTTATGACCCCGGCGTTTATGGCCCCGTTTTTGTTTGCAAAACAAAATAAAAAACGAGTCCAAAGTCACCCCGGCAGCCGGAGTCACCCCAGATGACGGTACTGGTTTTTAGGATAGCAAAAGTAGTAACTGATATTTCATGTATATACATATGTAGAAAATATTTGACATGAAAAATGTTTAAATTTTGCATTTTTGCAATGATGGCTTGAAAAGTCTCAAATACCATCTGTATGCAAATGCTTCATCATCAATTTCTGCATCAAAACTTTGAAACCTGCTTCAACCCATCTTTTCTTTTAAAAGCGCTTAGAATTGAAAAATATTGTTTCTATTCTTATTCCTAAAAATTAAGTTAGTGAAAGTTTCCATGGAAAGTCTATTATTATGCTACTATCTATTTCCATCGTTCATCAAACTTGTGTGAATATTGTGTTGTGGATGTGGAAAGCACTTTGAGTTGCCAATTTCTTATGGTAAGGTCATCAGTACCGTAATTCAAGAGATAATGACAGAAATCTACCATGTGCCTTGTTTCACAGCATTTTCCTGTTTTTGGTTTCTCAGAGTACATGCCTTGCCGATGCACCATCTTAAATCTACTTTTTCTTTACCAATTCATTGTTTAAGTTTGGCTACATTTGTTATTAGATACTTGCTAAAAAAATATTGAGCATTCAATCCTATTATCCTTAGTACATATATATGTGTACCAAGTTAATCCATTAAAATATTACTAAATTTTCAAAGTTTTCAGGTAATAATAATCAATACGTAGCATATACAAAATTAAAAATTAATGTGAATTTAGTTCATAGCACAGATTTTGTTGGAGAACATTTGAGCCAGAAACTCGCATCATTCCACCTTCATTTTATTGTAACTGTACTTGTTACTGTGATTCTGAGATTTGTCTCCTAACTGAGATAAATGTCAAAATAGATCTTTGAATTGTTGAAGATATAATTAAAATCAAGATTATTAGTCTTGAGAAACCTACTTGAAGTACTGTAATAAATTTACTGTTTAACCTTATTTAGCCATAGCCTCACCATGATGAACCTCCCTTGTTTATGCAGTGTTCTTTTCAGAGGCAGGAATTGCTCCAAGTTTCATGGGAGGTGAAATGACCAAATAATCACCCCTTTCAAAATGGCTCAAGACCTGTTGTATCTCAGATGGAAAAACCATTACACATCCTTGTGCTCCTCCTTCTTGCAACTTTTTTCCAGTCATGATAGCAAGGTTAGTGATTCATTAATTTACTAATCAATTTTGAATTTTTTTTTTTGCATCTTGATTTGCATCTATTGAGGTTCTAAATTGGTAACTTCAGTAAGTGTTTGAGAACATCCAATATTGGTGCTAGACTTTTGTCACCCTATTTAGTGAGCAGCAACTATTTTGTTGAAATCAGCAAACCAAAAAAATTTTGTGTTGGCTCAGACTGAAATAATTCTTTGAATTCTGTACTTGACAGAACTTGACAGAAAGGCATATTGATACATTGATCTGATACAAAAATATATTTGAATCTACAAAATTTCATGGAAGGTTTGAATTTGTGGTTTATATATTAACATTGATTTTTTACTTTTTGCAGCTAAACTATGATGATGCCACAATTGCATGTGATGGCAAGCTCTACCCTGTGCACCGGCTTGTATTGTCAGTTTGCAGTGACTACTTTGCTGACATGTTTGCTGCCACCAGTGCTGTTGGTCGTCACCCCATCATTGTTCTGAAAGATATTCCTTCAGACATATTTGAAGTATTGCTAAAATTTATATACATTGGTGAGGTTAATGTAGAGAGATCAAAATTTAGTGCTCTTGTAAATGTGGCTCGCTGTCTTAAGGTTAGTGGGTTGGCATCTTATGAAGGTGGAGGGATCTTGGAAGATGCGTCTGATGTTAAGCCTGACAAAAAACGTAAAGCTGCTGCTACCGAGTCTTCTACAGAAGCAGTTGATGTTCAGGCCGTGGGTAAAATCAGACGTACTAATAATGACACTCGCCAGAAGACTGAAGGTCCAATGCCTGATCAACCTCCAAGTCTGAACAAAGAAGAACAAACATCAACTGGTCAAGTGGTATTGAAAGATACAACTCAGCCATCTCAGGTGTGTCTTGATTCTGTGCATTCTTTTCAACATGTCCGCCTGCTCTACTTGTATTATCTTATAGTGTACGACTGATAAGTTTAATTCATTGGCAACTCACAATTCTTAACAACCTTGCTTAGAGTGATGAAAATCCTCATTTTAAATTTTCCTCTTCTTCTTATACCTGTATATTTTTATCATTCTGACTGAATTCTTCTATGCCTAATTTCTTTGCTGACCCCTACAATAGATTTTACAGATGAGTAATGATGCATGCCTATTTCCAGGAATCCCAAAGGACAAGAGGCAGAAGGATAAAAATGCGCATCAACTATGAAGAAAACGATAGCAGTGACAGTTATATAGGAACTTTTGAAAAGAAAGCCCCACTACCAGCTGATCAGTCGAGCTCTGTAAGCGCGTCCAACATCTTGGCTGAGGAAGATGGCCTGCCTCCGATGGACTCGCCTGATGTAAACCTGCCCCTGGCCTATGAAAGTGTGTCTGATGACTCCAGAGACTCCCTTCAGGTTGATTCTTCAGAGACGGGTCATTCTCTGAAGATGTGTAGCGTGCGTCTCTCTCCTGTTGGCTCTGATGTATCCAAAGATGGGTATGTGGCTGGTGAAGACCGCAAAAGCAAAGGTACTTCTAGGCACAGGAAATTTCAGTGTAAGTTATGTGGGTTCCGAGCCCGGGGAAAAGGACCTATGGTATTACACAGCCGCACTCATATGAGACAACAACAACATAAGGGCAAACTGAGTATGAAGCTCCATGCACGAACATTCCTGAAGCCCTTGGCTAAAAATTTATCTGAAACCGAAAAATCGATTATTGAAAGTGGAAATAAAGGAGAAACAATTCTTGCTTTAGACAGCAAAGATAAAAGCAACGAGCCCAAAATTTCATGTCCATTGTGCACGTTCCACTGCCATGATTCAAAAGATTTAGACTCGCACATGAGCTCACACACTCCGGTACAGGAGGAAGTCAAATTCTCTTCACTTGCTGCTACAGAAACTCCAATTGTGAAAACGTCAGTACCATCAGCAGTTTTACCATCTCCTGCCAAGGACCCCTTGCAGTGTATATTGTGTTCTACTCACTGTAACAGTGAGTCTGAGCTGTCGCTTCACTATCACACCCACAAACGAGATGATGGCTTCTACTGTTGTTGTTACTGCAACTTCGCCACTCGCGATCGATCTAATCTTGTGATCCATCATCGTATCCACACAGGAGAGAAACCTTTCCAGTGCTTTTTCTGCACCTACACGTCCCGTAGTCCATATGGTCTCAGGTCCCACTATGAGAAGGAGAGTCACCCACTGCAGACCTTGGCAAACTGTCCAAAGTGCCCGTATGCCTCTAAGGAGTCCAGCGAACTGGAAGAACACATGATGTATTCACATCCTGAGGGCAACATACCTTATAAGTGTCCTAAATGTTCCTTCTTAGCCTCTGACAGGAGCCAGTACATTGGACATATGCGTTCTCATCCTCCTCAGACCAAATCGTGGTTTTGCGTCAGGTGTTACTATTGCACCTATGATCTGAAAGCCTTCAACTTTCATGTGAAGACGAGACATAAGAAAAAGAATATTTCAGTTGGACAGAAATTTGCTTGGAAAGAGATAGAAGGACAGAATACTCCTCCGGGAGAGGTTGATCTGGGCAAGATAGGTGCAAATAAAAACGAGGCACTGAACGAAATGAGTGGGTCAACATCGGAAATGACCTCTCCTGTCGCTTCATTTGCAATGCCAAAACAGTCCCGCGTTCCTTCACTAGCCAACGATCTCGTTATAAAGCTCGCCAAGAATCGATACAAGTGTCGGATGTGCCCGTACACAAAAAGCTCTAGGCAATCTGTGAGAGCCCACACTCGACGCCACACGGGAGAGAAACCATATGCTTGCACGGAATGTCTTTATCGAGCATCGCAATCGGCTTCCCTGGCAACTCATATAGAAAAACACCGTCGCAATCTTCCTTTCAAGTGTCCACATTGCTCCTATTCAACAAGGGGTAAACGGCTTCTTCGCAACCACATAGTTCGGAATCACCGCATAGATGATGATAATATCGAAGATATTCCATCTGCCTACGGTATTGCTATTGAATCACACTGCCCTGATTGCTCATTCAGAAGTGACGACAGACAAACGCTACTTTGTCACATCGAACAAGAACATCCGGCGTCTGCCTCTATCACTTCTAATACCACCTTTAATTCGTTCTATTCTTTCAATTCAGGTGAATTTAGTGCTGCGCCTGAAATGCCAGATAACTCTACAAATGACGACAGCTGTGTCGATCCCTCGGAATTGTGTGGGGTTGTCATAAAACAAGAAGTTCTGAGCGATGACGATAGCAGCACATTTGATGTGCCAGCTACTGAGACGCGTGATGTGTGTGAAAGTGTCGTGCCCCAAGCTGAGAATGTCGACGAGCCTGATGCAACGGTAAACTCCATTTTCGAAGTGGCTGAATCTCATCCCTTCTCAAACGTACAAGTGAAAGTAATCAAGCCTTCGCTCATGGATATGGTCGATGTTATCGATGATCCAACATTCGTTATGAAAACGTCACTCATGACTTACTTGTCTGTGGATAATCCAGCTAATCCTCTCATTAACAAGACTGATAACAATGAATATCGCTGCAATGACTGTTTTTTTCTAACTCCTGATCCGGAAATTATGACTAAGCACGTTAAAGAGTACATCAAGACAAAACAATATGCATGCGATCGCTGTAATTTTCGCTCTAAGTACTCCAAATCTATTGAAAAGCACAAAATGAAAGGAAAGTCCAATAAATTGTACAAGTGCCCTACTTGCAAGTTGAGGACATGTTGCCCACTACCCACGCATTGGTATCCGTGTTACCAAGCCTGGGAGCAAAGCAAGACTGATGAAGTTCTTCCTTACAGAAAAGGGCGGAGACCACTTGAGCCTTCCATATTCGATTCCTGTTATGCGTCATCAGCGTCTGAAGGTTACAGTATGAAAGATGACGTGAGTGACGCAGCTTCGCAAAGCAATGGTGAATACAGTCTGAATAATGAAGTTGTTGAATCAGATGACAATTTGAAAGTGGAAAATGAATCCAATTCAGGTAAGATTTCAGATGCAAAATACAAACTGAATGTTATTGATCGCAAGGCTGGAACTGAAGAGAAGCCAAATGACCTATTAAATAACGATGACTGTGCCTCGTATCTAAATGCTTTAGATGCTTCTGAAAAAAGTGTCAGTTCTGGTAATCCGGAAAAAGACAAACACCCGACTAATCTCGACAAAAATTTCGACATAGGAGCAAACAAAAGACTCGAATCTTGCATTGAAACATCTGATGTGATGGCGTTGGAGACAGGCAATATTTTTACTGACCACAGCTCTGGTTTTGATGTGAATTCAGCAGACGACGAGGAAAACTTCATTCAATGCGACCCAATAAGTGTAGACCCAATGGATCATGTAGCTGAATTTGACGAAGATCAGAATAATGAAGAGAACGGAGAGCTAGAGACCTTGGTTCCTCTGACTGAAGTGTCGGGACTGAATCAAATAGATGGCATGAATGCTGAACCCTCAGGAAAAAAAGCCGAGACCAGCAAAGAGGAGGTTTCAAACTTCGCTTCGATGAAGTCGCCTCTTGCTTTCTCTTTTGCAAGTAGCGATGTTGATGATAGTTTGGACTTGAACAGCGTGAGTTAAAAAAATTCAATTCCAGGAAGAGCCTGTGATTGACAAAGTGAGCTTTTCTGCTCCAGACGAATCGTGTTCATCGGCATTGCCATAGGAAAATCTATCGTGATAATTTCTTGTCCACAGTATTCAATTAAAGTGTAAGATTAGTCGGTAGCGGTTTAGTTTTGAATAATTCTCGGAACGGCGCACATTTTCGTTCAGAATGTAATTCTTGCAAATTCCGTATTTTGAATACATGTAATTTCAAAAATAATCGATCCAGAAAGCACTTTGCTTGAAAATTTGATGTTTGGAACGAGTTTTCCGACTAGTCCTATTTTATCCTCTTCTCTATAAACTAATTGCAGATATTGCGTTTCTCGTCCGTTCAGGCTCTGCACGCGTGCCCATTTACGTTGATGTCTTTACTACATTAAGGTTTATGATGTACTTCACGTTTTATCAGTTGCTTCACTCAAAAGTTGATCTAGTCTGGTGTAGCTGTAGATTATTCCTGTGTGATATTTATTTGTCGACTGTCTCTTGCTATTGCTTTGTAAATATTCTTATCCGTGTTACTTCTTATCCTAAAGCCTCCGTTGTGCGAATATTCAGGATCTTCTTTTCTATTCATTAAATTCAGCACTTGCATATAAAGCCCTCTGAACCATAAATACTCGTCTAAATAATCAACGAAATTTTCTAAAAATGCGTGGCCGGTCTGATTTATTCATTTCTTGAATTATGGATGCCGCGCAATTTCAGAGCAAATGATTTTAGGAGGCTTTAATCTCAACTCTCATTTGTTCGTTCAATGGCGATAAATACGTTAACGTTGATTGCACAGCTCGGGTTTTTTGAAATTCTGAAGTAACGCTAATGTTAGAATACTTCTCTGGTCGGTGGACATAATTTAAGTAGATTTAAGATGACGTTAGTGTTATGGTTTGTGTTACATTTCTTCATGCTGCTATTTTAATTCATATTTTCCAGAGTGTTCGTCTCTTGGTTAAAGCTTACTATTCAAGTTGTTAAATGAGAGAAAATTATTCGCCTACTATGACGTAGAGTTTCCATTGCTCCCGAACCTAGTTTTTCATGGCATCGACGTACAACTTTTAGGTGCCCTTATATCAATTCTGAAGAGTGAGTGTCATTTAGGAATGTAAATAATTTCTTTCGAGTACTTAATGAAGTTCAGTTGTTTTCGTGTACGCTTTGCATTTAATTACTACTTCGTTGTTTGTAATTCATGGAGGCTTCGTTCACGCTACGACTGTAGCATGACTTACAAGTCTACAGTAATCTCTGGTGACTACTTTGTCTGTGCAGCTTCTCCGACGATGTCCCAACGGCGTACTAATGTCGACGGCGTACTAATAACTTGCATGCGTAGCTTCATCTGTCCACGTCGATTAAGACTCGTATATTAATTACAGTTCAGAGTACCAGGATTGGAGCAGAGAGGCGCGGGTTCGATCCCAGCTCTGTGCGCCAGTTTCTGGTCAGAGTCGGCGAGGAGGCCGGGCGGTTAAGCACAGCAGAATTGGAGCAGTGAGTTGCGAGTTCGAGACCGCAAAATGCTGTGAATGTTTTGCGATGTTGAGAATCGGCGAAAGGCCTACAGCCTAATAAACGCTGAAACAGCTATTATTATTATTATTATTATTATTATTATTAGTAGTAGTTGTAGAATGTGATAACCTTTTTATTAGTCCCAAGGTTCCATTTGTTTTGTCAAATATTACGGACATCTCTATTCAGGTAGAGTCTACTGACTTTTTATTATAATTTAAACTGTATCTTTTCAGTGTCATTTATGCGTAGTTATTAGAGTCACTAGATTCATAAAATTTCTCTGCGTGTTGACTTCATGACTTAACCTTTCTATTAGTAAGTTACTCGCAATATATAGAAGTTAAATCGACATCTGAAAACATTGAGATGGATGCAATCGTACGTGCTTGTTGGCTTATCATTTAGAATTTAGCTGGACGAAACTTATCATGTCAAAGGATATCGTGGTCTTGAAAGGACAGTAAATGCAAGCTCATCCTTGGTTCCTCTGACTGAAGTGTCGGGACTGAATCAAATAGATGGCATGAATGCTGAACCAATAAGTCAGTCGAGCTTCACCATTATTTAACTGGACGTTCATACTTGAATGCACAAATCTTGGTTAGAATTTCAGAAATGTTACGATAAGTCCCTAGTTATCTCGACGGTCTCGTCGCGAGTAGCTAGGGATAAGAACAATGATGTCACGTTTCTATCGATTTTTATTTATTTAAGCAAATCTTGCGATAGCCTACCGCTATTATAATGACTTATCCTTTATTCATTAGAATGTTAGAACTCTCTTCCAACAATATACAAACTTGTACAAAATGACTTGACGACAACAATCGAATTTTCACCACTAGTTGTCACGTGAATGAATGGAGACTCGTAATTATATATAATACATTAATCAAAATTCGCCGACGGTAAAACGAGGATTAATACTTCACTGTCCTAACTAGGACCCATACTTTCAAAAAATTTCAGAGATCGTAAGTTCATCAACCAATCATCGACGGCCTTTCAAGCAAAATCCACCAATCATAGACAAGAAAATAGAGCGTAAGTACTTACGTTCACTTAGCGAATTTTGAAAGTATGGCCCCGCCGATCAATTTCACAGTTCTGATTAGAATAGTATGACGATGCGACCAGTTTGTCAGGCGGTCGGGAGCTGAAGGCGAACCAGGACAAGCATGAGGTCTGTTCACTGCGGTCCTTTATTGAGAGTATACATGGTCCACTAAAACACACATCGATATTGCCACAATGTCATGAAAACTTCAGCAGACTAGCCTTTTTTTCGACAATATTAGTGTTGTTGAAAGTGTCGTATGGTACTTGACTGTAAAGATACGAATCTAATAATTGAAAGAGAAATACGGTACTTGTTTTTAGCTGTTATGTAAACTGTAATGTAATTTAACATGCAGCCTGAAGGAGCAGAATGTTTTCCGATGACGCTCACTGAAGCATCCCCATTAAAAACATCAATAGTGTTAAAGATAAAACACTTAGAAAATTATTTTCGCGTTAAACAACGTAGAGACGCGATGCAAAATACGCATGATGTGGCATCACACGGGATCCAGCTGATGTCATCACACGGGATCCAGCTGATGTGGCATCACACAAGATCCAGGTGATGTGGCATCACACGGGATCCAACTGATGTCATCACACGGGATCCAGCTGATGTGTCATCACACGGGATCCAGCTGATGTGTCATCACACGGGATCCAGCTGATGTGTCATCACACGGGATCCAGCTGATTTGGCATCACACGGGATCCATCTGATGTGGCATCACACGGGATCCAGGCCACGAGGTGACAACAAAACTCGAGTTTTGACCAGCGGCGTAGAGCTTAAGTTGATGCCTCCAGTTATTAGGCTTAATCAAGCAGTTCTTAGACGCAGATTATGCTGTGATCAACTCTCAAATACATAAAGAATCCACGTTCCCTTGTGCAGAAATTGAAACCGATTTCCAGAACTGGGCGAATGTTTTCCTAAAAAGCCTTATAATTTTCAGGAAGGAAACGAAAAGTGATAAATTGTTATTTATACCTGAAGGCATGGATATAATTTATGTCTCAACAGATGAAGGACGACTCTTAGGATGTAGGATGATTTTCCTTCAGTAAACTAAAAAAATACAGTTTGCTCGATAAAATAATTTGTTCGCTTTTTAATTGCCTAACAAAATTCTTCTAAAAAATCACGAATAATTGTATATATATATATTTTAAATTTCTTAAGATTATGTCTTTTGGCATACTAAGTCGTCCACGGTGCAAAAATGAACAATGAAATCGATGCATCATGGCTATCAAATAATTAAAAAAAAAACTTCCTTTACATGAGCGTGATTATGTGTTGTCGCAATTCAGGATATTCAACAATGGAAACCAATAAAATGAGTCGTATTACGTCCTTAGCTTCGTGAGGTTAAGCCATTCATGGGCTTTAGAACAAATGTATATAATTTTTACAATTTGCAATCCAATCTACAATATCGACTAAATCACTAAGTCTTATGCGAGATGTATACTAACTGTACACAATAACACTATGTAAGGTACATTAATTAATATCGGGTTCGTTATGAGAAGTTGCAAATGCGAGTGAAGGCATTAGGACATTTGTTACAAACCCAGCGCAAATTGGAGCTTTAATGTAATTAATAATATGAGCTACGTTTTAATCGATGGTACTCGGGATTACGTTCAACTATCCGAGTTAGTGACAGATACGAGTCCCTTCCGATTTCGAGGGATGGTTAATCAAGAAATTGAATCGTCTGTAAGTTGATAAGTATTTAAACTTACGTGGTTTACATAAATGAGACTAAAAATTGCCACCAACTAGCATGGCACAAACGTGCTCAACGGGATTTTCCGGTCCTTATGGCACTTAGATTTTATGGTTATTTCGCGCTTAACGATCTAGTAGCGAGAGTTTCATACGTAACGATGAAAAATACACCAAACATCAAAATGGTTGTTAAAGTCTACCAGCTTGTCACCAATGAAACATGTAAATATTTTTAAATGCACCATTATTCTCCTGACCAAACGCTCTTTTGATTTACTACCGCTTCACATAGCAACGAAAAACTTCAAAGTTGTATCTCAATTCTTAAGAAAATAATACCTCATGCCTCGCGAGGCTTACAAAGTGAAGAAAATTAATCGAATGAGTAGAATAAATGAAAGATCTGTGTTCTTCTGAAATGTTAAAAAAAGTTTCGAGACCAAAAAGAAACCTTCAAATAAAAGTTGAATTTTGATACGAGCTAATCGGGTAACCACGACGGTGGCTTCAGGTCCTCCAAATCCATTTCGGCGGCTCCGATAAGACGCTTAGCTGCATCTGCACGTAGAAAAGTTCAAATCATGTTGCAAATTAAAATTTATAGTTCCTTTCCAAATTTACAAATCATTTTTCAGAATTGGAAACTAAATTTTACTGAGATGATAATATATTTCTGATACTTTTCATAAATTTTCTGGTGAGGACGGCCATGGAGCTCTAAACTATATGTATATGGGGACATAAAAAGGAAACTCCTGATTCCATAAATAAAACTTTTATGGGTTTCATTTAATTTATTTCCAAAAAAGATCAACCAAATTTCCTGCAAGAAAGTGATGCGTAATCAGGTTAGTTATCTTTTTAGACACACATGCAGTGAAGTAACGGAATTAGTTTAATCTGCTTGATGGTTAGTGAAGCAGATCATTTTGCAGACTACACATATAATAATAATCTAAGATTTATATTACAGATTACCGCAAGCAACATATTTCCCCTGTCTTTCATTATATTTGCTCGGTTTTCGCACCGTGGCTGAAATTAAATTGATTTCATGCGAAAAAAAGTAATATAAATTATATTTTGAGAGCGGTTTGCCCATAATTTGTTAGCTTGCACACAGATGCGTTGAAAATTTACTGGTAAAGGTTTTCCATTAGTTTACTCACAAGCAAATCAAGAGTAATTAATGAACAAGTTTAGGTTTCTCTACAATTACACACATGGAAAATTAGTCCCTGAGCAATATACCGAAGCATTGCTTCAAAGTTATAAAATATCCCCAAGCAAAATTAGGAATTATGGTCTAGAAATTTATAATTAATTATGCACAGAAGCAAGGATGGTCTTTGAATAATAAATTAGTTGCCAGCACCTCTCACCGCATGCAGAAGAAAGACGTGACGCTCCAGCTCCCCGAGTCTGGTGTGTTGGAGAGTGTTTGTGCTTGTGATATACACTGAAGTTGATACACTCCTATGAGTGTATGAAGTTGATACACTCCTATCTTTGTAAAGTAACTGGCTCACTGTAAGAGTGTTTGTGCTTGTGATATACACTAAAGTTGATAAACTCCAATGAATCTTTGTAAAGTAACTAGCTCACTGTATGAGTGTGTGTGCTTGTGATATACACTAAAGATGATACACTCCTATGAATCTTTGTAAAGTAACTGGCTCACTGTAAGAGTGTTTGTGCTTGTGATATACACTAAGATTGTGTTAACAATGAAGCAGATCCTATGAATCTTTGCAAAGTAACTCACTGTATGTGTGTGTGTTTGTGAAATTGTGATTTAATTAAAAGTTCTGTATACAATGAAGCAGCTCCCATGAAATTTCATTCCATTTAATCGCCATCTTTGCTCATCATGAACCGAAACTCTCCTCTAGGTCTGATTTAACTTTGTCATTTAGCTATTTCCTAGCAGTGAACATTTGCATTGCATAACTCTGTTTCCAAATTTGCGTACAAAAAAAAAACGACTATACAACGAATGAGCCTGCATGCAATGTTCCTAGCGCCATTGATCCCATTTGCGACGCAGAAAACTGTTAAAGAACATTACTTCTAAATTATCAAATTGTAGTAAAACTGTAGCATTTGAATTGGTTGTAAAACTGCAGCATTTGAGTTGGAGCTAAAAATTTAGTATTGGAATTGGGGTAGAACCACAGCATTAAATTGGTGGTAAACTGTAGCATTTGAGTCAGAGGTAGAGCTATAACATTGAAATTTGGTAACACTGTAGCATTGGGATTGGGTAACACTGTAGCATTGGAATTGGGGTAAAACCGCAGCATTGAAACTGGGGTAAAACTGTAGTATTGGAAATCGAGGTAAAACCGTAACATTGAAATTGGGGTAAAACTGTGATATTATTTTCATACCGTCAAAGCATTATTTCTTATTACTGGGGAAGTAGCACGTAATCTACGTACATCATTTCGATTGTTTCACATCTGTGTCGGCAAATTAATCGGAAGAAATGTGATAAGTCGTAAGTAAATCGATCGTGGATGAAAAACTCCATAAATTTATTCAACAACAAGTTCAAGGTATGTGATATGATTTAAATTTTGCTGAAGATTGTGTGCTGAGTTACATGAAAGAGTGTGGAGAGTGTTAATTCATAAATTGAACATCAAGGTTGATGCTCTTAGCGTACGTATTAATGCATGTTGTGAAAATGTTGTGCCATGTGATTTGGTGAAGATGAAAAATAGGGAAAAATATGTTAGTAAACATCGACGTTAGTAATAAAGAAGGAAGTTCTATCAAATGTGCACGTTGAACTATAATACGTCAAACAAATAGCTAATCTAATGGGGAAGCAATATGAAAAATTTTAGCAAATGAAGCTTAAAATATAAATAAAATAATATTCGTGACGACGAGCAGAACCAAACTTTCTGGCCTCTCGATGATAATAAAGGCTTTTCAGAGCAAAGCTTCACGAAAAGCCTCCTAATATATCGCGCATTTCCAGAGAATGAATTCATAAAAGAATAATAAATAAAATCATCTCCATGTATCTTCAAAATTAAACAAGTTTTGAAGTCTGTTGATCACATCCATTTAAATGAAAAACATTAAGAAAAAAACACATAAAATGAATTTAATTAAAAATGCTCTTTCCAGAGAAACCAACATAATTATCAAAGAAAGTGGTGCACTTGAAAAATGTGTATGCAACAACCGACCTGCAAGTGTTTTCGTCGAACTTCATCCCTGAGGAGCATAACTTGACGCCGGTCTTGCAGAGGCACCGACATTGGTCTTTGTCGTAGTACTGCAACCAGAATAACACTTTATTAAGAAAACTTTGGAAATTAACAATTAAAATCTGACGCAATATTTGACGAGCGATAAATTTTAATTTCAATATTTTCTTCCAAATAAATTGTTTGACGAGATTTCTTTGATTGCACAAGTTAACAGTTATATCCAGGGCAACCTACTTTATTGCACGTATTTCTACTGGGAGCCTTTTTTTATAGCAACCAATGCAACCAACTCTCAATAAAGTTAAAGATTCTAATCGAGTACTAGTAACGTACTTATATTACAATAATAATATGTTTGAAATACATAAATATTTCATTGCGGGGGGATCACCTGGTTATTCTTGCAAGAGATCTGCGGTTCAGGACAGTCGCAGGAACACGTATCAGGATTATGCGTTTGCGATCCGTAGCACGCTTGCTCCTTAATCTGTGCATGGGAAATCATAAGCAAATTTTAACTTTATTAACACCAATTTGAGTTACCTTTACGTTCAAACGAAACATTAAAACTGGTAGAAAATTCATCAGACTTCTTGAGTGAAACGTTCATTGCTTTTGCCAGCGAAATGAATATGATAGCATCACAATTTTGAATTTAATACGCCGACTTCCTTACTTCACTATATACATTCTTGTATTCTCGTAAAAATTCAAAGACATGCCTGGAAAAATATTCAAAAATCGATCATAGTCAAATCTATATTAATTATAACGTAATAAAAAGTGCTTTGAATGATTTCTTCAAATTTTTTTACAGTAGTTTCCTGGATCTTTAACTTCAGTTAACATAAAAAATGGCACGAACTGTTTTATTCATTTCAACAATGGATCGTCATACAGAAAACCTTTAAAGTATATATTTTGCACCGATGGTCAACTAATCCACGGTGTTGTCTTCGTTAGCCGTGCTCTCTCCATTTGAGCTCTCGAGCTTCAGGAACTGTACAGAAAATATTAAATAATCAACATGGAAGTGTTGTAAAACGAGTGATATAATTGACGATATCAGGCTTCGATCTTCACAATTAAAATAGTCCTGGTTGTAGATTAGTGTCTGATTTAAAAGTATGCATTGTTCCAAATTGTTCAAAACCTTAAAAAAATTCTAAATCTATTGCCAAAGTGCTAGATGGAATAAATATTTGTAGTTTATTTGTTTACAAAATATGGCTTTGGAAGTTTGCATGGGAGGCAACAGAAAAATTATAAAATCAAATTTATCTCGCAATTTGAGTTTAGTTTAATCAAGGCGCATTCTGATATGGTGGATATCACGCCATTTGAGTTTAGTTTAATCGATCAAGTTCAATTATTTTGCTATGGTGGAGACTCCGTACCGGTATTTTTTTCGTCCTGATCTTGGTAGGTGAGCATTCGAGAAGGTCGTTGGTGCAGCATCCTCCGCAACGCGTGACTTCCACCATGCAAGGTTCGAGGTGATAGCTGTGCGTGTACACTGACTTTTCGTTTTCCGACAGGTTTGCCACGTCCAAAATTGGCAGGATCATCTTACGAGGCTTGCATGTTGTCTTTGCCATTAGATTATTGATCCGTTTATACTTCTTTTGAACTGCACAAACAACGACGTCTTCACATTAACGGTCGCTGACCCCAGATCAGACTTTCGATGCGAATATGACTGGGAGAGATTCTCGAACTTCAATTGATTCACTTAAGATTTTATTTTGGACTAATATTTTAAATTTGGATATTTTTTTTCGGCTATCTCGCAAATTTTAACAGGAGCAAACAACCTTTTTTCAAAGATCAGCTATGTTTCAATGAACATAATGAGTATTGTCTATATTGTGAATTCATCATGTCTACAAAGACAATAAATTTACTAAAAATGACGAATATTTTTGGCCTTGATGGAACTATTCGTTAGTCTATATTTGTTGTTCAAAATCCGTCGCTTGGAAGTGTATGGGACTTTGTTAAAAAATACATAATGAAACAATGAATGCATAAGGGTCGTATCATGCGTGATAAAATTTTGTAATCAGCACCGATGCGCATAACATCAACTTCGACTCATGCCAACTTAGTCTTAAAACAACCTAAGTTATTGTTTAGGCTGCATGCTCGACAAGCGAAGACGACTAAACTTCGAACAGATCGTGCTTGGATAGAGATTCATTAATATCAATACATGCAAAAAAAACAATAATAAAAAAATACTTAATCACGCAAACATTGTTTCATTCAAAACAGACTTAGTATCTAATTGCATGCTTCCCATTTCAATCATAAATAAAGTATTCACCAAAAAAATGGTTCTTTCGTGATAGAAGATGGAGCATAAAATAAATAACATTGAGTATTGTAATATTTTGAAAACTGACTTTTGTCCTTCATTGGTCTTTTAGGATAAAATTAGGCAGAAGACGTTATAACCGAAACATTTGGGAGAATTTCTATTAAACGACAGAAATTTGCTTTCAATGAGAAACATTTTCTTGATTCAGATTTCAATCAATTTAGATCAATGCATCGTATGCTTAAATTTAAGGATTAACCAATCGTTTATTTTTAATGAGATCATAGTAACTATTTGTACTAGGAAGACTTTTAAGGTATAAGGTTTCTTCAACGCCAAACCATGATGGAGTCACTCACCCAAAGACACCTAGAGATAAATTGATTTAGTAACGCACATAAATTTATATACGGCAATCACTCACCTCGTAAAGGAAGCTCTGTCATGCCAGGGATGCTGCTAGCTGAGTCCCAAACGTGAAATACAAACTAATATATTGCACCAGGATTCACTACACACACAGTCCCTTACTTCGTTTACATTTCGACTTCGATATTAGCTCAAAGAATTGCATTAACAGACGCATCGTAACGAGACAGGTATCGACACACATCATAATTTCACAAATTCGAGACTACAGGGAACACCTAGTGAAATACGAGTCATTTCTGAACATATTCATTCCAATATAAAATATATTTTGTTGAACGAATAATACAATTTACGTGGCTTAATTAAAATTTGTAAATGAATTTAAAAATTACAAAACTGAACTAAATGAAACAAATATAAAAACGAAAAAAATAGGCTTTTCAAGATAGTTTTACTAGCATTTAAGAAACTTCACTCAGACCTGGTTGTTGCGTACGCTTGGAAGTAAATTAAATATTTTGATACTTTTTACGATTGAGCATTGATTATAGTTGCAAATTTTGGCACCTAAAGAAATTATGTTTCTCCTAATTAATTATATTAAAAAGGTACAAATTGATAACACTGAACGTATATAATGACTAGTCTTGAATAGGTATTACAATGAATGTATTGAATATTAAAATCCTCAATCCTGAGCATCTTTTAATAAAAATGTGAGTTGCTGATTCAATTATAGGTTTCAAAGTTCACCAGTTCGATCGTAAACCACTTAACGAAGATCTGATTGTCTGCAACAACACAAATCTCACAGGCGCTACTGAAATCAACACAAACTGACGAAGAACAGCGGAATGTGAAATACTACATAGAACAAATAAGGAAAACTAATGACGTAACAATAGGAGATAAGAAATACTCAGCTCCGGTTAAACGGACAGGAATGCTTATAGAAGGAAGCCATACTCACGCTTGCTGTTTTCAGGTCGAGTTCTGCGTTTGGCTGGGGCACTCGTAAGGCCCCTGGTCTTATCGTTTTCGCGAGTGATGGCTTTTTTAAAGTGCGTACCCGCTGGGGAGACGGTGCGACGGCGGGTCCTGATCTGAGGCTGACCGGCTGCGAAACTCGAGGCTCGACAGAAGTTCGTAAGGCGGCTCTTGACCGCGTCGTTAGCGCTGTTGCCCTGCATGATCATCAACGGTGTTAAACAGGCAACTATTTATTAATGGCAGGCAATTCAATTATATATAAAGGTGACATGTTATACTGATGGTAGAACTAAGAGTGATTAAATCGTATTCAACGGTTTTAATCGGTTATGTGTGGCTCATCCGCAATCGAACGCATGCTCCTGTAGGAATCTGGTTCTTTTTATCGGAGTCGTATAGGCCTTATTGGTAATTAGATAATTCATAAAAACTTATTGCTATGATTTGATTTTGTACCTTAATGGGCATTATAAAAGCTACGACGGCCATTATCGACGTTGTAGTTACAATCCTTTTAGTTTGGAGTTTTTCATGAAAGCGTTAAGCATCTTTTAGCTTTGAGTTCATGAACGTACTGGAGTTGGTCCAACAAACTCGTGAGAAAACCTCGTTGCAAACGTCGTGCAAGGTCGTCAGACTTACCACCATGTCGGCATCTATTCATCATCATATTTATAAAACTTTTGAATAATTCTGGAATATAAGAATTTGATTTCGGCCGTGAACGAGCTGCAGGCTGCAAATATAGTTTTAAAAACTTTTGTTTCCATTGATATATAATGAACACTATAATTTTTAATCTTGGAATAATATTTTCAGAAAATTCTGCTTCAATTCTTAAGAAGAATTCACCTCTCCCTATCGAAAATGGAAGGAATTTTCTTAAATCAGCGGTTTAGAAGTTTCATAAATTACCGGTCAGAATATAAATGACCAAACTCAACACAGCTCATGAAACATCACAATATTAGAAAAAATATAACTCAGTACTCACTGCAGTAAGTGACAGAGAGCGCATTTTCTCGTCGACGAAAACTTGAGGTCACGGACAGACAGACGGACGGACATGGCGAGCACAATAGTGCATTTTTTCCATAAATGAGAAAATGCGCTAAAAAGGATTGCCTGTATCCAATGCAAACGTTAATTCCCATTCTTGAGAACTCAGATACCGCGTTCTCGATTATTAATGAGCAAATTGACTAGAAACACCAGATGAATAGCTTAATTGGAAAAATTAGAGCAAGTACAAAATATTTTTCCTTGAAACCTGCTCGATAAAAGCACAACGAACGCTAACGGGAGAACCGCAATCGCCTCACGGCCAAGAATTGAATCAAAGTGAAATTTCAATGAAGTGAACCTTACTATATTTATTAAAGTGTACGTTATACTGCGCACAGAATAGAAAGATAAATCACAGCGCTGGTCCTACGTGCAGCCAAACAAACCTTCTACTTTTGGGGATAAAATAGGAAACGGATGCCGTGGGAACAGAGCTTCTTTGCTGAGTGATTGCATGTCAAACATCGCAAACAAATGTGCTTAGTTTGTAATTTCCGGATTAGTGCATGCTTGGGATATTATGGAAGTTAATTTAATCTCTACTCACTTTTAATTAATACGCTGTTAATGTTATTTTATCACGTTGGCTCCGAACCACGTATCACGTTTATATGCCTACGAAGAAATGGATTTCTTCGTACGCATATTTCTGTATGGTACACAATTCAGGGTTGCCAGATGGCCTAAAAACGGCCAAATCCGCGAACAAAAAAAGCAAAAAAAAAATTTTTCTTAAATTTAACTAGGATCTAGGAAGTACCCCTATTAATTATAAATTTTAGCCGGCCAACGCAATTGAAAAAAAAACTAAATCGCGGAATTTGTCCGGAAAAAAGCCCGTCTGGCAACTCTGGATTCATAATGGTACAAAAAATTATATAATAGTACAAGATGAAGCAATCGAAGTCAACGTGTTAATTAACAACGACATTCGTTATTTTGATTTAAGGGAAGTGAATGAAAGTTAAGAAAGTGAAATGAATCCAAGTGAATTTTCAATGAAGTGAACCTGATTGTATTTATTAAAGTGCACTTTATACTGCGAACAGAATAGAAAGATAAATCAAATTGTTTCTTTGTTTTAGTGGCCTTAGGTGCAAGCGCTTCAGATCGAGCTAAGATAAATAAAAAATTTCAAGTCGAACCAGTAAACCCCTCAATGATAGAACATAACTTTTATATTACATGGTTTTGATGCAGCCCGTTATTAGAGATCAATTATTTCAAGATCGTTCAATGGGTGGCGATATTAAATCAGAACTGATCTAAGAACGCAATAACCCAAACTATCGATCAATGCATCGCGTTGCAACCTCAGTAAGGCCTCATTGGAAACATAGAAAGCGGCTGTGCAGATGGCAAACTGTGAGTAGTAAACAGCGAGTGAACTTTTGGTCTGCAAAATACACAGGCTCGGGCAAACGCACGTAAACAAAGGGCGCGAAGGGCAAGCGTCACAGACCAAACACCGCGTCTTGCGGAGAGACTACTGACGTAACGTACGAGGTGGCGGCGCTAGCTCAGAAGGTCTCCGAAACTTCAGACATCAACACCACATATATATTTTATGTGATGTACGCTTCTCAATGTGAAACATTTTCTTATATTTTCTGAATATTAGACATTTAAGAAAACGGTTAAGTTAATTCGCTATTAGAATGAACAATTTATATAACAAATTGCTGAAAGCATGGACAATAAACCAGAGCCGAGGGATGAATGATGCAATCATATTTTTCTTTCTTTCCATAAAACGAGTAACTTTAATATTTGTATGATAACCAAACTGCTGTGAATATTAATTTTAATTGCAATGAGTACACTAACACATATTTGAACAGTCCGAATGTGTGTTACACTAAATTCTGGATGCCACCTCCTTACCATCACACGGATACAACGATGCTCACGCATTGGTTCTAATTTCGTGTAAACAGATAAATTTTCACGAAGGTTACAAAGGTTGGAACGAAAGACTCACGCAACCGACGACGGCATCAAGCAGGTCAGGATTGTGACACAAGGAGGTGGCGGTTGAGGCGTTGCGATGCACTTGATCCAAGAAGAACGACTGCAGCTGCAGGAGAGGCTTACGGTCCCGACCACACTCCCGGGCCCTGTTCTGAGTGAGCAACGAAGAAATGTTTGCGTGAAGTTTAAAACCTATGTCGCATACATTTTGTAATTTGAACTTTATTTAATTATATAAAATTTTCTTACTTATGGGATTTCAAGAAGCAATCTACGCAGAAATCCTTAACACGTTGAGTGCACGGGTAGTTTGTAGGGTCTTTTTTTCCGACAAATTCAACGATTTAGTCTTTTTTCAATTGCGTTGGCCTGCAAAAAATTACGATGGCGGTACTTCCTTGTTAGATTTTAAAAAGTGCGAAAAAAGGAAAATTGAAATTTTGTACCAGAACTTACAAATTTACTAGTAATCATTGAATTTTAAGCCCTTTTATCCGCGGACTTGGTCGTTTCTAGGTTATGTGGCAACCCTTGTGAGTCGTACCGCACCCAACGTGTTAAATAATTTTAGAAGAAAATCACGAGTCCTAATGTCGAAAATTTGATCAATAAAGACTAGACAAAGTCACTGACTTACTGTAAAATTACCGCTGTTGATCAAATGTATGGCGCTGGTGGACGCTCGGCCCACGACCAGCGACAACACCAGCAGCGCCACCAGCAGGAACAGCCCAAAGGGCGCATGCACGATGGACAGCACCGAGGGCCACCGAGGGTCTCCCGGTCTGCAAATATTTTATTTTACATTGTTTTTTTATATTATTTATTATATGTATAATATTTATATTATACAAATATTTTATACATATTTTATCTTAAATTTATTTTATAGGTAAAATGTCGTTTAATTAAAAAAAATTATGTTCCTGTACGTTTAAACAAATCGTTCTTTCTCAAATCTTAAATTTTTCGCTGTGTTTTCTTTCTTTCAGGGCGTCACTTTCTACTTCCCTTCACTTGAATTTAGTTTTTTGGACCACAACCATCTTTTTATCCGATTTCTAACAAAAACAACTGTTTTTCAACAATATCAAGTAATAACCATGAAAATATTTATTGGAACGCACGTTTCCTGCCTTAAAACTCAACACAGGCGCATGCGCAGTCCACAAGCACATACATGGGACCTCAGCTGCTGCGCAGTTTAGAGAAGAACGAAGCTTTAGAGCGGGATACTCGAGCCTACGGCAGGGCAGCAGATTGTCCTGATTTGAGCCTATAGAGAAGGCAGACGAGGCTTCGCTAAGTTGTCTTTATGGTGACGGCTGCCGTGCCTTACCATTGTATGCGCATTTACTCTATTTTTTATACCTATGAACACATCAGTCAAGAACGTCAAGTTTCCCTCCTTTTATTTGCTTTTATCTTCGTGAAAATCCGCTACTATATTCACGCAATTTACTCGTAAAAGGTTAGGGCACAATTTAATAATCCTGATGAGTCCCAGATAAATGGATTTAGGTAGACACATGCACTATAATTGATACAAATTAGGTTCACGGGAAATTTTGATTCAGGTCGAATAAAGAGATTAGTTCATTTCTCGTTTCAATACTTTATGTTGGAATTAAATTTTTGTATATCAGTCATAACCAAAGGATATATAAGTCATCAGGATAAAAAGGTTAACGTTTGCAAGTGAGAATTATTTGCCAAAATACCACAAAGTAAGGAAGAAACAAACTTCGAATGTAAATAATGAGAAAAACTCTCAGCGTTCTATTTAATTTCAAATGAAGGCTACATGTGGAGCTGAAACAGTTCAGTATCGTGTGCGATATTTTCTTAAATTTTATGAAATTGCCAATTTGATTATTTACAGAAATTTACAAATTATCGTCCCGTTAATTAATGTGTTTCATGTCATGGTTTCACAAGCCGTTGTTAATGTTGATAAATTTTAGACATCAAAATTTAAGTGAAAATTTGAAACGGTTAACCATTAAGTGTCTCAATCAAGCTCTTCTTCATGAATGAGATGCATTAATGAAAACAAACTGCTTGCGATGTTAGCTATAGTCGTTATTTCACGAAAATATTTGCAATGTCGAACACATTTCTGCTTGATTGCCAGGTAATTTCACAGATGTATTTCTGTAGCAGCTTCAAGTCGAGGAAGCGATAACGATTGTAACAAAAAGAGTATTTTGGGAAAAAGCCTACTACGATATACATTATCAATCTTCCTAAAATGCGTAGAATGTGATGAACTAAACATTTACATTGAATATGAATTTAAATGAAAATCAAATTCAATATGATTTTGATTCATATTGTGCATTTTCTCTTCGAACTTCGAAGCATTCCAATAAATGTTTACAATGCATACCACTTGCAATGCATACCTTGTTACATTTTATTAACTGTGAATATTAAGTATTGATATTGAAAGTATTTACGTTAAATCAAGATTAAACGTATGAAAATAAATATTTTAACTTTTATTATGAATCTGAGTGATTATTTATTTGTGAGTGATTTATTTCATTTACGCACAATTCTTATTCCGAAAAATTTACTTACTGTTCATGCCTTGAAGTGAGTGTTACAGTACAATAATGAAATAATTTTTTGTTGAAGTAACGTGCAAAATTACAATGTTACTATTACAATACAAAACTAAATGTTATTTTATTTTTAATTTACGACCGTAAAATATCTAGTCCAACACCAAGAGTGTCCACCTGAATGCCATCCAGCCACCGACTGCTGTCAATGCATCTCATTTTTATTCTGTGAAAGCCATTTTATGGTGGGACGTCTGAGTGCTCCACAATAGGACCGCAAAAGACCGCTTCCAGACACACACACGGATACTGGAATTCTGCGGTCACACGCTTCTCTCCCAGATGCTTATCTAGCGACGCCAATTCCACTTCGCTTCCAATAATAGGCCGATTTTATCGGCGACTGGGCGTGCGAATTGCGACACTGCTCGGGAACATTTGAAAAGTGACTCCGTGTTGCTCTAGGTTCCAATAAACCTTAGACTGGAGCCTTTTTGACAATTGGAAATTAATTGTTTTCTCTTCATGGTCGAAGATAAGAAATTTTGCGAATCAAAAGCGTTAGCATTTCCCCCAATCATTTTATTTTAGTTTAGATTAGGAGTGCAGGACAAAAACTAGAAAACATTCAAACAATCCAATTTCTAAGCTTGTAATTTTTATTCTATCATTCTAATATATTCTTGCAAAGTGATGAACAGTAGGTAAAATGTTTACATGAAAAATTTGTTGAGCGTAAACTTGTTTAAAGTTTTTAAGTTTAAAAAAATTTTAATGCAAAGTTTAAAATAATTTAATGCAGACATGCAGTGAGAAATTGATTGTCGCTCTAAGCACTCCGCCACAACGCACGATGTCGTAATTGATTCATGTGAAAAAAAATTATGCCGTTGCTTTTCTTATTCCATCATGGCTGGCTTTTTAGTAGGCAGCGCCGTGCTTGCGAGGCTTGATAGGAAGCAGCCTAGACTTCAAAAGCTACAAGGTAAGTTCATTAACTTGCAGTAGGCCTAGAGGAGTTGCTGTGCTTTATGTCATAAGTGGGCCTGGCTAGCCTCACTATCGTGGACGCGGCTATAGAACCAAAGCTTGAAAAATGAACTCGAAACAAATTCTTGCTGAAGCCAGTAAATTAGCTTAAAAATGCGAGAACTTAGTTAGCGGAATTTAGTTGAACCACAAAAATTTTTTTTGCGTACAAGTTTTGTTAGTGAAAAATTTGTTGAGCGTAAAGAACGTAATAATCATAATAAAATAATCATGACGTAATAATCATGACGTAATAATCATGACGTAGTAATCATGACGTAATAATCATGACGAAATAATCATGACGTAATAATCATGAAAGAACGTATTAATCATGACGTGATAACCCTGAAAGAACGTAATGATCATGAATGAACATTAGACAGTAGCTTTATTATCGCCTCGATGACTTCGTTCTGTAACTCTGTATCGCAAGACCGTTAGACCGTCCACCCTTAAATGTTTTTGAGGAAGGAATGTGCCAATGATCTGGAACAGGAAATTGTTTCTGAGCTGACTAGACAGAGACGACAGTTAGTGACAGCATTCCGTGCGATTAGCACTGTAGGTATAGGCTCATTGAAAGAACAGCGTTAGGCAGAATGAGGAGAACAGTCATGAACGAGGTGTATTAGCTTATAAAGCATAACAGTGCTTGATGAATAATTTGAAAAATAACAAATAGTGACATGAGTAAACAGGGTAAATTACAATTTTTCAAGCAGCAATGAGCAGCAGCAGGCTACGGATGGCTGCAGTTCGTGAAGCGTCGTGCAGACATGAGGGAGATCCCTCTACCCCATATACAGCAACACGCTCCTGTGACCTCCTCGTAAATCTTAGCGCAGACGGCGTTTGTTTGTTTTGTCGTGGTGGGGCAGAGCAAATGTTTACGTGATTTAAGCCATGCTTAGTGCGTGTTCTGGACAATTCACACGCGATCAAGGGAGGGCTGGCGCCTAAAATTAGCTGATATGGCATCCACTGCATGATTTTAATGGCTGAAAGTAGCAAACTGTTGAATATGAAACAATACTTTCGATCTCTGTTTCATAATAGAATATGAAACAGAGAAATAAATTCATTGAATGCATGAATTCTATTTTAAGTTTTATAGAAACATCAAATAGTTGTTTAAAAATAAATATATATGTATTTTTATTTTCAGGCAATGACTCGGGACAAAATTTTGTGGACGTTTCTGCATGCAGTTTATGGTCTTCCTGTTGCACGCGTTGGCACGCTCAAGAGCCACATTTGCGGTTCGATTCCAGTTAACGATAGAAATTCTAATAAAAAAAGAGCAGCTGAAGGTCTTAGTACATCAAGATAGGATGTGGGTTCAAAGCTTGGATTTAAATTTACAGGTACAAAGCCCTAGCAAGCTGTACAAATACTGCGATGTCTATAATCAACGACAGGCCAAACTTTGTCTAAAAATGAATCAACGCCAGCATCACTATTATTTTGACCATAGGCCAGCAGCTGCCAAAGAAGTGCGATTTTCCGGTGGTTTGCGGATATCAAAAAGACTCTTGATGTTTCAACGGCCTGCAGATGCTGTCAAGACTTACTCAAAGGCCTGAAGAGCGAAAATTTGCTTTTTTGAAGGAAAAATGCATCTCTGCTCAAAAAACCTGCGGCTCTCCTCAAAGGCTTGCGTGAGTTCTCAAAGGCCTGAGGCTGTCCTCAAAGATGCCTATATAAAGAGAGGCTAAACATGTAAGCACGTGCGGCAAGAGCTCGTAAAATAGCAAAGAGGTGTGAGAAATCATTGCCGACTAAGCGACCAGAGTTCTTTTATAGGGAAATGATGGCTGCGTTCGAGTTTATGCTTGAACCCACAAGCGTCGTCACGAAGAGACGATGTGCAGACAAATTGTCTTCGATGCACGTTAAGTATTAATAATTTCAGATGAAAAATTTATAAATAACTTTAGATGCTAGTAATACGCACTTGAACAGTATCGCTGGTGTCTGGCACCGCATGAGGCGCTTACGTTTGATAGTATTTGTGCATTAGAACACGTTTAAACAATCCAATAAAAGCTACACACTGAACGACCAACAAAATATTCACCAGTACTTGATGGAATGGAAATGAGTAACATGAATTTAACAAGTTAGTAAAGATTAGTTCAGTAAGTTCAAGCTAATCATCTTTACAGGCATTATTGTAGCTCCGTGATTATTTAAAAAGTTGAAATAATTTTCTAAATTTACCACGTTTAGACACTTCAGCTTTTAAAACCTCCAGCAAGTATAAAATTAATTTACTGTAAGGCAGAACAATATTTAATGGAAGTATTACCCTTTCACGTTCCAATGCTAGTTTGTTCGTTCAAGAAGTGTTCAAGACGTTGGTTAATGAAGTATAAAGCTTGGAAGCAGTAACCGTGTCTGTCAACAGCTAAACAAGGGGAACGTCGGCTGGCTCGAGGAATTATTTCCTGCAATCTTGCAATTAAGATGGAGCATCAAGTCAGTCCTGAAATTTCAACTCTTCAAGAAGTCGCATATTTAGAAATGGACGCATTTGCATCAGCGAAGTGATTACAACTATCAAATCGGGGAATAAACGTCGTATAGGAATCGAAGATTCGGCTATCGATAGCAGCGCTTCCTACATTACAAGAATGTGGTTCTGTAGCAAATTAGTAGGAATAGAGGCATGGACAGCAAACCTAATCCCAAGACAGTAAACATGGACGGTGTCAGCCAAGCAATTGCAAGTAAGGCACGGGAGAGCTAAACTAGAACCCTAATGAGCGCCAACGAGGGCGATGCTTCGTTCAGTGGCTACCCAAACAAGTAAACGAGCTGCCGAAGGAGGCCTAGAATGTATACAGAAGGCCTATACCGGCCTCAGCGTCTAGCCAACACGTTTGCCTCACGCCTCATTGCTCGTCCATAATCCACTTGTTCGCCAATCTAAAGCATCATATACTTGTTGCTCGAACTGAGCTCGCGGTTTCAGGCCTTTGATATGTATAATACACTTGTTGCTAATACAATTCGAATATAATTTAGTTGTTACTTTAGATGCTGTATAGGGATCTCCAGGCCCATTATTTCTGTAACACTTGTTGTATACAAAACTGGTACACCATCCCATTTTTGTCGGCGGCACTGCAACGTGTATTCGTCCACTGGTTCCACACAAAACTTGAATGCTACGCATTATCTGTTCTTTGCAAGACTGAAGTGTTCGAGATGAGCATTTCGGAGAGTGTTGTATCTTTCGTTACTGTTCATGTGAGTACGTCCCGATGAGCTGAATAAATTTAATAAATAACTAACTCTGCCGCCCTTTTCCCCACATCACCAACAATTCAAAGTTGAGAAAAATATCAACTTTAAAGTGACAAGGTTGACATAAATAACACAACAGTTCTCCATGACACAATCTAATTTATCCATTATATTATAAATAGATAAAATGGACACAAGTCCATCGACAAGTAGACACAATTTCTGCAAGATTGAAGTCTGAGGCCGACCGCGGATTAGGACATTCACAGGCAGCTCGGGTCAAAGTCAAATTCGAGAGGAGGTTTTAGGTCGCGATAAGAAGCAGCTGAGCCGTGCTCACGGCGACACAGGAAGCTGCGGCAGCTGCTAGCGGCGGCTAGATCAGAACGCAGACAAGAAAAATCAGTCTTGAAAAGAGACAAGCCGATCTAGAGACAGTAGAAAATGTCATAGGCACGAGTGATAGACAAGTTGAGAGCAAGAAGAGAACGCTAGGAGCATTATGGATAGGAGTCAAGTCAGATTGAATGGCCATCAAGATGAGGAACATGCATGCAAATTACAGATGAAAATACTATTCGGTAGAAAGATAGGAGAGAGAGGGCAGAATTTAATTTTTTAGAATCGTAAACAGGCGCGTTGAATAAATTGTGAATTATTTTCAATCTTTTCACTTAGTTTGCAGGCAGACAAGAATTTCGTATAAATGCAGGATTAAAGTGAGAAAATATATTGAATTCAGCAGATGCGCCGCTGTTTAGCAAACAAGTTGGAAAGATAATCGTTTGCGTCAGTCTGCATTAAAAAATGAAATGAACCATGAAATGGATACTTGCTTCAAGAATCAACAATCTAAATGACAAAAATAGGTGACAATAAATCAGCGTAGTTAATAGAGGAAAAACAACAAAAACTAAAGCATCCCAGGGTTCGTCAATCAATTATTTTGTCTGATTCAGAAGCAAAGCCAATAATAAGAAGACTTAGAGATAAAGTCTCACCTGAGCGCAGGCTTGCGTCGCTTCATGGCGGGCACATGAAGCGGCGGTCGAGGAGAAATGGACGGCGTTTTGTGAGAGTTATGGACACCCTTACTCGAAAAGATCTTTTGCAAGAGCTACGGCACGCCTTACTGTACGTAGAGGTGTAATCGAAATGGTCAAAAGGCCTAAACTAATTCACTGTACTATTATTAGCTCGGAGCGTTCCACTTCAACTTATGGGCGAAACTCTCGCTGAAAGGGAAAACATACCTTATTTCTCGACATTGACGCACATTGAATAATGCATTTCCTCGACAGAATTTCAGTGAAAGTATTTTCCTACCATATAAAGGCCATTGAAGAATCTAACGGTCGAACATTTTTAAGCATATGCCCGCAGTTCAGCTCATAGCTATTGAGTAAAAGTTGTGATCAGTATTTCTTAACACTCATAACCTTCAGAGGTAAATTCGGTGACTGGAATGACGAAAATTTTGTTATTTGTCATTTCAAAAATTTGTTCTAAACTTCACAAAAACTTCAATTAACTCGCAAATAGATAAATTCAATATGAAAACTAAACTAAATATAAGAGGTGCGTGATTGCGAGCATATATTTCAGTAAATCTTCTAAGAAATGGTAATAACCACACGAGGAACGTGTCGCCCAGAGACGCAGTTTCTTCCCGACCCAGGATATTGCCTATCAGTTCGGGACTCGAGCGATGACGTTGCGAATTTCCGTGCCTTTTACCAAGTTCCGTACACATTTTGACTCCTGAGGCGTGCTCTGCGGACAACTTATTTCAGCCACGTAGGAGGAGAGATAATTGAAGGTGAATATTCATATTAACCATTCTGAGTTTATCTTGGATGAGAATAAATGAAAACAATGGAAACTGTATGACAAATTCAGCCAGAGAGATGAAGCTATAAACAGGAGTGAGATTAAAGTTAGGATATTAGGAGATTTAAATCTACGGATAATGTACAGAATATTTTACTGTTCATCTTTACTTTCGTTATATTAGTCATAAAAGAATATGAATGCCTTCACTATATTGGACTATGGATCCGTGAAATTTGTTATAGTGTTAACCATTAAAATGTTGAACATTTTGTTTACCCTTTAATGTTTCGAAAGTTTCCTAAAGCGGCACAGATTATTGTTTACAAAATTGATATAAGGTTTGATCCATCCTAAGCTTCGACTGTGAAGAGAAACTTTTGAAGCGTCAAGACGGGACTTTAAATCTACAAGTGATTTCTAAATGCACCCTGACGTCTGACGACACTAAAACGAGAAAAAGTGTGAGAAAATCGCTCGCAAGAACTATGCAAAAATGCGATTCAAGTCCAAGTCGAAGGACTTGTTTCAAGTCAATGTCAGGAAACGATGTTGAACATCGCAAGTTCTACGTATTTTGGACTCCAGACATTCACCTTGAGTAGCCCAGTCTCAAAGTTCAGGTCATGCATTCGACACCATAAACTGAAAAGGTTTTAGAAGTGGTAACTCGATATTGGAAGTATTCAAGCTAATTGAGCATGAATTATTTTCTATTGAAAAGTGCATCTACCAGATATTCCCTCATATTGCAAGCCATGCTAACATATTTATTCAAGCCATTGCATTTGCCACGTCCGGAGATCCTACCCGGTAGATATTATGCAGGAAATAATTTACCAAAAAACTACTCCGATTAATAAGAATGATAACACAAGGATTTTAATCCGTATCATCTAATGTGAGATTTAATTATGTACGAGTTAGTATAAATTAACGTCTATTGATTTGGTAAGTTTGATTAAGTCAAAGGTTTTTACAAAGAACACTGGTTGTATTGATTTGTTAAGAATTAAATCGAACAATACAGCTGCCCACCCCCAATCTCAATGATGACTTTAACCTTGCATTAAATCTTTTTATACTTTGGAAGATACTTCTATGTTTATTTCGAAGAAGCTCCAATCCTGTAATCGATGAAAGAATATATAATTGAAGCACCCTAATAATTCACAAAAAATATCACAAGTTATTACAAAAATATTAATATCTTTACATCGACCACAGCTATCAAAAAAAATTCTTGGTTTCCTCAAGTCGATAATATAGATTACAATCAGTTTACAAATACCGGAAGTGTTCTTATTAAAACAGCTTATCAGCACAGAGATTTAATCGCGGTCATTGTGGACGGGCATCACAAGCACACCCTCCGCACCACGCTCCTCACGACGTCTCGAGATCAACTGAGGCCGAAAGTCGAGGTTAGGTTAGCATGATGGCGGGAAATGCACTGTTCGTCTGCAGGCGATAAGACCTATCCTCATATAGTATCCTGTCATCGCCATGAGTATCCTGTCATCGCCATGATTCTTGTGGGCGTCCGATTTCAAACAGGACGTCGCCTAGACCTTCCTCAGCCACCGACGAATCTTCTCAGTTATTTGGGGGAAATTTTTGTCGGAGAAATTTTAGTCAGAAAAGCTTGACACATTTTCGTACAAACTTTTTGATTTAGTCTTCAATTTGCATTTGTCTTCGTACTCTGTATTAGTCTTCATACTATCATTGAGGTGCAATTGAGAGCATACAAAAATACACGTTGTTGTGTACCCAATCGAATGACGAGAATGCTCCATTTATGTTTGTTTTCTTCTCATTCATATAATTCGCAAAATCATATTAATTAATGGAGCTGGGTTTCACGCCACACCTCTCACCTTTAACTTTTATCAACGGAACGGATTTCTCATGAACTCAGGAAATGGTAAACCCAACCAACTGGCGCCGTGGCACCGTGTGAAATGTCAACCGGTGTGAATGCGTCCACCTCCAGGCTGCAACCACGATGGGAGATTTGTCATTCATTAAATCAGTTGTCTTGAGTGACAATTGATTAAAATTTGTGCAAGGTCAACTGTAGTTTCCTTTTCATTCTTCCAGTTATTCAAACTGTAGTTCAAAGGCTGTGCTATCGTGAAATTATATATGTTCCCAGGTCATTCCTTCAAAGCTCATCGTTGCTCGTTAGCTCGGTAAGGAATCCTTCAATTGAACGTGTTGAATGAAGAGGCAAGGTGATCTTCCTTTCAGTAGAAACGCAGTTTATATCACACAAGTATGTGTAGCCCGCACACTGAGCTCGTGACGTCAAACGTGGTGCTGCAGAAGTCGAGGAATTCTGCTTGAAGGAACCTCATTGGCCGCTGACCGAGAGTTATGCGAACTGCGCGAAGAACTTGTATAAGCTTCTTCATTTGAGGCTCGTCTCCTCATCAGAAAGGCTAAACAAACATGTCCAACTCTCAAACTCCTCAAAAAGGCGCCCAACTCAAACTTCTGCTCATGAAACACAGTAAACTATGTTCGAAATTAAAGATGAAGTAAGCACTTGGCCATTCCTAACTCTTCTTTTAAATCGCTTGTGATCCATCTCATGAAAAACGTTCCCAAAAAGCGCATTGCAAAGGATTAGTTTGCGCGTGCAGTTCAAGAGGTTGATTAATTGATGTTTACTCACTAATGAATACAAAGGCTCAAACTTTAGTGGAAGATTTCAAGAATTAGCTATCTCGTATTTTCTCAATAAAAATTAAGTTTTAAAATGAAACACGAATTATCGGAGATAAATCCGTTTTGCTGGCAGTCTTGTTTGAAAAATATAAACCCCTTGCTTGTGATGTAACATTGCTCTTATTTTTTTGAACTGCTTAAATTTGGCATTGAAGAGCTAGTAAAGTGGACGAAGAATTCAACCCAATATCGTCACTCAAAAACACGAACGTTAAGGAGTGTCACAAAAAGTTGCTTGTAAGATTTTTATAGAAATGTCTTTGAAATCTTGCTGGTATTTTGTTAGAAACGAGTTATTTTTATTATATGGAATATTATTATCTCCAATAATACTTACATCAATACCTAAGAGAGATCCCTTCGTGATGAAAATATTGATGTTTTATAACCCAAAATATTTAAGTTTCAATGCGTTCATCTCAAGAGATTTTTCTCACTGCTTGCGTGACTCATTCCTTCTGGCAAAGACTTATGTAGTATCACATCTGTGGCGGACTTGTTACAAACACCACGGTTGGGAAATGCAGGTTGTGCTCCTGCAACCTCAGACCCAGAGCATGATCTGATCTTGGCTTCTGAGAAGGGACAGTAAACTGAGCCCAGCTGTGATCATCGACGACTGAGTCATTCCTGATGACTTTTTATCCAGGAATGCCATTCCTTGGATGAGGCGTGTTACATGGGAAATAACGCGATTTCTAGATGGGAGGATTATGTACTACCAATGAAAAAAATATTCTGGTCCAGGAAACGTGCTTTGGACGCTTAGCTAAAACATAATTAATTAAGAACGGCGAGGACCAAAAATGCAAGCGTGCATGGTGGTGAATTCGGCGAAGACATGAACCATCACACCCGAAGCTGCTTGTGGACTCATTAAAAATTTCTGTTGCACATTCATTCATTTTTTCAATACTCTGATAAACAATTACTTGACTAAGATAAGGCTGGGAGGTGCATTTGTCCCAATCAGTATCAATTTAAACTAAAGTAAAGAAGATACTCTGATGAACGATTTACGACTGATTTTACACATACAAGTTTTTGTGTAAAAGTTCTCCGGGACTGGAAATTTTGCCCAATTCCTGTTTTCAACGGACTAAAAATGTCATTATCAAAAGGCTTGCGTCCATTAGAATTTCAAGAGCAATTGTGTAAACCAGCAATGATGCGTGATGTTGTTTACGACAGTTGAACTAATGCGGAAGAAGATGTTAAGTCGTGCGTCACATCCTGATCGAGGGCTGCAGTGAAGGAGAGTGGGCGAGTGTTGCTTGTAATGTGCTATTCTGAGGAGTTACTTATTCCAAAGTTATGCATGAAATTCGGTTTATAAGAAGATTTGTTGATCAATAATCTCGATCACGAATGGGCAAAACTTAGATTAAAGAATGAATTACGGTACAACTCAATTATTTTCGTAACTTTGAAGCGAAGTGACATAAATTTATCGTGATGTATCGGAAAAAATTTCCGCTCTTGGCATCGTCCAGATCTTAGCGTGCTTCAACTCAACATATCACTTATTTAGTAATGACTTTATTTTGTATGATTGGGACGATTTCCTGATGGAAAAGCTTTTTGTCTAAAACAACAGTTATCGGGAAGTAATTTAAAACTTATTAATGATACAAGATTGTTTTACTGTGAAGTGAGCTCCTCAACATCATCCAACGCTTGTTTCCACATTAGTTCAAGAGTTTCAAAAACTCGCAATTCATTTTAAACGAATTCATGAAATAAGAATAATCTACAACCCTAAATATCACTGTAGAAACATCGCATGTCGGCAGTCAACGTCTATCGGGTGGCTCCAGTGCTTAGTGTTCATCTGGATTTTGAGGTCAGTGTCGTTCCAGACTCGTGTGTGGTGGGTAGTGTGTGTTCTCTAACTTCTCTTTCCAATGGAAGAGCTGGAGTAGGTGAATCATTTCACTACTGGTTGCGTAATATCTTGATAACATATGGATGAGAGAATAAAGTTTGAAAAGGTAAACAAATTTCTTCAAAGTGATTTTTATGTTACAAAGAATACTGTTTGACATTAGTCATTGTTTACCTGGTCGAACTAGGACACAATTTAACCGCATCGATGTGTTCGGTAACGATGTCTTCGCGAGCGCGTCTTCTACTTCGTGGTTCGGGGGTGATTGCATAAATACCGCTTGTCTCAATAAATACCGTTTAGCGTAAATTGTTGGCAAATTATTAAAATCCAAGTTTCATTAAATCATTAAATAAATTTCTAGTTTAAATGATGTTCACTTCGTAATTACTGCCATTTTAACCCAAGATTAAATATATGTAAAATTCGTTCATCAAAGTGATATTAAAATATCTATTCAAATTCAAAAATCTTGAATGAGCATTAATATATGTCAAAAAGGCGAAGAAGCGGCCCTAGACAACCCAAACCAAAACTTTACTATAAATGTAGAGAGGTGTGAGCGCTGCTGGATTCGAGTGCACGTGGCGTGAGCTTAACTTTATAGTACAAAAATTAATGTTCAGTGTGTGAAAAGCAAGTTCTCCCAATTACTGGCGTTGAGTGCAAATTTTACAAGCCTTGAGTTTTCAAAAATAAAAAAAATTATTGTTGAGTGTGTAAATATTGGATTCTCATACTGCATGGTATTAAGCGTGCAAGCTTAGAGCTCACTGAAAGTACAAAAATTACTGTTAGCTTTATAAATATTGAGCGCGCCCGTGTCGAACGTATATAAAGCAAAAGATTTTAATTGTACTGTAATACAGAGTTTTCTTAGCTAAAATATTTCTAGTGATAATGTATGTATAGGCACGCTTATATGCAACTGTGTGGACCCAACCATTCGCTGCAACACAATTATGTCTGATAAGAAGACCTAGTTACGCCGATTAAAATGATGGGTCATCGATTGCTTGTTGGACTCCGAGAATTACGTTCACTTCGTTGACTCACGAGGGCTGTGCTGCGTGAATATTTTGTAATAACCTAGCTATTTTTATTGCCATTCAAACGAATTGTTTCCGGAGCTCCGCTCGCGGGTTCTTCTATGGTGCGTATATGCTATCGCAGATTGATAAGATTGCTCACGTGCTTATGTATGTGCTTAAAGGAATTTCAATCAGGGTTTTTACCGGATCTCCATAATAACTGAATTCTCCTACTCTAAAGTCTAAACGATACAAATATATGACAGTCTGTCACGGTAACTCAATCACAATGCCACTGAAATTTTAGGGCTCTTCCGACACGTGCTAGAGGTACGAGTAATTGTAGTCTCAATACACGCCCCATAGTCCACCAAACATGTTTAAAACAATAATTCTAGCCTCTGATATTCTTAAATATATTATAGTGGCACCTAACTTTTCTTTTCTGATTGATGGTTAGTTTTTGTAGCCAGGGCGTGATTTTAAAAAGTAAAGCGATCAGGGCAGAGGCGTAATTGGCGCTATTGGACCGAATTACCAGTTCGTATACAGACTGCATCAGCGTTTCCTGACCAAAGCTCCTTTTAAGTGTGGCGCAAAAATATTAATTTTTCCTCCTATTGGAAATCCTGTGGTTTTTGAATAAGTACATAATTCGTTTCATTTTTATTCCATTTATAGTTTATTACGCCTAAGATTGAATTTAAAATAAAGCGTTGATAGGTGAAGTGAAAGTTGTGAGGCCTACATGCATTTCTAGCACCTTGAACACTCAATTCTGTTTCACCTACAATGAATTTCAGTACTCTTAGTTTTTATGAAAGCAAACAATTGATATCCGTCATGTTGTTATTGAAGTCTTTTGTTGACAGATACATACTGTGAGATTTAAAAGATAAAGACAACATGAATTATTCAATAAGCAAGAGAGTGGAAGCAAGCAAGGGTTAACAAATAATTATTGAGGCAACGTAATGGATCATTGCCTTTTTATGAGTTATTGGCAACGTAACTATTTACGACCGAGATGAACACTGCAAGTAAGCAAGTCGGGGGTACCTATTATTGGCTGCGGTAAAGATAACTTTGCGTGAGAACATATAAAATCCTTTGCATCACTATTTTAATTTCATTTGCAAGTAATTGTGATGTGTCGTTAATTTTTCCTTCTTGAACGTTAGTAAAGTTGTGAAAGTAATTACTATACAATTTTTTAAACACGAGATAACATGTTTTACAATGCACCTAATTTTAGTGCTAGTTTAGATGTTATCTAGGAAGACAAGTCATTATAAACAAGAAATAATTGCTCGTAGTGCTAATCGAGGTGTAAGATGCCTGAGATGAAGATGGACGGAGATGACATCTCGGCCATGGCGGCCAGACGTAAGGAAGGCCGTAGGAAGTCCGATGCCTCAGGTTAGTTAATTTATAAATTATGTGGCTAACAGAAAACGGGTAAATAATCTAGCGTTCTGATTTACATATTTAATATATAAAAATTAAATTACATCTAACTGTATCTATGATGTTAGTTGGAAGTCAAACTACAGGTATTTATAACTGGAAACGATTACCTACTTTATTTAAAAAAAATCTATAAAACTCCTTAGATAAAATGAAATTCAGCTACAGTAGTAACTTACCTCATAAAATTTCAACCAGATGCTGTTTCAATAGAATAACGATTTATTCTAAAGAATAATTTCTTCAAAATGAAATCAATGTGTGAAATTCTTCGTACACAATAATGGTTATTCATTTTATTCACAATGTTCTTTTCCAGAGCTTTCTTTTAGCGGCTACACAAGCATGTCCCAGACGAAGGCACAAAATACATCGTTCGCGTCTTCCTTAAGCGTAGGACTGCAGAAGGCATCGCTGGCGCCCCGCAAGTATCCGTCAGAGGCTGTGTTGCGGATAGACAACTTCACCTCCGGCGACAACACACCTCTTTCTTCCCTGAGCCCTTCACCGACGCCTCCCCCCAGGGTATACATGCATACTTAACTTTTCTTGTGTCTGCATGCATGATCTCACGCAAGTGTAATATATACGGGAAATAAATGATGAAAGCTTAGTTAGACTCTACATACATTTAGTAACTATGAAGGGAACAACATAAAAAATCTTAGATAATAAATTACTAGCAGATTATATGTTTTTATATTAAGACTTAAGCATAAAAACGCATTTGAGAACAACCCCCCTACCCAGAAAAGCAATCTCTCGAATATGTATGTAGACAAAAAATACATATTTTTTTGTAAGTGAAGTCAATGTATGGTTATTCTTGTTATTTCACAAGATTTGTGAAATGTTGTTATTTCACAAAACTATTTCTCATTTTAAAGTGCAGAAGAAAGTTTCACAGACCTCGATACCCTGGAATCTGTATTTAGCTGTGGCGTGTCATGAGTCACGCAAAGTGATCAATACAGTTGTAGCCATCAAAAGCAGTTTTGTTTAGTGCTCAATGTGGCACAGCACGCACCACCAATCTTCTGCGTATTGACATTTGTGTGATGCAGAGAGCGGATCCTGACGAAAATGCGTTCCGTGGCTTGGCGCAACAGTTGCCGATGTCCAAAGACATCATTTCAAGCTAAATTTATTTAAAAAAATATTGCCGTAATAGCGTAGACAAACAAGTAATTTGAAACAAGAAAAAATGTTCTGAAAGAATGTTATCAGTTGTACCGAAGTAATTACATAAATATTTATTGAAATATTACGCCAACTTTTAGTGAGAATGCAACAATGCTTCTACAGAATTGGAACTTATTTGCCCTCCGAATTTGACTTTGATGAGCCAAAACTGTAACTGTTAAGTCAATATTTGAATTCCCCTGCTGGCCTCGCGTACACAAAGATAGAACAAACATCCAGTGTTCTTCTCGTTCATATTTCATTAACTGCTGCATACACGATTCCCAAAGAATAGTCCATTTTATTGTTAGAGTTTGTCAGTCGATCACCCCATTTTTAGAGGGAAGTATTTCATTTGTCTGATCTACCAACTCAGTTTCAACTTCATTTCAATAAAGTAGCCCAATGAAGATTTTGTATTCAGATACGACCTCTCCAATACTTAATCTTCATATACTGGATTTGATTTGTATTAGTACCGTATCTACTTGAACTTATTCGATATTTTTAACACACAATTAAATTGAATAATATTTTTGTGACATTTTCTTGATAAGTCAATATTCTCTGCTGCATATTGTTGCCTAGGTTGTTGCGACCCTAGGATTGCACTGGATTGTTCTTTTTGTTCTAATTTCACCACGGCACCTGTGCGTGGAGGCCCGTAGTTACGCCACGTTGTTTACGGCAGCGTGTTTACGTCGACCGGCGTCGACGTTTACACGAGGCGGGGCGCCAACAAGATAAAAAAGAGACGACCCTCGACAGATTGAGGCTCTTTGCCCAAATCTCGGGGGATTCCCTGAAACGAAGCCCAAAAACTGAGCCGCAAACTCAAACAAGTGTGCGCGAGAGGCGAGCATCGTTCGCGGTTGTTTTAATAGCATATGATCGCTTTAAGCCCTCGTTAAGGTTCAGCCTATGAAGCTGTATAAATGTTTAATAAAGCTTCTCAGTAATCATAATTCAAGGGATGGATTTTATATTTTATTCGCCGCTATATGTGAAAAAGAGCAAAATTATAATCTCTAATATATAATCTCTCTTTAATAAAATCAAAAATTCTAATATCTCTCTATAATCTCTATAAAAATATCTCTATAATTTAATCGCCACAATTTCTAATTATATCGTTGTTGCTTGCTTGAACAATGTAATTTAAGCACACTATGGTTAATTTTTACAAGTTTACTAGAACATTTGCTTAAGGATTGTTTCAAGAATGATCCAGTTAAAAAAACAAGTTGCATGAAGTCGTATCAGAAAATTGCACTAGCAAATGAGGTTAAAATTACCAGTCAAAGCGAGGGCGTTCGTAACCAATAACGACGTTTCAGCTGCCAAGCAACACTCAACAGATCATACTACAACTTCAACAATAGATCGAAACAAATGAGAATTGAGCGCCATACTTCAAAGTGATATCAGGAAACGATAAGTAGCTGATACGCGCTTGGATAACACATAATATACATTAAAACAAATGCACTAAAGCCACTCGTGGAAATAAAATCACATTCTGGAACATAATGAAGATAATCACTTGGTCTCACCTGCTAGCAGAGTAAGGTTCCATGCATGTTGGTTGGGTTTTATTTTTCTGGTTATGATAATTAAATATTATTTATTAATTTAAACAGAGGTTTCAATTTCTTGTTTTTCCATATCAAAATTTCGCTCCAAGAATGAGATACTAAGGTACAAATTGTCCTACACTAAATTTGGTGTAAAATTTCTCTAGGTATCAAGGGAACTGTTATTCGCTGCACGGACAAACTTGGCGCGTGATGGGGATACTTAAATATTCTTTCCAATAACCGTAGAGTTTTATAAATGTTTGTTCATGTTTGTTGCAATCCGTTTACCCGCAAATTTAGCAACATTTCTCTTTTGAATGGTTCGTATATTTGTCTTGATATCTGCAATTAAACTACAGCATGAATGTAATGGCTTATTACATACAAAACTACATGGCTATTAAACTACAGCATGGCTATTAAATAAGCTATACTTAGCTTATTTAATACATTTTTCTTTTATATGGGGAGTTTGCTTAACATGATAAACTTTTGATTTTGATAAACACTAAATTTTTGATTAGGCAATCTTGTTAACTATATCTTACACTGGTGTCCGTAATATTTACTAATTGAGCCTGATCACCATTTATTTTATTCAGTTGAATTGCACTCATCTTAACTTTTGAAAGTTAAGTAATTAATGCTGAGAAATAACTTGATTGATACGAATGTGATAACAGTTGACATTTAACTGCTCTTGCTTCATTTTCCAATTTAGCTTCACTCAATATCTTCAGGAGCTGCTCAGCACTAGAGCGCGTAAATTATTTAAGCGAAGAGCCAATCGATGCCACAGTAACGTGGCAGCTCGATCCCAAGACTTGGTGAATGAGGGTTAAGAACTCTTGAGTTTCTTGATGTGCACTCTTTTTATTTTGAAAATATCGGGTCATTTGTAAAACGCATGCATCATTCATGGAAAGCATTATCTATTGCGGTTAGTTTTTTTTCAAAAAGCGGCAAATGCAGCTGTCATTGGCGAAAAAATATTTTGGATATTGCATGCATTTATTGTAGGTAAATATTATTTATAGCTTGTGTATTTTTATGGATAGAAAAATCAATGAATTTAAAATTTCAGGATTTATTACTGTTGCGATGCATGCAGAGATTGTTATTGAACGGTTGTAATATCTTTAACTTCCATTCGTTGGCGACATCGCAGCCCATTTTTTTCTGTAACTCACGATTATGTATGTCCCATCGATTTGCACGATATTCGTATGGTTTGCAACTATTAACAAGTAACACACAACTTCAATATATGGTCGTAGAGAAGTTTTCGTTAGGTTCTCAACGGCTCCCACTTGTCGACATAACTCTGCAATTTGTACTAATGGTATAGCACTGACATATAGCTACGTTTTGAGTGTCCGAAATTTGTACAATCCATTTGCCACCGTCAAATTTCTGACATGAGGGCACAAATTTGCATTCTCTGTTCTCAGCTGTACATTCTGCATTAAGCAACTCACTTTAATTTTTAATAAGATTGAATGTGAAAACTCGTTAAACTGCTTACTTTATCAATATGGCATTCATTCATCGCATATGTTGGATACTTACCGCAGAAAAAACTTTTGATCGTGTATTGGCTGGCTGCAACGAACCGTTGCCATGACAACAGCGTCTCGTGGTTCCACATTGCAGCGAATTGATCCCGCAATACCAGTAATGATCTGGATAAATTCTTGCCACGGCCTCAAATGCTGAGCACAAGTCAACGTTGCAAGTATTTTGTTTCGTTTTTGGTGTTAAACAAACATCGTCAAGTGGAGAAAAACATAAATAATACATATTCTGAAGCGTGGCCTATAATCCTCTGATAAATAAATCATCTTAGTTACTCACTCTTTCTGTTAAAATTAAGGAAATGTTACAAATTAAATTAGTTGCATTTTCCCCTAGAACTCTTAAAAATCCAAGAACGGAAAAGGTTCATATCTGATTTTGGTCAGATATCGAAATGTCAGTTCTTTGGAACTGACATTTCGCGTCTGTCGCCCGCGATCGCAATCAATGCAGAGTCACATATACCGAACTTTAAGCAGGTCAAGGCCTTCCTTATAATGCATATTTACTGGACGTAGATGATTAAGTTGGTCTGCTCGTAGGGTCGAGTATTCGGAATAAGGAATTTAAATAGGTTAAAGAGTAAATATACATAATTAAGAATTACTGGTATATATATATTACGTGAATTTATGAGATTTTTGAAAAAAAGTTCTCCTGCGTAAAAAATTCTTTTTAGCATAATTGGGCTATCAGATGCACAATTTAAAGTTCCGGTCAATCTTTGCCCAAACTTTTTTGCACCAACATAAGTAGTTTTCAAATATATTTATAATCACAAAAGTAAAGTGAAATGTTCTGACTAAATGACGGATTGTAATAATATATTTTGACTATTCGACTAAATTCACGTAATTAAATCATCCGTTATGTATTTAACTGAGTTAAACCTGTCAATCCAACTGTCTTTTAAGCTTGATTGAGGTGCTGTTGGATTTTCTACATTTATTATTTTACGTCTCTTTAGATAACCATGATAGATTATTGTTAAAAACAGAAATGTAGTAATGATTTTGTGAGAAGCCTAGTTGTGTCATCGATACTAAAATATTAGTTAAATTCACCTAAGAAGCAGAATGAACTTGTCACCATGCTTTTAATTTGTCATCTCTCCTTTAATTTGTCATTGAACTGTCCTGACGTACTAGTTTCGCGACCGCCAGCCTGACCTAGCAAGCTTTATCTTATCAAAATTGATAACCACTATAGTTTTCGGAGGCGTTCCAGGAAACCATCCGTTGCGGTATTTTGATATTAATTGTTTTCATCAGTAAAAGTATTTTCTTGCTTTTTCTCGGCGGTCACTCTTTTTTTCTGTTTTATTTCTTTTCAGCGGTAGAAATATTTCACTTTATTGTTTTTAACAGTAACAATGATCTTAAACCTACAGGCAAAATGTTCTCCCGAACAATTTTTAACCTAGCTTTAAATAATTTTCAACTTTAATAATTTTTAACACTTGGCGAACCTTGAAATGTTGCAGGTGTACGAGACGAAAGGATTTTTGAAGGATGTGATCGCTAGAGAACCTCGACAGCCCCACAATGCGGCTCTGTTCCAGAGTTACGACGGCTCGACCGTGAGCCGCAACAGCCTGCCTCCGCTTGTCACCGTCGAGGTGAGCTTGGCTGGAATTGAGACTTAAAGGTGCTTGCTTCTACACGGGGACAGTGCTGGCGGCAAGTAGATCTGACAAATGCCAAATGTCTGCCGCTTGGTGTTTTTCCCGCAAGTAAGCTCAGACACGAGGCAAGTTTAGGGGTCGGCGTGCCGGTATTTAGTCGTTACCGGCACGGTGGCACCTTAAACTTGCCTCGTGTCTAAGCTTACTTACGGGATAGACACAAAGCGGCAGACATTTGGTACTTTTCTGATCTACTACTAGCCGCCAGGTACTCTCCCCGTGTACAAGCACCTTTTGCCTTTGCGTGGTGAAAATTTAATAATAATTAAGATTCCTCGAATCTATGAAATGAACTGTCCGACTTCTTCATATACCTATTGGTGCTCTAATGGTTAAATGTATCGGTCCAAACATTATAAATTTATTTACAAAAAAGTGGACTGAGCGGAAAAAAATTCGCATATACCAGCTAGCAGCACGTTGGATTAGCTCAGGCGCTGTGACGACATTTTCTTATTTTTGATTATGCCAATAGCTTTAGATGAAGACGCCGAGTTCACAGTTTTTGATGTGTTAGATCAACAGTCGAAGTAGCGTGCTTATTAAAGGAATGGACGCTCTATTATAAAATACCTTGTGGGCAATTGACACTATCTCAATTTGAAAGAAAATGGCGGGAGGTGAGAGGGTATGAGAAGCACCTACAGAGAAATGAAGACAAGCAAACAGAAGGAAAATGAAAAGACAGGTACTCTCCTCCTTGTCCTGGATTACACAATACTTGTCGGAATCCTGCTAGGTGCATCGTAAGAAATGAGTGACAGTGTGTGACCAAACCTATTGCCGAGCACACTAATGTCGCACTAGCCACATAACTCCAGTATCAATAATTAATTCTCAATAGCAATGCTTCATTTTGACAAATCAAATTTCTGCATCACGTCATAAAAAATACCGTTTATTTAGAAAAAACTTCCCCCATCTTTATCGTTTATGTATAATTCGTTGTTTAGAGTTACGCGCTGACGCACTATTTCCAGGTGCATGGCACCACGGTGGCAGCTCTGCTGCACTCAGCCCAGCACGTCTCGCTGGTGTCGGCAAGGCTGGTGGCGCGGCTGCAGATCAAGAAAGACGTGCAGTCAGACATGCCCGTACCTCCTTCCCCTCTAGCCCCAAACGGTGAGACCATTTGGGGGTAAGAGAAAACGGTCATATCAGCTCACAAAAGGCCAAAACGGCCCAAATAACTAGCCACATAACTCCAGTATCAATAATTAATTCTCAATAGCAATGCTTCATTTTGACAAATCAAATTTCTGCATCACGTCATAAAAAATGCCATTTATTTAGAAAAATTTCCCCCATCTTTATCGTTTATGTATAATGCGTTGTCTAGAGTTACGAGCTGACGCACTATTTCCAGGTGTATGGCACCACGGTGGCAGCTCTGCTGCACTCAGCCCAGCACGTCTCGCTGGTGTCGGCCAGGCTGGTGGCGCGCCTGCAGATCAAGAAAGACGTGCAGTCAGACATGCCCGTACCTCCTTCCCCTCTAGCCCCAAACGGTGAGACCATTTGGGGGTAAGGGAAAACGGTCATATCAGCTCACAAAAGGCCAAAACGGCCCAAATTCTAAATTAACCAGTTAACTGAAAACTTCCGGTATACTACCAATTCTCTTTTACGCTATTTTGTCTTAATAATATGCGTTTAAAAATTACTTTTTAAATACAACACTTCTGAAGAATGCAGTGTCTTTGATGTTACACATGTACAATAAATTAAAAAAATTAATTATCAAACTTGTTTAATATTTGAAAATTTTGTCAATTTTCAAAATTATTTCTTCTGACAACTGATTCATGCATTGTTTCTAACTTTATGAAAGTGTGCAAAATTTCAGATCGATTGGACAGGTAGAAGTGTGTCAAATATGGATTATAAGATTGGGAGCAGAGAAAATTATTTTCAAATTTTTTAAGATTGAAATTTTTTTAATTTTACATTTGTTTACTCTGTTAATTGATTCATGCATGGTCTCCAACTTTACGCAAGTGTGCAAAATTTCAGATCGATTGGAGAGGTAGAAGTGTGTTAAAAATCGATTATAAGATTTGTAGCAGACAGACAGACAAACAAACAAACAAGAAGTGAAGTTAAAGAGAAGTGTTGTAAAAACAGTCAAAATACGCAGATAAATAGTAAGCAGAGCCATGCATTGAGTTCTGTNATAGGTTTTGCATTCCTTAGGCAATTTGTAGGTCCTATTTTGGTCAAAATCGTATTAATGAAGTTTTTGTACTGATGATGGAGCTGGACTCTGATAAGTTTTCACTGCAGACAAAATGAATTTTTTGGCGTTTTCTTTGATTTAAATGTGCTATACTGATTTATAAAATGTGTTCTAAATTCATGTAAAGAAAAGAGCACTTGTTGCCCTCATGTGATGGTACCCTCATTTTAATGGTGACTTCGAATCTTAATTCCGCACCAAAGGATGGGCAACTTAGACGTCGTCCACCGCATGTAGATTGAGTCTCTACAAACAAAATTAGCGGAGCCTCACATACACGACATACTGTACATACGACATTCACCAGATGCAAACGATCAGTCACATGCAGGCTATATCAATCATACAGGTCATTTTTTCGTAACAAGAAAACGATCACTTATTCGCCACATGCGATCGATCACTTGTTCGCCACATGCCACCGATCACTTATTCGCCACATGCATACGATTAGTTATTCGCCATGCACAAACGATTAATTATTCGCCACGGGCAAGCGATCACTTATTCGCCACGTGTGAGCAATCACCTATTCGCCACATGCACACGATTAATTATTCGCCATAAACATAGATCAATTATTCGCCACATGCGAGTGATCAACTTATTCGCTACGTGCACATGATTAGTTATTCGCCATATATATACGATCGACTATTCGCCTCCTGCAAACGATCAATTATTCGCCACAATCGATCAATTTTTCGTCAACTATTCGCCAATCAATCAACTATTCGCCACATACAAACGTACACGTATAACGATCATTTATCCGCCACTCAGGACCGCAAAAACGCACCGGGAAAAACAGGTAACCCAGTCTGCTTTTCTTACTAGTTTAACTTTGATTACACGGGTCTGAAAAAAATCTGAAAATTGTTTTATTTCTGAGAGGGTTACTGTTTTTTTTGCACTGATTCCATTTTGGGTCATGATAACTTCAAATAGTGCCTTGAAAGGGCATTAATTTGAATTGAACTCTCATTTCCCACCACAATATCGATGAATTTTTTTTTTTAGAATTTTTAACGACGTCAATATTTTAAGCTGTCCGTTTCCATGTTATGCGATTTATAAAGCGTGAAAGTGCACATCCAGCACTAGTATTAGTGATCATCAAAATTTGTTAGAAACAAGAAAATAGCTAAATATTTTTAATCATAAAGTGTTAGACAATGATTTACTATCGACGTGTCAAGTGTTCATGGAATAAAATGACGCAGGAAAACAGTGAATAATATCACCATTGCCTCACTATTATTTGTTAGCGTGAAGTTTTTACGGGAAAATTATAGCAGAAGTATTTCCGTTCTTTTGACTTTGCCGCTGTTAAAATGCATTTTTTTCAAACGACATTGCCAATCATTATTCATTAAAATTGAGTCCCAGCAATCATTAGACGTAGACTCAACGTCAACGATGTTACAGCGTTAGTGGCGCGGTGGAGCGGATTTGCCTAACTGGAGCGCTCCTCTTGTACAGACCGAGGAAGAATTTTGTATAGAAGAAATATATATAATATATATATAATACATTGGGGGTTTCAAATTAACGAATTTAGCAAGACAACTTTGATACTGATACTGGTGATATTTTACTTGCTATTTTTGGTTTAGATTATAATAAACTGATAAAATATGAGCCATTAAAATATACGTTTAAAAATTAATTTTTAAATAAAACCTTTCTAAAAAATCCAGTGTCTCCAATGTAAACATGTACAATTAATTTCTAACTTTAATTTCGAATATTAAAAAAATATTTTTTAAATTATTTTAATGCATAAAATAAATTAAAATTTCAAAATTATATATTCTGTCAATTGATTCGTTCATTATCTCCGACTTTACGCAAGTCTGCAAAATTTCAGATAGATTGGACAGGTAGAAGTGTGTTAAATATTGATTAAAACATTTGTAGCAGACAAAATTATTTTTTCAGTTTTTTAATATTAAAAAAAATAATTTCAAAATTATTTATTTTGTCATTTGATTCATGCATTGTCGCCAACTTTACGCAAGCGTGCAAAATTTCAGATCGATAGGATAAGTAGAAGTGTGTTAAATTTCGATTATAAGATTTGTAACAGACAGACAGACAGACAAACAAGAAGTGAAGTTAAAGAGAAGTGTTGTAAAAATAACATAATTAGATTAAGATCATCCAGATTGAGAGAATCAATGTATTACAATTGGACATGTTACTGAAATTAATCGGCTTTCAAGTCAGGTATTTTGATTAAATTGGAAATTTCTTGCTTGAACCGTGCGGCTTAATTAACAATTATAAGTGTTATACTTGATCCAGCGCAAGCATCGCGGCTCTGAAAATGACGAAAAAGCTCCATTAACAGGCTGAAGAGTAAGGATATTTTCATGTATGAAGGTCTTCAGAGAAATTATGTAATCGACTAAAGGTCAGGAAATTCTGTTTTAGAGAATCGTGAAAAAATTTTCCCATATATGATGATGGCAAAATAAATTCCGTAAAAAAGTAAAAACACATATTTAGTTTCGTATGATCGCGCGGTAGGAAACTTTCGCGCTTCATAGTGTAATTAAATTTTTTAAACGAATATTAGTAGGTACGGAAACGGAATGGCTTTAATTTTTAAATGGAAGCAAAATGAGTTAAAAAATATTAGAGAATAAAATTTCTCACTATATTAATATAGGACTTTAATGTCTGAACCAAGCAAAGATAATTTGAATTCAATTTCGTCACATAATTATAATTGCTAAACTTGGTTTCAAAATATAACACAACAGGAAATTCGATGAAATTTTTTTTTTCGCAGGAAGTGGATCTGCCTGGCTAATAGATGGTTGCTTGAGATACTTGGAAATCTCCCTTAAAGGAACGAAGTTTGTAACACAATTTTTTGTAGGTGAGTAATATACATTGGAAGTGAGAGGTACAGGTAAGTATGGGGGTTGGTGCGTTACATGGACTAGCGATAGTTCATGGATTGCTCGGTCTTTTAAGATGCAACTACAGTTCATTTAAAATACTTTTAGTGTATTTGTTTTATCTGCCCTGAAATTTACTTGAATCGCAAGCACTAATTTACCATATACTTCTATGATAATATTTCTTTCAACTGTATTAATTAAGAATAAGTCGCAAGAGCTCTCAATTAAACATTTATTCTTTCCAGCTCGTGATTTGCCAGCCGATATCATCCTTGGCGTTGATTTTTTAAGAAAAACCCAAATGCGTCTAAATTTTTCGGAGAGCTGCGCTTTTTTCTCGAGTGGTGGAAAAGACGTCAAAATTCCGTTCTTATCATCCAAAGAAGTATCGGATCATCAGCACGTCGCATCTACGGCCGCTAGAGCACATTCCTCCAATTTCTGATAGCGAAAATCTGTGTAGTGTTCAGGCAAAGACTGGAGCATGGAATAAATAAATTTTTTGCATGTTACGCGTTAATCGTGAATTCTGCATTCACGAGTGATATGGTTACTCTGTGCTTGCAACAATAATCAAGAGTGAAGGTTATATTCTATGTTATAATGTAAATGTAGGCAAAGGTTCCGATAACAATTAATTGTAGCCTTGTTGCATGATATTTTTGCTAGAAATGAACAAGGTATGTACTAACTTCATAAAAATGATAGCAACACCATCATGATCCCTTGTCATTTATTATTCACCAATGAGCAATTTCATTTGTTTTTCTCGTAAATTTCCTTCCGAAATAAGGCAAGTTTATGCTAATGATCTTTTCCAGCATCGTGCACTGTTGGGGTTAAGAACAGGTTAAATATTCTAAATATTCAATGTCTCTGCAGCCTTGACGAATAGATGCGGCTCAAATTAATAGCGGTACTGTATCCGAACAGAGTTAAAATAGTTTTAAACTGACTTAACAAACCCTTTTATTTCTTATGATCAATTTATTCGAAAAATTATCCGGTTTAGGTTAAAACCAATTAGCGAAATTTACAAGCGAGTTGTAGCTACCATAAATAATTATTTCAAAATATTAAACTCGTTTCCCACTATAGTCGTTATTTTCTCGGTCAGGTTTAGTAAGGTGGATTACATTTCCAGGTAATTGGATTCAAAATATTTTACGAATTGTCTAAAAATCATTGGTAACTCTCCTGATACTATTTTATGCAGCCTGCTGAACGTAGTTATAATTTTGATGGAACTTAAGACATTGAATTCTTTTGCAAGCATTGCACAAGCAAGCTGCAACGGTTAGTGCATTGATGTGAACTAAAGTACCTGAACAACCCATATAAAAATAAATAATGTGAAATGATTGTTGTTGAATGATGATGTTGAGTATCGTCATTTTCAGACACAGCATTTATTTTGCGCCCTTAACTACTAGGCTTTACCAGTTGTTAGGCATTACGAATCCGACGTCATTTGTAAATTCTGTTACCTTCTGTTAATTAAATTTATTAGTATCTTGTGTTGTAGCCTGCTGTTCAGCTAATGAAGAACTACGGGCAGCTCAAAATATCTATTCCTTTTGTGATTAACCATCTTCTTCTGGCTTGCTAAATTGTAATGATATTTTACGCTTTTTTGTCGCTATTAACTAAGCCACAGCTTAAGATCGTCATCTTGGAGTCTATGTGTTGAGAAAATGCAAATTGGCCCGAACTTGAACATAAATAATAAAGGAGCTTAATAATTTGCATTTAGCGCGTTTGTATTAACAAATTCAGTATACATTTATTCATTCTACGGAGACCAGAGACGGTGAATTAAGAATGTAGTAAGTGAATGCGTATTTACTGTCTATCCTGCATGATATTATGTTAGTGGAAATGTAGGAGGAATTGCTGGTGACTGTTTTCATTGTATAAAAATTTAACTGAACGTATCGCACGCAGTACCTTAAAACAAAGTTTTCACAATTGTTCAGCATTTTTATCACTAGCAAGCATTAGGCTGTGAGACATTTAATTATAGGCTTTTCAGTGTTTTTTTTTTTTGTGTGCGTGTGTGTGTGAAACTTTCAGTGATACACTCTCCAAGCAAAAAAATCCTTCATCTTTGCTCTGTTTAATATAATTCTCGATTATGCAACGATGTTCTTTATCGTTCATATGCATGCTTTATATAGTCGTGGAATTTATATTGAATACAGGAAACTGGGTTATATCGCATTAATTTTAATGTGTTTTGTAGAAAGTTTGGATCTCAATATAGTGATGAAAAAAATTTGAACTATTAGTTCTCAGGATGATTTGAACTGATAAGGGGTCATTTAATCTGATTTGACGTCACGCTATCTTATCTGATAAACTTGTACGTATTTGCATACAATCAATCTGTAATGATTCATGAACTGTTATGTTCACCGGATTCATCCACTGGCATTAGTTCAAGGGTTATTGGGTTATTTCACTTTGTTAATTAAGATTTATTTTAAGACAATTGAGTCTAGAGATAATATCTACGATATCTTATTAAGATATTAAATATCTTATTAAGACATTCAGTCTAGAGACAACATCTGAGCCCTGGATTATGCATTTGCCATTAGGAATGTTAACGAGGTTTTGAAGTCAAATAAATCAGTTACTGCAGTGCCTTGTACAAAAATATATTTCAAATTATTTTAAAATTTTATTTTGAGTCAAAGCCTAACTCATAAGATGCAAGCAATTTTCCAGGAAGCCGTTATCTTAGCTGCTATTTGCTTGAGTATATATAAAATAATTATATATAATTTTTTAAGCGTAAACAAAAAAAAATCCTATTAAATGAAGAAACTTTTCGAGATTATCTTCGTACCTGAGATTCAATAAATGTTTTAACCAGAGTTGACGCGTTCGCACGCATTCCTCGAATAAAGTTCGTGCTGTAGTCACATCTCATGTGTCACTAAAATTTGTACCGCGATTTTCCTTCTCATTTTTTTGCGATCATTCAACAATTATTTCTTATATTTTGTTCTGTTAAATTAATAATCACATTATCAAAAGTGTCTTATCTATTTTCGATTTACTAGCAAGTCATCTTAAAAAATTTCATCTGTTTAGGTTTTACTAGCATTTTCATCTAGAGAAACATTCTGTGTTCGCGATAATTAAATACGCGTCACTTTCATTCGGCTAGTCATGAAGCACCTGACGCTTCACCGGTGATGAGCATTTGTGTTAGTGTTTTTGTAATTTTATTTTGAGTTATTTATAAATTTTTATTGTGCTTTTTTTAATTTTTCGTGATTATTTTTGACAGGAATGACTCAGGTCAACTTATTCCTTGTCACAGTTTCAGTTTGTTTTTCTTCTTTTCTGAACTCAGTTATCTATCACGATCAGTTAGCTTCAGGGCGAGCCGTCCGCTGGATTTATTTTGGGTTCATATTTTTTGTTCTTTCAATAATTCCTTATTTTGATTTAAGTTGCATATCAAGCATTCAACAGTGCCTTCGTTACTAGTAAAGTTTCATGCATACCAAGTTCACTTCCCTGCACGGTTAAAGTTTGGTTGTCTGGCTGGCGCTGACGTGTGAGAGTTCGGAAGTCACCTTTTCGCTTACATGCAGTGCTAACAGCAGTGTACGTGTCGTGCCGAAATCACGGAATAACCGATCCTATGGAATCGGCGGCCAGTTAGCCGAATCTGTAGAATAAGCATTTCTATACTAGTATATGAATCTGGGGTTAGGTCAGTCAGCCGAGTTATTTTTTTAATATTTAAATATAAAGAAACTTGACCGACCTTGACCTAACCTTTTCTAACTCTAACTGTCTATTTATATTCTAACCCTAATGCCCAATTTTCGGAATCAGCGACAAAATGGTGATTATACGGCAAGCTGGCTGCTGATTCCATAGAATCGACAATTAAGCGATTTCAGCACGACATACGCAATTAGGTAAGGTGCATCAAAATGCTCTGCGACGAATAAATTATAACTACCTTCACGCGAGGCTTCTGAAGTTGATATATACATGTATTTTGTGTCTGATTAGCATGTCATGTTATTTAGATACTATTGATAAATAATCTTGTCAGCGGGCGACAGATAAGCGCACTCGAAACTTGAGGTTGTGACGCCGTGTTTAGTGTACTGCTGTCAGCTTAGACGGTCACTTGCTGGTTCTCTTCATACCAACACTGACCCTCTTTAATTATCAAGAGTGAGTTGAAAAGGAACTAATATGTGGAAATACTAATAATATGTGGAACTAAAAACTCTATAAACAATTTTTATGTTGACTTCGAAACCTCTATTCAAGTGTTCATAATATGGATATTGCTGATCAGATTTTGATTTGGTGAGATAACGTTTGTGGTATGGCATCCGTAAGATTAGGAACTGCATTTAAAGCGGAAAAATAGATAAATTTTACATATGTTTGTGGTGTATGTTCCGTAAATAGTCATAATTATGCGTGTGCAATTTTTGGACGAGTAATTTAGAGGTCTTTTTGCTATCCATACCGCAGGTTAGGCAGTTAAAACATTTCACTTGAACTTTTTTTTTTTCAACTAAATGCTTATGTAAACAAAATCTTTCAGATTTTCCGTGCCAGTCCCGTATATTGAGATAATTATATAACATTTCAGTTTAGATTTTGTCCTGAGCATTTTGTGTTTGAGTGGAGAGTGCGGAGCATGAAATGCTAATGATTTTGAATCTGAAAAGAGAAATAAAATTACGGAAACGGGATAGTTTAAACCTAGCATAACTGAGGTCGAATATATTAGATATAAGTATTTATATATGTATAGATAAAATGTTTTTTTTTTTACTGAAAGTGTTCGATTTCTCGAAAAAAATGGAGAACGTTTATCTGGTGAAAAAAATAATAATAATGAGTTAATGACGTAAGCTTGCATCATTTTCAGAATTCACTGGTCTCCTTCAGTTACATAAAATCGAAGCATACAAAATAAAGACACTTCAAGAGAATTAAAAATTGGAACTCATTCGTGAAGAAAAGGCAAGATATCATTGTCCATAAGGTTGTGGAATTAGAGCATGCAATTTGTTAATAAATAACTCTAATTTTTAACAGATTATTTATTTTATGAACTGAAATATACTGTACATGATTTTAGCTGTGAGCTCCTTAGAATAATTTCGAAAAAATTGCTATTCCAATGTACATATTTGTAGGTCAAGCAAGAATGAAGTTTCCTTAGAGTGCAGGGAAATACTCGGGCCGATTCGCCGCAAAGATTCAGATTCTGTTTCATCTGAGATGACGAACAAGGCGATTAAGAATTAACAAATTTTTTGTGATATTCGAAGAACTGAGGCGAGGTTGACACCCACAAGCTACGGGATAATGGAGTCTGAAAACCAACCGTCAGCAAGAAACTATTCTGAAATTAAGAGTTCACCTGCGAAACCGCAACGACGGAGCCAAGAAATAGTATCAACAAATTCAACTGCCTCTGAGGCGTGCGATGTAAACTTCATCAGTGAATCATCAGTCAGTAAAAATATTTCAATTAATTGCGATGTTTCGAAAGTTGACACGCAGCATATCCACGAAAATAACAGCAAAGACGATAACTGTGGTAACAAGTCAGCGAGACGAGAAGCTAAAAGCTTGACATCGCCGTTGTCGGACAAAAGGAGGGCGTGGTATGACGTAGGGTCGTTTATGCTGATGGATCAGGAACAAAATATTCTTGATACTATGAGTAAAGTTGAATTTGAACAAATGCATTTTGTTTTTAACGATGTTCGCGAAAATCATAGTGCAAGTGATGAAAAACCACACAGTCCGTTGTTTGAAACTTCCAGTGATGGGAGTTGTTCAGGCTTTTCACCCGCACGGACCAACGCGACTTCCAGTTCCACATTGGATAATGAAGAGGCGCCTCAATCAATTTCACCGGGAACATCATCTGAAGAGGTCCTAAGCAATGGTATGTCACTAACAACATCAATTGAGGAAGGTAAATCAGAAAACTCACTTTCCATAGAAAATGAGAGTCAAATATTTCCAGTGGACAATATATCGCATATATTGGTTTGTGAGGAAAGTGCCACACAAAGGCTATCAGTCGATAAGAGTTCAATAAATACTACAGGTGAGCTTAACAATGCCGATGAAAACCTTGACGAAGAATCCAAAATTTTCCTACCTTCAGCGATTGCTGTTGTAAAACAGACTTACGCCGAGATGAATTACAACCGCTACTCCTACAGGCTCCGATACAGTAACCCATTTCAGTCTCCCGTGAGTCCTGCTCTTGACTTATCATCGAAAAAGACGGATACTTTCGGCACTCTGCATCGTAAATTCCGAAAATCGATTCGTAAAAACAGCAAAACTAAACCAGAAGTTCCTGAAGTTTTTCTAGTGTCGATGAAACTATTCCTGAAAAAGGAAGAAATTCATGCCAAGGAGCTAGAGGCACTCATCACACACACAGAATCCTACGGTGATCCAGTAACTGATGAATGTCTCTTAATGCTGAAGACAATGAAGGCTTCGTGCGATGCAATAATAGAACATGCATCCAAGAGGACACTTAGCATCGGACTATTTGTCGAAATATTTTTCAAAGAAATTGAGCGTTTGAAGGTTCACGCAAACGTCTTGAAAGTTGCACGCCAAATCGAAGTCGCTGCATATGACAAGGACAAAAGATATCTACTCTCACTCCTTGAAAAGTTGTTAGTTCTCAACCAAAAACTTCCCTACTATTGTCAGACTCTTCACTCTTGGCTCGAGCTCAGGCCATACGAAGACAATAGTGGTCTGGGAGACTTGATAGACGTGCTTGAACAAATACGCTTCGACAGTCTACTGCCGATTTAAGTTCCTTGATCTTTGGTGTCCACACAACTACAGGCGAAGGAATCCATTTATTATTGTAGAAAATGAAAATGTAAAAATGTAGATGAAAATGTAAAAAGTGTAGATCGTTACTTCAGGTTTTTACTTTAATTTACTGTTCTTCCTGTATAAACAGTAAAATAAGATTAATTATATCTCAACCTCTGAGCTTACCAATGCAAAAGTTCTAACAATAGGTGAAGTCAAATACTCAAAACAAATATTATTAGCAGATCTTTACGCTTGTAATACGTGATCTTCTATAGAATGAAATTCACTTGAAAATCGTGTATTATTTCAACTGATATCAATAACATGAACTCCACAATCAATCGTGTTGCTAGAGAAAGGCAATTGGTTTTGTTAGAGGAAATTTAAGCACACGGGAACGATTTGTGACGATATAATAGAATATAAACTGCGCCTACATCATGTATCAACTACTTATCTTTACAACAACATTGAGCTCGACAAATATAACTGAAAATCTATTTTTCTATACTTCGTTGGATAGAACAAGAATTGATCGAGGTAATTATTTTTCATATAATAACTAATAGTTGCCATAAGCTACAAATAAAAAGCGTTTAATTAATAAGCGCTGCTCTTCAGCAGCAGATAATTCTGTTGCAATACTGCGACCAATCGTTGGTATTGCACAGAGGCAGCAAACATTTTAGCTGCATGAAACTATCGCGTGGTTATTCACGCAGTTTCAGATCGCAATCTTCCACTTCAACCTATAAACGGTTACAATTCTACTAACAAAGTTCTTTCTTTACACTGAAGTTCATATAAATGACAGCACATTTCAAGAAATAGATACAGTTGTTATGATCAACTAAAATCTAATACGACAGTAGTGACAAAGTACAATGTAGATGATATGCAAAGGCAATGAGAGTCTACAAGAACACAAAACTACATTATCAGAGAGCTTGAAACATTCCTAACAAGACTTTACGACTGGTGAGCCAACACGCAAATCACGCCGACTCTTCACCAAACCAACCAGCAGACCACGACAAACCATCACCAAACCAACCAGCAGACCACGACAAACCATCACCAAACCAACCAGCAGACCACGACAAACCATCAGCGACCCAACCAGCAGACCACGACAAACCATCACCTAACCCAACCAACAGACCACGACAAACCATCACCAAACCAAACAGCAAACCATCACCAAACCAACCAGCAGACCACGACAAACCATCACCAAACTTGATTATTGCCACTGAAAGCAGGAGCCCTACTTAGCAGCTCGTTTTGGAAAGCAGACATCAAACGTCATCAACAAAACGATGGCCAGGAAGGGAAATTTGCTGTACAAAAATTAGTTATTAATTTATTAAAAAATATATTATGAACCGGCAAAAGAGCGACTGAAAAAAATTGCAACTATACCATAGAGAATCAGAAAATGATGCAACTTTAAAGTGGCGAGAACATTTGCAGAATGACCCGGCAGAAAATATAGACAAAGACGACGATAAATATTGAGGAATATTGATAAAAGATTCCGACCTGCTAGAGGTTGTAAGATCTACGATGAACAATACACATACAGAGCTATATGAACCAATGTAATCAATGGGAAATAATGAAGCAAAGATCGTGCTTTAAGCAATTAGCGAAGATAGTGACTCCACTTTCCCTCAACGTACAATGGAAAGGAGTATCCAATAGAGTTTATAGATACTACGTAGATTCTATACTCTTTAGTCGTATTATCACTTATTCTGCACGTTTCAAATATCAATAGTTTATGTATATTCGTATTCTTCTTCTAGTTCATACATATTTTATTTACATGGAGAGTTTATATATAGCCGCGGAACTGATTTAACAATGTGAGTTTTCTCTCCTTCAGTGCATAATGTATTAGATGTGATATATTACGTGTTGCTGAAGCCCTCTAGGATGACCAGCAAAAAATTTCCTGACGATGTAAACGAATCGTTCTGCAGTGAAATTACTTATGGAGCTGAAATTTGAATTAGCAGAACTTATGAACTCAAATACGGCAAAAAAATTGAAGGGGCTATACGAAAAATAATAAAATAACGAGCTGCTGGTTCTCGCTCAACGGAATCACGGGAACGTGACCGATTCTTTTAACCCAAAATTTTTCTCCTTGTTTCTTTAGACGAACATATCACGACGCCTTGAAAAATTCACATATTTAATTCTGCATTCTTTTGATATCCAGTGTAAACCTGATATAGGCGAGAAAACAACATGCAAGTCTGATAATTTACAAAACAACGAGATTACGACTAATTATAACGTAAATTACTAGTGCAAATAACATCCAGGTAATAATATTGGCACATACTCTCATTGATGAAGACATATCAGATCGTAGGAGCGAGGTAGCTATTCCTCAACGTGGTTCTCACGTATCCAGTACAACAATTATTTATTTGCGGTCACGAAATCGTAGACATATTGCACATCGCGGACAAAAGCATGATGCAAAGTCATGGTTGCTCATAATTGATTGTGATGTAGAAGTTGAAATTGATTGACATGACGCCAGCGCTTCAGGTCTGCCTTCAGACCATGGGCACTTCAGCAGCAGCAGCAGCAGCACTTCAGAAGCCCAGTCGCGCCATAGCCATTTGGCGGCGCAGCTTCCCAACCTCCCAGTACATTTCGTGAGCTGTGAAGTCAATTAAAATTAAATAAAGCTAAATATAAACAATAATACCGAATGGCCGTCAATAATTAAGAATGGCCGTCGCACTCGGAAATTGAATTAAATAAAACTAAATCACAACAATAATACTGCTTTAAGAATGGCCGTCGCACTCTGAAAGTGATCAAGAGCGACATCGTTGCGAAACTAATTTGACTCTAGCAGAATGAATATATAAATACGATATAACTAATTTATTGAAGGTAAATCAACTGGAAAGTATTGATTGGTAACAATAAACTGAAATTATATCAGGGAGTTGGAAGTAGCATTTTGTAAGAAGTATATGAAATAGAAGTACAATATCTTCAAAAAATACCTGAGCTTTTGACAAGGCCTTGCTTGATGTAGCGAAGGTAGTTCAAGAAGTCGCACACAGCAATTATCTGAAAGTAAAAGAATGATTTCAATCATCAGAACAACTCAAGCCTTGCTTGGGAAAGGAAACAATCATTTTCACAATTCAATTAATAGATAAAAAACAAATTGTAAATAATTGTAGGAATAACTTATAAGCCATGATTAACGAAGCATAGTGAGTTAAAAGAAAATCAATTCATTTCCAGCATCACAGTGCAATAAATTCATTTCCAGCATACAGTGCAATAAAAAAAACAATGAACGTAGCAAACTCACACTGTTTCTACTCATTTCTTTATTTTCAGCCAATATATATGTAGTTTTCCAGCGAGTCTTAAGACTAGCTCTGACCAAGCCATACCCTGTTCCTAGCTGTGACTAAGCCATACCCTGTTCCTAGCTGTGAACAAGCTATACCCTGTTCCTAGCTCTGCCCAAGCCATACCCTGTTCCTAGCTCTGAACAAGCCATACCCTGTTCCAAGCTCTGAACAAGCCATACCCTGTTCCTAGCTCTGACTAAGCCATACCCTGTTCCTAGCTCTGACCAAGCCATACCCTGTTCCTAGCTGTGACCAAGCCATACCCTGTTCCTGGCGAGCTGGGATATGTAGTACCAGGTGTGTGGTTCATGGCAGCCCAGGCGGAAGCGGTACTTGCAGTAACGAGCCACGTCCAGCAGCACACATTTCCTGAACGACATGAAAGAATCACACCACAAATAGGGCAATTACTACAACTACTTTCTTCCATAAACAAATTAATAATCTTATATTTATTACAAATACGACAAAAGAATTGATCAGGAATGTGAAGCATACAAGGCGACTAGCTAATTAATTATAAGAAATTGATTAAAGATAATCTTGTGATACTTGAGGGAATAAATAGTACTTGCGTTTAATGCAACGATGAGAATTTATATGCTCATATTTTTAAGAATTTGATGAATATTTAAATGTTTAGTAACCTTTGACTAGTGGTAGATTGACTTGACATAGAATGGTCATAATGATATTACACTAATTTGATTGAAGCTCAAGAATTACGTTCACTGAAATCATCTATGATACTTCAGTTGCTGTCTTCGCATTTTATTTTGAAATTCATACATTTAAAAATAGAAACATTTTTGTTACAACTCATGCGCTAATCAACTGCTTAAAAGTAACAATATTTTCTAACTAAATTTCACAAAATAACTCTAAACAAACAGTACCATAGTAAAACAACAATGGAGAAGAGAGGTAGGAAAAAAAGTTTATCCCTTTCACGGGTAAGTTACCATATATGATCACTTGATATCGCGTCACAAAAAGCCTCACCACGGCTTCCTGTTTGATTTTGAGGCATCCTTATAATGCCTCAGTCAATCCCTAATTATCTGACCATCATTCTATCTATAGCATCACCAGCTGCAAAGTCCACAAATTGAAATATGAGCATTTAAATGAAGGTTTTGACTCGGACGATGGAATTGATGCTCTTTCCGCATTTTCTTCAAAAGGTGGAAGTATCAATATATATATTTATTTATTTTGGCAACTTGATTAAATTTAATTAAATTAAATTTTTATGTTTCTAACTTTTCATTTGCATAAACTGAATTTTAATTATAAAGAAAAATTTTTGTACTGATCGCATTTATTGAATTCTTCAAGTGAGATTTAAACCTTCAATAGGCAAAATTTGCAAAAATTCATAGAAATAAATATATTGTATAATACTTCTTACTTTCTTGAAATGGTTTCTGAAATTTTAATTTCTGGATATTTCAATGCTTGCCCGCTAAAGGGTTAAGCTGTCTTGACATGAATAAAGTGGCATGCAGGATGAGGAGCATGGCATTACAAGGGCCATGCACAAAATTTCGGCAAAACAACTGCATTTTCCAATGCACAACAAGAACTCATAAACCATCAACAATCTAAGTGGGGTTTTAAGTAAGCCAGAATCATTGATTTTATTATTAATGGATAGATTTAACAACTATTACTTTCAGATTCTGGTTCTGAGGTTTGAATGAAATTTCACATCTTCCCAAGAAAGTCTCGAGGATATTTCAATAAAGTAGGCAATGGAGCAAACTGCTCTTCAATTAGCCAACAAGTTAAATAAAAACGAACACCACATGCAAATGAGAATAAAAGATTTTATGCGTTGGCATCAAGAAATATGAACAAATCCTTCACTATGAATCACACGGCCTAGTGTAACTATGGCAAAATCAGCCAGCAGTGTCAGGGGCGTATCAGGGTCAGAAGATCATCAGGGATGCATTTTCAATTAAAAATTATTCAAAGTTTATAAAGAACTCAATGTTTTGCATTATATGTATCCAAAATAGAAGGATTTAGAATGTAAAAAAAGTGTCAGCCCGATTATAAGACGAGATCTTGATTGAAATTATCTGTTGGAATGACATTTCGAAAAACTCGCCTACTCTAGGGAACTTAAAGGTAGACATCACAAGTTAGGGTCAAGCACGAAAATGTAAACGAAATAAAACCTGGTCACGTCCGGGTGAGCTCTGCAAGAAAGAAGAGAAAGTGATCACGTGAGTGAAGTGCGAAGGTGAAGTAGGTAAAGTTGAACAGCTTTTAATTGCTTAACTTACTACAGCCCAAGTCTTTATAGCTCAGACACAACTCAAATATTGAGTACAAAACCCTAGTAAGTGGTCTGTGGGCACTGGACAGTAAAAACGATCAATGACTCGGTTAGTGCCCAACGTAATCACTACATTTGTCAAGCGAGTTTCAGGTGAAAAATTAAATGAAAATCATTGCCACACCATTAAATGAAAAATGATTTTCATTTAATTTCCTGCTTAGAAGGAGTTCCAAAGAGTTTAAGGATTATTATTTGGCATGGTGAATAGTTCGCACGTCTCTACAGTTGCCGGTGTCCGGTGCTTTTCATGCAGTGTAAGAACTCGTTACTCAAAGCGATGCACACACCGACACAAATGTTTCATGGCCCAGGAAAAAGACAGTACGTAAATGGTTACTCACGCTGCGGCGGCGTGCTGGTGTCGCACATTAAGCTCCTCAATGAAAAGCTCATTCTCTTGCACAGCCTTGAGCACGGCGTGGCTCAGTGTGGTGTTCGCAAAGTTCATGCATAAGTTGATGTCTTCTTCATACACGCGCCGCATGAAAGCTGAAGATGCAGGGTTCATGTCGCCGTTCTGCGTCCACGCAACAAACTCGCGGTGGCAGACTGGATCAACCTAAGATTAAAAAATATAACTCAGTACTCACTGCTGTGAGTGACAGAGAGCGCATTTTCTAATCGACGAAAACGTGAAGTCACGGACGGACAGACAGACGGACGGACAGACGGACATGGCGAGCATAATAGTGCATTTTTTCCATAAATGAGAAAATGCGCTAAAAATGAGCAAAGAATAATACTAAAGGCTACTTTAATTAGTCACTCATTCGTTTTTCTTGAAATCGATTCTTATAGAATATTTAATAAAAAAATACCCCATGATAATCCTAGAACGAGCAAGACTAGCTCTTGAGAACTTCAATGATGTGGAAAAACATACTGAATTTCTGTCCAATAAATAGTAAATCATATCAAGTTCAATATTATCACATCAAGTTCAACATACGAGTGAATGAAGTTTTACAAATAGAGTAATCATCTTCTGATATTGAATCAATATTTAAGCTGTGAAAGGAGAGTGTGATTAAAGATTTCATGCCAGCTCTTAATTTTGAAACTTTCTTTGGATGAGCTACAACAGCTGGTGACAAAGCACGGTAGTAGAATTTTGTGGTAAAAAATTTACATGGGATCTCACAATAACCCAGCACGTCGATTGGAATTATCTGTAAAAATTATAACTTCTCAACTATCAAACATAGACATCTGCAATGATAATTTTGTACAATTAAATCTTATTCCAAAGGTATTTTAGTAATTTGATGATGACTTTTTCACTGGAGCATTTCTCACCTCCCAAGCATCACAGTCGACTACAGAGGGCTGTCGCAGGTCACCGTCAGCAGTATGGGCCAAGGCTCCCTTGAAGGGGGATGAGGGCGGCGTGATGTCTCTTCCGTATTTCAAGTCAAAATCAGAAGGCGACTTTTTGTGACCGCGATGGAAGAGACGCAATCCTGAAAATAAAAATTGAGCTGATTGGAAGGATTTAATATTGTAAGGGGTCCGCCCACATTTCTGTATAAGACTTTTCCCTTCAATTCCATCATTTCAACCAGTGTGGGTCTTCTGAATAAAATTGTCGACCCTATTCTCCCACACTGAGCAGGTAAGCTAGTTTATAGGCATAATGCAATACACGTGTCTTAGTATTTATTTGGATACAGCTATAGATGTTTGAAATTTTGCTTGAATAATAAAACTACGTAAAGATAAATAAATATGATCCCAATGATATTAATTTAGGCTTGTATCTTGATCTTGAACGGGTCAGCTCTTTAGGACTGAACCTTGTCCCACGAGTTCACTTATAACATTATCTGTTATACTTGCTCGTATTACTTCTGCTTTCAGCCTGTAACGTTTATCGTAGTTTATAAAGCAACCTGCCTAATTGACTTCGTTTTGCACACCACCCCTAAATAATGTTTCGAACTAACGTTCCCTGAAAAATATATTAAGAAGCTCAAAAAGTCCTTGATTGGTTAATGACATTGCCGATTAAAGTGATTAGAGCAAAATTAATTTGATAATATCAGTGTACACATTCTTGTATTTTACATGAACTATCAACAATATGCAAATATTTTCACCAAAGAATTACATTTTTCGAGATCAATTACCTTAAAAAATCAAGTTTGAACATTAAAACCAGGTTCAGCACACAACACTTAATAAAATGATTTTGCTAAATATAGGTTTTTTCACCTGCTGAAGAAGAGGAGTTGCCATTGGCCGACGACGACAACATGATCGCAGGCGCTGACTTGGCATCAGCTGAGGGAACTGCACAGGCAGCACTGCCTCCAACTGCAGCTCCTCTGCTGCAGCTGCTTGACAGTTGCGAGTGAAGGTGAAGATTGGGAGCAGCAGGGGTTGATGTCATCACCTGTGGAAGAAAACAATCACTGAAACAAGTACCTATGTAGTTGGGCGTGCTATGCAACATGTCATGATATAGTTAATACAGAGAAAGTGGTAGACACGAAATTCTTTCATTCTGAGACATTATTGTAGCTAGAAAATTTCCACTAATTTTTATCCTCTCATTCCAGTGTGCATCAGAATTGATTAATTATTAAAAAAAATGCTTACCATACATATATAGGTATTCATAATCTGATTTTTTAGCCAAGATTGCTTACCTCACAAGCGTGTTCTCACCATAGCTTTGAGTGCAGTGACTTCTCCTGACAATACATCAACAGCCATCTTTGCCTCTTTCAGGCTCTTCTCAGCACCAGCAGCTCTCTGATTGGCACAGCTAACCATCTTGTGTGCTTCCTGGAAAAAAGGTTTAAAAATTTATTTATCAGGACAATGAAGCATTGAAAACCAGGTTGGTTCAGAATGGCAGAAAGAACTTCAACTTGTGGAGGGCCTGATGATAAAAAAAGGCTTCAGAAAACATTAAAAATATTTGGAAAGTTCACTTGGTGGTTCTTGTTAAGAAATTGAAAGCAATGTTCATGTAGTGATGAGATGATAATAAAGTATTCATAAATAAATGCAAAATCAGAAGCAATATATTTTTTAATTAAATTAAGAGTTTAATTGATACTTTAATGCTTTTAATAACTAACTTTCTCACCTGAAACAAGTTTGCTGTAAGTTCTTGTAGTTCATTCTCAACCTCTCCTCGGATTTCTGTGAGATTTTGTATCTCATGCTTCTGCTTCTGCAACTCCTGTTGTAGCTCAGCAACTCTGTTACTGTGTGCATTACAGCAGACACATGCAGTGGTGCTTTGTAAACAAACTGTTTCACAAATAGTACTTTGGCAGTCCTCTTCACACTTATTGGAGGATCTATTGCCTGCAGTACCAGAAGTATTACCACTACAAGATGGCTGTGGGCTCTCTTTGGGTAAATCAACTGATGGATCTGAAGTTTCATCACATTCACAACTTATTGGCATGTAACCATTCATCTCATGATAGCTATCATCATCTTCATTGTCACTTTCAAATGTTGCTCTCCATTGCCATTTTTCTGGAGTTCCATGGTCATTATCAGCATCATTGCCTCCAAAGTTATTATTTACAGATGAACTATTATTATTAATATTGCATTCACTGTCCATTTTAATTGGTGTGAAACTATTATTAGCAGTTTTTGTGTCAGTATTGGATGAACTAACATTTGTTCTTCCTTTGATACACTCTTGAACAATTTCTAGTTCCTTTTGAGAATTAACTTCATTATTTTCTGGATCGCGAGCATGAGCAGACTCACTCGGCAACATTTCTAAACAAACTTGTTCAGAACAGAGAATAGGTGGAGAAGGTTCTGATGTTGTGTTAGAAGAAGGCAAGTCATTTTTCTTCACTTGAGCTGGTGCAGCAGAGCTGGTGCTCTTCATTGCAGCAGCAACATAGGCTTCCACATCAGCAGCATTGTTATGCTGTTGCAAAATCTTAGCATTTTGGGGCTGGCTCAATAAAATATCAGGATTGTAAGCTGGTCCAATCTGCCCCTCAGGAGTGAGACCTTGAGCAGCCATCACGTGACATTTCAGGGCAGTCACTCGTGCTCTTACACCCCAATGCCAGCTCTCTCCTACTTCAGGAGCTCCTTCTCCCATGGTGTCTCTTGATGGTTAGAACTGTAATGAAATGAGCAACATAAGAATCTTTAAACAAATACACAAAAAATCATAGATTATATAGATCATAAGTCATTTTGGAGAAAAGGCTTAGTTGGCAATCCTGACATAGCCCCAAATTCTTTAAAAGCTCTATTTTGAGGTATTTTTACATCAAGAGACAGGCATCCAAGAAAATTTCTTTTTATACCAGCTAAATTGCAGTACGGTAGTGCAACGAAAACTTCTTGCATATTACTAAAATTTTGTGGGTCAATATTGAAAAGATAAATTTTTGAAACCTTAAGTATATGGCAACCTGATTGTGCACTTTTGTTGACAATTAGATAGGAGATACGGTAACACTAGGGAGTAGGGCTTATCTCGTATCTAATTGGGTATAAGCTAGTCATGAATCAGACAAAAATGTTCTTGCTTGTGGTTAATTTTTAGTCATTCTTAAGTGGCCAGAATTACAATTTGTAGAAAACATTAGTATTTTTCTTAGACAGATTTTTCTGACAACTGCTGTCAATACCTATAATGTGGCCACAGCCGCTGCCCAGCATGCATCTTGTTTTGGTCTAAATCCAGCTGACATTCCCTGTTCAGGATGAACAATCTGACCCTATTGGCCAACTGCAACTCAATGTAGGAAAAACTAACAACTAAGGATCAAAAAGCACTATCAGGGTGCACCCTGCATGCTGGTGCTAGTAAAAAAATCTCAAAATCTGCTTGAAACATCATCTGTTTCAAAACTGGTATGAGCAGTAAAGTCCAATATTACCTTGAAAAGTGATGTTTTTACATTGTTGAGAGTTTAATTGATACTTTAATGCTTTTAATAACTAACTTTCTCACCTGAAACAAGTTTGCTGTAAGTTCTTGTAGTTCATTCTCAACCTCTCCTCGGATTTCTGTGAGATTTTGTATCTCATGCTTCTGCTTCTGCAACTCCTGTTGTAGCTCAGCAACTCTGTTACTGTGTGCATTACAGCAGACACATGCAGTGGTGCTTTGTAAACAAACTGTTTCACAAATAGTACTTTGGCAGTCTTCTTCACACTTATTGGAGGATCTATTGCCTGCAGTACCAGAAGTATTACCACTACAAGATGGCTGTGGGCTCTCTTTGGGTAAATCAACTGATGGATCTGAAGTTTCATCACATTCACAACTTATTGGCATATAACCATTCATCTCATGATAGCTATCATCATCTTCATTGTCACTTTCAAATGTTGCTCTCCATTGCCATTTTTCTGGAGTTCCATGGTCATTATCAGCATCATTGCCTCCAAAGTTATTATTTACAGATGAACTATTATTATTAATATTGCATTCACTGTCCATTTTAATTGGTGTGAAACTATTATTAGCAGTTTTTGTGTCAGTATTGGATGAACTAACATTTGTTCTTCCTTTGATACACTCTTGAACAATTTCTAGTTCCTTTTGAGAATTAACTTCATTATTTTCTGGATCGCGAGCATGAGCAGACTCACTCGGCAACATTTCTAAACAAACTTGTTCAGAACAGAGAATAGGTGGAGAAGGTTCTGATGTTGTGTTAGAAGAAGGCAAGTCATTTTTCTTCACTTGAGCTGGTGCAGCAGAGCTGGTGCTCTTCATTGCAGCAGCAACATAGGCTTCCACATCAGCAGCATTGTTATGCTGTTGCAAAATCTTAGCATTTTGGGGCTGGCTCAATAAAATATCAGGATTGTAAGCTGGTCCAATCTGCCCCTCAGGAGTGAGACCTTGAGCAGCCATCACGTGACATTTCAGGGCAGTCACTCGTGCTCTTACGCCCCAATGCCAGCTCTCTCCTACTTCAGGAGCTCCTTCTCCCATGGTGTCTCTTGATGGTTAGAACTGTAATGAAATGAGCAACATAAGAATCTTTAAACAAATACACAAAAAATCATAGATTATATAGATCATAAGTCATTTTGGAGAAAAGGCTTAGTTGGCAATCCTGACATAGCCCCAAATTCTTTAAAAGCTCTATTTTGAGGTATTTTTACATCAAGAGACAGGCATCCAAGAAAATTTCTTTTTATACCAGCTAAATTGCAGTACGGTAGTGCAACGAAAACTTCTTGCATATTACTAAAATTTTGTGGGTCAATATTGAAAAGATAAATTTTTGAAACCTTAAGTATATGACAACCTGATTGTGCACTTTTGTTGACAATTATATAGGAGATACGGTAACACTAGGGAGTAGGGCTTATCTCGTATCTAATTGGGTATAAGCTAGTCATGAATCAGACAAAAATGTTCTTGCTTGTGGTTAATTTTTAGTCATTCTTAAGTGGCCAGAATTACAATTTGTAGAAAACATTAGTATTTTTCTTAGACAGATTTTTCTGACAACTGCTGTCAATACCTATAATGTGGCCACAGCCGCTGCCCAGCATGCATCTTGTTTTGGTCTAAATCCAGCTGACATTCCCTGTTCAGGATGAACAATCTGACCCTATTGGCCAACTGCAACTCAATGTAGGAAAAACTAACAACTAAGGATCAAAAAGCACTATCAGGGTGCACCCTGCATGCTGGTGCTAGTAAAAAAATCTCAAAATCTGCTTGAAACATCATCTGTTTCAAAACTGGTATGAGCAGTAAAGTCCAATATTACCTTGAAAAGTGATGTTTTTACATTGTTGCAAAACTATGATAGACTATAATAATACTATAGACCAGTTTAAACTTGAAAATCAGTGTTTATGTTTATTAAAATTTACAATGTGGAGCTAGTTAGACTCTTGTATTGTTTTTTTTTCATTTGAGATAAGATGAGACAATAAGTTTGTCTTGGTTAGAAATAAAAACCAAGACAATTATCAGCACTCCATGGAAATTCTGGGACAATACCAAGAACAGAGGACATGTCCCAGTTGAAATAGGAGATTTAAACTTCCTTGACTTTCCATCTTTTTCAACATTCACTAGTTAATCCTCAATTCTCATTATGTAATTTGAAAGATGAATCATGTCAGACATTAGCCTATCTGATTAACATTGTGTCTGTTTATGAAGCTTCAGATATATTAAACTAAACTCCGATATATTAAACGAACTAACTAAATATGATATTTCCTATTGCCCATTTAGCAAATTTGATGTCACAGAGTGAAATTGAAAATGTACTAACTAGCCTAATTGACAGAATGACAGTAACTGTCACTCTGTCAGAAATGATCATTGGGCAGCAATATTCTTGAAAATCACCAGAAAAACAATAATTTTTACCTACCATTTTAGAAAACATAAGTCTGGACTCTGATATTGGAGCCAACTCAGCCAAGTCAGGCGTCAGCCAAATTACCTGTGAGGCTGTGCGCTGTGCCTGAGCACTAACTGACTAAGGTCTAAACTGAACTCTAAGGTAATGTTTGTTAGTTATTCTTTATTTCTCAGTTATAGCGGATAGCCTATAGGTTGTCAACTCTAAATTTGGTGATAAAGATTAAAGCATATTGCTTAACTGTGTGGCGTGTGCAATCGTGCATTATCATCAAAAATCTCCAATTTGCAGCTAATCAATGCCTTCAGAGACTTAGATGAGAGTCGTGAGCTAAGATCTTGCGACTTAAGAAATACCTTGCTTTAGACTGGCTACAACAACGGTCAAGTTGTTAACGGGCGAACAACCGAACAAGCGAGTCCGCTACACTACAAGCAGAAGCAATCAAGATCATTAAAAATTGAAGTTACTCACGTCGATTACTTCATTATGTTTTATTTTCTCCCGTTCGACTCTACAGTTGTGAGCACACCGTTGTATTGTCTTGTCATTCATTTGTCAATATCAATGATGATAAATCAGCATTTTCGAGCTTTGCTTTTGTATCTTGGTAGCCTTTCACTCAGCAAATTACTTTCCGAATGACGCTTTCTAAAACTCGGATATTTGCCCACAAAAAGAGAAATTCATGTACATCAAAAGCAAGTGGCAGTGCAGTAAATGGGAATCCTTTTTAACGGTAATGCACAATTAATTAATAAGTAGATAATATAATGCAACAAACTGAAATTCATCCTATGAAATAGTTAACGTGTTACCCATTAGATGTCGAACTTTTAGGCCGAACACTCCATTAAAAGTTTGATGGTAGTGCAAATCATATCAGCGAGTTCCTGACATGGCATTATCCTTAATTACACTTTTGCTAAGAAAACATCAATTTGTCTGAATTAAATTTATTGGGTCAGATATGACACTGTAATAACTAATTCAGGAACAAACGATGCAGGGAAACTTGAAAGATAACATGAATTGTATAACTTAAGACGGAGCTAACTATTTCTCATATATGATATAGGTTTATATATAAAATAGTTTACTACAACAATTTTTATCGTATAATTCTCTATCAAAGATCTGATTACAGAGTAACCGTACACACGAGCTTTAAATACAAAGAAATTATAAATAAATTAATAAATTCTATACTTAACTGACTGCATACTATATAATTCCTGGTGATGGATTTGATTAAGATTATCAATGGCCAATTAATTGCCGGTAGAATTTCACATACTAGAGTAACAGCCTACTTAAACTTTAATTATAATGTAACAACTGGTAAATCATTTGGCACATGCGCCACAAAATTGGCAGGAAACTGTCCCGAGCGCCCCTCGCTCTCGCCGAGCAGCCACTGACCGCCCTCCACCACGGCCGTCACAGTCACCACTGCTCCCTCCTGTGGTCAGGGCATACATTTGATTTGAGACATTAATTACATCAGGTTTAAAGACATTGAGTTTAATGGCGCGAACAAGAACTTGATTTGTTTCATCTATGAATGAGACTGGAAGATATTTTATAATTTACCAAAACATTACAACATTTAACACATACCATGAATATGGCATGCATGCTTGACACTGCGCCATGAAGTGTTGGATTGAACGAAGATACAATAAAATGCGTATGAGACAGCACGCATAAAATATGGCAATTGAAATATGATTTGGGTCAAAACATCCGTTCGAGAATTCAATCCACTTCTTCCACGGTAAACTTCAATCAAAGACTAATAATTTCAAGAAACAATGGAAACTCATGTCAGTTAAAAATATAGTCAAAAAGATATTTCCTCAGTTTTCGCAGTTTTCAAGTGATAAGATAGTTGCTTTTTTTCTGCTTTTGTAGGGTAACAACTTGTTTAACAAATAACTCATATCAGCAAATGATCCTTGGGAGCCATTATTGAGCTAGTCTCATCAAGATGCAACTAAAACCTTGATAGTCTTTCCCTTTTGCGCCGCAAGTCCGCATTTCCGTTACTATGGAACCTTTAGGGAAATTTACCTTCAAAGGTAAGTCGGATGGAAGTTCAGGTGAGAAGTCGTAGAGAGCATAAGTCTGACAGGAAGAACCAGCAGCAGCAAAATCCCTCGAAACATCTGGATAAGTTTGTTCAACTCCTGTCGTGACCTAGGAATCGACAAGCAAATTAAATGCATGTTTGGGGATTGAGTTGGCCTAGTAATGAATACAAATTAATTAATACACTAGCTTAAAAAGAGATTGAACCATATTATGGCCGTTATTGTCTTTCGGTATTGAAAACACAATTTAAATGCTGTACGAATTGCATCACTGATGACGTAAGGTATAATTTAATTCATTTTCTGAATGATGTGACATTAAAGCTTGAAAATTTCAAAAAATTACCTTGACAAATGAAGCAGGGAAAATTCCCCGTCTGCCATGTAGCGTCCCCTCTAGCCACTCGTTGTTCACCACTGACACGCCCTCGATGACATCCCCTTCCTGTGGAATGTACAGCATGTAAAACCAAGAAATTAAATTTAAAAATACATTCAACAGGACACACCACAGACGACAATTATGGGTTCTAAATAGAAACCAAGTGGGCGTTAGTATTCAATACCAAGAGAGACCTTACTCAAATACTCGAGAGACTGTAACATTTTTGATTAGTCCATCTTACGAAGTTGAATGCAAAATTTCTGAAAATAAGGTAAAAATATTTGTAAAGTTATTGGCGAACGGCGTAAATTATAACTATTTAAACGATAAACAGATGAAGATATGTTAAAAATGAGCATGTGTTTTAGTCCTGAATCATTTCTTGTTCAACTCCCCAGTGGCGTTCGTGACGTGTCCAAGGCAATTTAAAAGCAGAGCTAGCTATTCTGTTCCTTCTCGTAAGGATTACTAGTGGTGATTTTGATCATAAAAATCGAATCAATCCCACTCTTCTATATGCAATCTCCATTCAGATGCGTCCCGAAAACTTCGACACTTTCCACCGGCAACCCACCATTCTTGAATTCATCCCCAAGCCACGCTTTGCAGCGGCTATGGTCTTGTAGACGTAACTATCGTAATCCTGAATGTCATGTGGAATACTTACTATTCCATTCATCACTTACATGGAATACAGTACTTGAGTCCTCTTCCTAAGTCCAGAAGAGGACACAGTGCCAGTGTCCCTAGACTAACGGACACTGGCACTGTGCCAGTGTCCGTTAGTCTACAGCCAGCCCAAATTAGGTAACTATGCAGCCGCCATTAGGTACCATGTTGCCTCTCACACAGGACACCCAGAACTCCGTCTTCAGGCTTGCCAACCGCTGCCTCAGGATGGTATCCACATACCATGTCTGCACTGCGATAGGCGTCCCACCCTATTCAGAACACTTGGACCTCGCGTATTATCGCAGTTCCTTTCACGGGTGTAAGGCTAATAAAAACCGCCATTCAATCTCATATCGGTGACCTCGCAGTGTCTCCCTAGACAAATTTCATCGTGTCACTTGGATCTTGCGAAAAAATGAAGCGATATATTTGTTTCCGACCAGCGAATTCAGCCGGGAATAAAGGGATCTTGCTAGCCGCACCGTCGCCGACTGCTCCTGGATTAGTCGCTCAGCTCTAGCGTAGCTTCCGTCATGTCACTGCAGTTCCTTGGCATCTCTTACGTCTAGGATATTATCTCCTACGCTCACAAAGCGCTGCCTCTCTTGAATGAAAATACACCCTTCTGTCCACTCAGCATCTTTTCGTCTTCCCTTCCTCTCCCATGGCCTTCGACATTTCATTTCTGTCGGCACAGTCCCGTTGTGGCAGCGGATTTTCCAGCCACCCTCACGCCTTTGCTGAACTCTTCCCTCTTGCAATGACCTCTAACTGCAGGCAGGTGTGCCAACTGAGCATAATTTACCATCTTCTCATGCATGACAATTACTGACTAGCGTGCATGACTATCATCGCAAAAAATACTTGTTTTGCTACAGTGTTTCTATGAGCAGGAAATGATTGCTATGCGCAACCTTTAGTCTCACCTTTAAGCACAAGTCGCCAGGTTCAGCACTTTCATAATCAAACTCAGCAACGGCATAAATTGTAGAATCCTGAAAAATATCCACACATCATGAATTTTTAGATATTGAAGTATTCAATCAGTTATATAGCTATATTCTTCGTGGAAAACAAACAGGAAAAATATCCCGCTATGCTTCAATAAATATTTAAGCTAAGAGTTGCCAAACAAATTTTAATAATTATTTACTTTCACACACTTCAAGCTCCTTAATGGTATGATGTAACAAGTAAGTAAAGACAAGAAGTAGACTATGCTGTGGTAAACTCACGGTAGTAGAGCGCTGCTGAGTGGTTTCATCAACGTGAAGGCTGGTGACGCTAGACACCGGATTTGGAGCCACGCACATAACAGTTGTGTTCTTGGGTTTGATTATGGTTGGTTTCTTCTTAACAACAGTGGGCGCTGTATTCTGGACGCCAGTTTCGGGTTGCGAGACACCCGATCTTACACTGTCTTTAACCGTCGGTGCGATAGTATCAGAGTAGAAACGAGACTGAGAGACAGGACTATAAGGATCATTTGCAGGAATGACGCTGGGATTTTTGCAAGCATTCCAATCAATAGTCGTTGATTCGAACTCGCTTTTTAAGCCATTGTAGTTCCTGGAAGGAGGTTCAGGAAATACAGACACTGGAGGTTTGGGACCGAAATTATTTAAAGGTAGATTGTCTTCTTCAATTGAACCGAAAGGATCTACCTCTTGATTATTGGCAAAGCCATTGGTATGAAAGTCTTGAGCAAAGGAAGACAAGGGAGCATCGAGAAGAGACACAGGTTCAGTGAGTTTTGGTTTGGTGTGGTTAGAGTTCATAGGTCGGGTGCTGCCGTGACCGTTGTGTTGATTACTTGGTTTACTTGGAGGAACAATGTTCTTGGAGGGGGATGGGGAGAGGTCGATGAGTATAGCCTCGCCGTTTTCTGTACACTCTGGGACGTTGTTCTGCAGCCTCTGCAAAACAAACAGGTCCAAATATCACTATCAATTTTTTAGTTTCATAGAAAGAAATATACTTATGTGCTATTATTACATGGGAAAATATATCATTTTATACTGAACTACTGAACAGAAAAATAGTACCTAGTAAATAACAGTAGAAATTAAAATATGACTACCTACCATGACCTAATGAAAACTTATGTTTTACGAATGGCCCCAAATACACCATCAAAATACAAATACATAAGCAATAGAGTCAAGGACAGGCAGTCTAAACAGTTGGACTGTCAGCAATATTTCATGCAATGCCAGAGGCCTTTTTCCTCGAGTTACCCATATGAAAATAGTAGTGGTGTAGAGCAAGAAGCATAAGCATGCAAACACAAGTAAAAGTCCTAACATTCAAGAGAGAGGCAATAAAAACAACACGCAACTATACTAAAAAAATATTATGCTAATACCATTGGAAGCAAATTGGTATCAATAGCAGGACATAATAAAATGTCAGTGGGAAAAGGGGCGACATTAAACTTACAAAGTATAACTTTGACTTCAATCTTCCAAAGGGAAAGACCTGCGTGGTGGTAGAACAAAGAAATGCACAAAATCGAAATTCATGAATTGGTGCCTCATATATTATAGGCCAAACTGTGTGATGTATAACAATTTATTCATCACAACCAGAAAATCTTGAATGCAGATGAATGAATGGAAGATAGGTGCTTCTAAGTTAGTATGGATTGTGAGGTATTAAGTGTATTGCCTCAAACTGGGTGAAAGTGACTTCAATCAATAACAGAAACAGATTTATTAACACAGCACTTGATTTGGAGTTGAAGAAAACAATCACAGATTTACTTACTCTTTTCAAATCAAAAAGTTCAGTTGTTCAAGCATGCAAAAAATTGCAGTTGTTATTTGGTAATTAGTTCTTGACATAAAATTAGCGAATAATTTCAAGTAAAATTAATCTTTGTGAAGAGTATTGGATTTTTTTTTCAAAACAAGCAACAGAAATGTGAACAGTACTAATGGCTGGTGTTGAGAATTTATTAACAATTAGCATGTTGTGCATTATGACTACAAAAAGTAAAATTAAACAAAATTACTGAGAAACTTTTCATGTAGAAAATTTCATCAGTATTCAAATACATAATTTCTTTATCTTTGAGTAATCACAATCACAAGATTCCAGCCTACCACTACAAGGTGTGATATATGAATAAGCTGCAAGTGATAGGCTAATAAATTGTCAAGCCTATATTAATTGAGTTCTTATATCAAGGATATCTTACACTAGTTGAAGATATTTATTAGAAGCACTCAAATGTTGGCCTCCAACTCACATTGCAATGTATTCCCAGTTTAGGAGGTGGAGGACGCGGAGGTGGTTCTTTCTTATTACCATTGACATGACCGCCTCTAGTGTTGCGTCGTATGAAAGACATTGTAAGAGGTTTTGAACGGGGAGTTGGTGACGGAGCCTCTGGCTTGGAAGATTTGGTGTGAGTGGTCTTGTCACCTGCTGCTGTTAATCTGCACATTTTATGTACAGAGGATTATAACATGCACATGACATAAAAAAGCTATATTCTGAATCACTTTGAAGTTGTTGACAATATGGAAAAAAATACAAGCAAAAATAATAGAAGAACTCAATAAATGAATGTTGCAATTTAATCATGACTGATTTTTCTCATTCAGCCATATTATTTATCTTGAATTTAAGAAAATGTCTAAAAAAAATCTCTAGGATGAACACAAGTGCATAGAGCAAAATTTAGATGAAAACATATGATGATACAAACTACCTACTCAGTCAAAAAATATACTTGAAAATTTAAATCCAAGAATATAAAAATGTACACATTAATTTCTTGCTCAAAGCCATTTGTTATTATACAAAATTTTCAAATATCTTTTGCAAAGATTAATCATAGTAATAATTATATTTTTGTTTCACAAAATAATCTAAGCATTGGTAGAAAACCAAACTGCTTCAGGTTCATAGTTACAATTTTAATATGAGATTGATATCTTTATATTAATTTCAAATTAAAATATAGTCTTAGTTTGACTGATTAAAGTAATAACTGAATTGGGGCTCTAATCATATTTAGCTTTGAAATGACACACATTGTTCAGTGTGGATATGCAAATAAACAGCAATACAGGTATAGGTACAAAATAATCACATTCTCACTTTACAGGCGGCAGCTGACGAGGAGGTGGTGGGGCACGACGTACTGGCTGCAGGTTCCCTGCACAGCAGAAACATGATTATACATATCGTGTATTTTTTTATCCCAATTATTTTTATTTATTAAAATTATTATATAAAACTGATAACATAGAATAAAAAATTATATATTTTCAAATAGCATTCAGCTTATCTATTACCTATATAAATACAAATCATATGGAAATGAAAAATTAACAAAATTTACTATTTTGCCCACATCATGGCATCAAAATGAAAAAAAAAAATTGTTGTTTAGGAATTCCTTGGCACAGTATTATTTTGTATTAATCCACTTAATTAGTCAATATTTGTATCAATGACATTGAAAAAATCTTGCATGTACAGGAATTATTGGTTTCCAACTATTGTTTACTCAAATCAATAATTATCCATGAATATAAATTTAAAAATCCAAGAAAATTCACAATATCTTCTTGAGAACATACATTATCATAGGTGATGTTTCCTAGCAACTTTTTACTTTAAAATTAAGTAAACCAGAGGAATTTGAAATGACTTTATACTATTTCCTATGAGTAAACTACAAAAAATATATCCATTAAAGTACAATCACAATGAAACCCAAGCAACCATAGTGCTCAGGAAAAAGGCTGAAAACAATCAGTTCAGAATATATTAGACAACTATGTAATAATGTCAAGAATGTACCGAATAATTACGAGTAATTTATTTACAGAACAGAAGGCACAGATAAATGAACCAAGTGGGAAAGAATTGCTATTTATCCAGAAAGCACACTAGATATTCAGCAAAAACCTGTGAAGTATCTTTATCTGAAAGAGTATAGGCAAGATAAACTATTAGTGTCTATAAAGAACTTGAATGCAAAACACAAACAAATGACACCACAAATTTGACATGATAATCAGATATATCGTATACAGCAATCCCTTGATTAACGCGGTTAATAAATCCCCGAGTTTTACCGTGTTAAGCAAAACCGCGCTAATCAAACTGAAGAATATATGGGAATAATTATAATGAATCCTCAAAAATAGCAAAGGAAAGGAAAATTATGTATGTACATCATATAATGATTAAGGCATTGCCTAAGATGAAATGTAAGGAAATATAGTACCCACAATTATGATTCAATCACTAGTGCAGCTTTTGGCCCAATTCTAAAAATTCAGACAATACCGTAAACCACAACACAAGTACATTGATACCACAAGTGTTTTAAAAACACTAAATAGATGAAAACATGTGGTGGAGATGGATAGCAGTCACAGAATATGCTTCTCCATAGATGGCAATTTACAATTGTCAGTGGAACATGATTGACTGTTATCCATTGATAATGATTAAAGCAGCTCATAATTAATGCAAACAACAAANTCACCTTAAATGCAACACTTGACAGAACAGATGAAATCTAGCAATCAGATGACAGAATCACATGTACAGTATAGAAAATATATATAGGTATTTAAATGATGCTTCTCACACTTCGACATTTAAATAAACATATAAGCTGCTAATATTACAGCATAAAAACATCAAAGGTCCAATCAATTATAACAGTTTATTCTTCAACAAACCTTATTAGATGTGATTTAAAAGGCCAGGATTAATAATTCCAGAAACCAGTTAATTGTAAATAATAGATTTCAGAATTTATTTTGCTTTGTTATATATAAAAAAAATTGGTACCTTCAAGGGCCAATAGTATCTGTTCTGTTATGAAATAAAAAAAAAGTTAAATAAAAATTGGACATAATAAATGAATAATTTAAAATTAGCATCAAAATTCTGACTACATAAAGTAGGTATTTGTGATGATGAAACCAATTTTCACTTGTTAGCTTAGCACAGATATAAGGTTGCTGAGCATGCTGTGTTGTATATGCTCTGTATGCAGCAAATTCTGTGGAAGGGATGAAGTAAATGTCAGAAAAACTACCCAATTCTGCGGTAAGATACAGATATTCTTGCCAAATCTGTCATTGCGTGCTGAAACTTGATTCTATGCAAGCGTAAAAATTCAGTATGTCAGTAACTGTTAGAAAAGTGAAGTTTCCAATTTGGTATCAATCCAACCTTGTAACATTGCTTTATTCTAAAAATCACCAGAGCTTTTCAGGAAAAATTTGCTTTTGTAATGATTGATTCAATATTATATACAAATTGAGTATCTGTAGACATATTATTCCTCCAGAACTCCACTATGTCTCAAACAAGAAAAACATCTTTCTGAGCTGGGAAACGATTTTTCTTCAGAGCTGGAAAAAGATTTTACTGGCACTTTATGGGCTTGGAGCAGACATATTCCAAACTGGAAAAATGCTAGGAAGCCAACTTTGAAAGTGATGCCCATGACATGCCTCTTTCAGCTGTTCTAAAAGCCATGGCCTAATTTTATCTGTAAAGATCTAGGAAAGTGTCATGGTTTAGTTGATAATTTCCCAAAAAACACCTATGAAACCATTGTCTTCCACCAAAATTCTAGGAAAATTCTGCCAGGATTCCAGATCAGGCAATATTCCTGCAATAAAATTATTCAACAATAAAATTCCCCATGTATAATCTATCAGTCATCTATCTAAACTATCATCTAATAGTTAAGAAAATTTATAATTGACTTAACATATCATAGTGATGTCAGCGCTGAAACATAGGCCTGTCACTGATTCTTTTCCTTTTCGTGCCTCATTCACAGAAGATCTAAAATCGTGTCATTTGACCAGATCTTTTCAAGACTGACAATAGTTTAAAATAGCTACTAGACTTCCACTGGGTTAGATATGGTGCTAGGCATTTCAAGTCTGAACATATATTTTTCCATAGCTTAATCTAGTCTGTTCTTGAACGAGTCACTGTGTGTGGCTATATTCGGCACGTGGTGAGGCGTATTCCGTCCGCGCTTCAAATTCTACTGATACCTAATGCCGTCATCCACGTGTTAGAATTCCGTTTGCTGTGTGAGCTGTATTGGAATACAACACGGCTTTGAATTAGAACACTAATGAATATTGAACACTACTTAATTATGCTTTTAATTAACAACTATCAAGCTTTTAACTAAGCAAATTTTAATTTTTGTACACAGCTTAGAATGATCTTGATGTGTCCAATTCAAGTTGTGACAGAATTAGTTTTCATGTGTCTAAATCCATTTCTCAACTTAATCATCTATTAATTTATTTCATAGACAGCAGCAATCATAGACGTATTTAAAAGTCTCAAACCATAATATTCTTCCTATACAAACAAACAGTTATTCACTATTTGGTAGAACAAGGTCAACTGTCAAATTTGACACATTTTTTGATAATCTCACCATAGTGGCAAACCAGAGCTTTTTTAGAATCAGTTCATTTTTAATTTCCTCATTTACTCAAGATTTAAACCTATTCTATAATTTCTTAAGTATGATAAATGATAATGCTGGTATCCAGGATACTTTACTGGTCTACTTATAGGACTGAGAAATGAACTTGAGGGAGAGTCTAAAAAACTCTCTGCTTTGCCACTATGATTATCTCACTAGGTAGCGTGCATTGTCTCTCTTTGGATCTCAATATTTTCCCGCTAGATGGCCAAGACCTAGTGTTTTGGCAGTAGTTTGACGCGCAAATGTATATAGCTACTAGACTTCCACTGGGTTAGATATGGTGCTAGGCATTTCAAGTCTGAACATATATTTTTCCATAGCTTAATCTAGTCTGTTCTTGAACGTGTTCATACTTGGAGCACCAACGATGTCATCGGGGAGGCTGTTCCACATGTTGGTGATTCGAAGCGAGAAGAAATTTTGTCGCGTGGAGAAGTTGCAGCCAGTTTTTTTAGTTTATAGCCATGGCACCTGGTATTGGTTCTTGTATATACCATGAGTATACTTGTATGCAGCAATCATTTGATGACCGTGGTTAATAAATCCCCGAGTTTTACCGTGTTAAGCAAAACCGCGCTAATCAAACTTAAGAATACAGCAATCCCTTGATTAACGCGGTTAATAAATCCCCGAGTTTTACCGTGTTAAGCAAAACCGCGCTAATCAAACTTAAGAATATATGGGAATAATTATAATGAATCCTCAAAAATAGCAAAGTTACATAATTTTTTTCCACTAAAATTCATCATATTTTTTTTCTAAATGATAGGGGAAATAAATAAAAGAAATGCGAATGAATTAACATTAATTTTTTACTGAAAAACGAATCCAATTTCAATTGCACAGTAGTATTAGATTTCTTTCTCTCCTGCATAATTGTGCGATAGCAATTCACTTGCCTATCCAGGCCATGGCAAACATTCATGCTTTTTTCTTCATTTGGGTCTACTTCTCTTATGATTTCTTTAGTTTTTTTCAATTGCAGTGAGTAATTGAGTTGAAGGCTAACGAGTAACTAGAGCACCGGCATGGCGCACTTACCGGCGAACGTTGCCAAACTCGACCATTCAAGTTATGAACGAGACAAGGCGCGGTTAAACCGACTCTGTAGTCAGCATGGTGCCTACGGAGCGGGACCTTATTTAAAGAATTATAGGCTGAAATTCATATAGTAACAACATTTGGCAAATTTTTCCAAAAGTCGTAACAAAAGTAACAACATAAGATCTAATACAGCAAAAAGTAACACTTTAGTTACGAACATAACACCTCTGGCTAGAGGCGGGAAAATGATGTGCTTTGAAAAAAAATCGCGCTAATCAAAACTGGCACCGCGTAGATTAAGGGTAGGTCGCAATTTTTTTTCCGCGTTAATCAAAACCGTGCTAATCAAGGGATTGCTGTACTTCAATGAGGTCCTCACGCAGACATCGATATCTGAGGCTTGGAAGCTTCATAATCTTTAATATTTCTCCATAGGACTTGCCCTTCAAGCATGGAATTATCCTAGTTGCATGTCTTTGAACATTTTCTTATAAATTTTTGTCCTTTTCAAATCTAGGTGACCACACGTTTCCAAACTCTAGATTTGGGTGAACGACAGCAACAAACGACTGCTTCATTGCTTCTGCATCTAGGAACTCTTATGAGCGTCTGATTAGTCCAAGAAGTTTGTTGGATATGTTAGCTTGCGTTTCAACATGCTTATAAAATTTCAGCTCCTTGTTGACATGAACTCCAAGATCTTTTTCCACACTAGACTTTTCAATCATTACTCTCTCGTTGCAACCATGTCTTCTCATACTGTAATCTTGATGTTCATTGTTCTTCCTGAGGTGAAGTACTTTACACTTGTCAGAATTAAACCGCAGCTGCCATGTATCAGCCTGGCAGTTAACTAAACTGTCAAGACCATCTTGCAATTGCGCTTTATTTGGCGCATCCTTAACTGTATTAAAAACTTTTGTGTCGTCGGCATACATGGAGCACACACTGGACACTGCTTCTGGCAGATCGTTTATAAAAGCAACGAACAAAATAAGCCCAAGAATGCTTCCTTGTGGCACACCACTGCGCACTGATGCCCACTCTGACACGGTTCTATTAATACTGGCACGTTGTCATCTACCTACTAGAAAATCTTGTATCCATTAGAGTACATCTCCCTTAATTCCCAAAGACTTCACTCTACGCAACAGCCACTCATGTGGAACACGGTCAAATGCTTAGGCAAAATCAAGGTACAATGCAACCACTGGCTCCCTTTTGTCCAGCAGGCGAGTCCAATCGCTCAACGTAGATAATAAGTTAGTGGTGCAGGATCTAACGGCAATAAAACCATGTTGACAATCTGATAGGAGATGGTGAGCAGTCAAGTGATCGATAATCCTATCCCACACAACAGATTCCATTAGCTTACAAACAACACTTGTCAGACTGACAGGGGATAGTTGGCGGGGCTGCTTTTGTCACTTTTTTTTGAACAACGGTGTTACTTGAGCTTCTTTCCAGTTGGTTGGCAAAGTTCCTTTGTTCAAGGTTTTTTGAAAGAAAACTGTCAATGGGCTGGCCAGAACGGTTGCTAATTCTTTGAGCAATCTGGGATGGAAACCGGCTGGTCCACATGACTTGTTGGGATTTAGAGCTACCAGGTGCTTGAGAACCTCTTCTTTGGGTATTTCAAAACATGTTAACTTCGAGCCAACTGGGCGCTCCTCAATATCTGGAATACGGTACTGTTCAAGCCCTCATATGTGAACACACTGCTGAAGAACTGATTAAGAATGTTAGCCATGCCTTCATCAGAGGAAATCTTTTGTTGGTCTATTTTCAAATCAGATATACCATCCTTTGACTTACACTTCAAACTAGCATACAAAAAGTAGACTTTCAGATTATTTTTTGCATTTTTGGCAATATTTTTTTCAAAGTTTTTCACTGCAGTGCGACAAACATTTTTAGCTTGATTTCGAGCTCTTGCATTCAGGTTACAATCAGAATCACTGCAAGTTCATAAATAGGTAAAGGTAATGTTTGTAGGCTTCTTTCTTGGTCTTTCGCTGAGCCTTAACTGCACTGTTCATCCACAGGCACCTTTTTGACTCCTGCAAGCATAATCTTAGGTACACATGCATCAACTGCAGACATAACCGTGTCTTTGAGAAATGACCAATTTATTTATTGTGTTCATTTTAAGGCTTGATTCATATGAGATATAAGTACCGTAAAATGGGGTAACTTAGACCGGCGGGGTAACTTAGACCACTTTTCGTTTTTTTTACAAAAACCCCCACAACTCAAAAACTATTTGACATAGAAAAATTTTGTCAATGGGCATTAAAGGCCTAATACTGAGGCTACATAACAAAACATAAATAGGCTGTCAAACATAAAATATGTTATATATGGTAATTTTATATTAACTTCCAAGCCAGTCTATGTTACCCCATCAGGGCTGACATTAGGTGGTCTAAGTTACCCCATTTGGGGGCGGCGCCCCCCATTTGCAAACTATGACACTTTCCCAAAATTTGTCATTTGCATATGCAACTAGAAGAGTTGCCTATCCAGGCCATGATGCATCAAACCTGGAGTTATTTAACCAAAAAATAAAAAAATTGGAGGGGGTAATCTGACAGGCTTAAAATAATAGCTTTTTTTGTGTGTCACATTTTTAATTTTTTAACATATTAGATATGCAAACTTTTTAAATCTTTCTATTGTGTTATGTAGCCTCTGTATTAGGCCTTTAATGCCCATTGACAAAATTTTTCTATGTCAAATAGTTTTTGAGTTTTGGGGGTTATTGTTAAAAAAATGAAAAGTGGTCTAAATTACCCTGCCGGTCCAAGTTACCCCATTTTACGGTATCCATGATATTTTAGTGGTCTACTTATAGAACTCAAAATTGAACTTGAGGGAGAGTCTAAAAAACTCTCTGCTTTGCCACCATGCCCGGGAAAGAAGCTAGGTATTTAATTCAGTTGCACGCAGGCCCACGTGATATGTAGTTCTGCATCTGCTTGTCTGAACCCTGAATTGCGTGTTTAGCGTACCTACATGATGGAAAACTCTGCTTTGCAGCATAGTTATAATTACTTAATGATGTTTAGTTCATCCAAGTCAACTTAAAAGACAAATTTTCAACTAATACTTTTTATAAGTCTAATTTTAATTGTTGAGTGAAAGGTGCACTGGTGCAGGCATACAACTTCCAAGTGATTAGGTAGTTTATAAAAACTGAGCAAGTTAGCATACATGTTTTTAGCCTTTAAGAAGTTCATTTTTCGCCTCAAATAACAATGTTAGGTCGAAAAGTGGTCTTGGTGGATCAAAATAATATATGAACGGTATAATGAACCTTCGAAATTAGAATTCCATCCTGCAAGGCTTATGTGACTCTTCAATATTTAGAAGATGATAAGAAGATCTACATTCCTGAAGCTGAAGTGTTTTTGTATATTGAAGCCAGTTAAATGGTCAATATTTAGCTCATTACCTTGCAGCTTGCTCCATACAAACTTTACAAAGCTAATGAATAGACTTGCCAATAATTGTTTACCAAAAAGTCCCAAAGTGGTAGGCCTAAACACCACCTTGGCCATTATTGAAGGCAAATGGCAATAAGAGCCCTTTTTAGCTATCCATATAGTGCATAAACTGCATATAGCCATATAGGCTACTGTACCTAACTGTTATTGTAAATTAGGCTAATTGCAACATAGAAAATAATAGGTATTTAAAAAGACAAAAAAAGATGAAAAAAACAAATAAAAAAAATAATAAAAATTATTGATTTTTTTCTTTTATTTCATTTTTTATAATCAACAAAATCACCAACCCTGGTGAGTGGTGGGCTGGACGGCTGGTCCCTATCAGAAACTTGAATACATTAACATTGTGACTATTTTGTGAGCAAGTAAGGTAAACCGTAAGGTAGCCTTAGTACCTAATACTACCTATCAAGTACAAGCTACATCATTACATGTAGCCGATGTAACAAACTTACCCAATGACGAATCCATCTTATTTAGACTAAATAATTTAGTTACTGAGCATAAAACTGATATCTCAACAAGAGAGCATGATTACAAAATGAACGTACAAAATTGGATGACCTGCATTACCAGTTACAGCTGATGATCATGAAATCTACGTAACGACATATTTAGGGTTAACCTAGTTACCTAGAGATAAGGAACTGACACTCGTAGCATGTTGCAGTTTTCGGAATGACTTCCGTTTTTAGGTCAATTCCAATTTCCACGAAATTTTTCTCACGATTTTTTTAATATCCTTCTTGAATTACATGTCGCTTACTTATTGGAGCTTTTGGAGCCGGACGTATTTATTCGAGTGTCATTGGAAATGCATTATTAACCCTTTACCGCCAAATCGGACCAAATGTACAGATGATCATAGCCACAAATAGCAATGAAACGCAAATCTCGTTAATATTAGGATAACATGGCTTATAGATTTATTTTTATATAATCCTACGATGATTGTTGGAGAGGAATATACATGAGGCTCGGTTACTTCTACTCGTTTGTTCATATATAGGGGTAAATCTACTCGGCTGCATCATACGACCAGGGATACGGCGATGAATTTTTTAATTGTAAAAACGCATTATCATGATGTAAAGATATCAAGAAATGTATAGTCACGCAAAATTTTCCGCTCCAAACTGCCTAGACATAGTTGGCGGGATTTCAAGTACTAGCTTTATCGTCAGTCGTCTGGTTGCGTCTGTCAGGGTCAGTTGGGGAGCGGGCTGGGCGTACGCGAGTGCCTGTGAGAGATTTTGTGACCTGTGCGTGAACCTAACTCACAGTTTCAGCTGTGTAGGTTACATAGGAAAGATGTCTCAACTAATTACGATCAATCTTTCAAAACAACCTGGAGCATCATGGGGCTTCCGTCTGCAGGGCGGAAAGGATTTTGCACAGCCTCTCGGGATTCAAAAGGTGAGGTGGTAAAATTGAGGGTGGTTTTTCAATTTAGGTTCTAGGAGCAATTTTGCTACCAACTGACCGGGAATAATATTTATGAAGCGATATATTCAAACTATGTTTTATCAAAATTATTTAGTTTCTTAATACACTCGATTTTGCTCAATAAAAAGTTTAATAGCCTAGCATTACGACACATTTCCGAAGTCCCCGAACTGATGTCAGTGACCAGTGACCAGTCTTATTGCTGCATGCAAGTATATCGTTGCATTAAAAATTTCTTAGCTCATGCGTGGAATGGAATGCAATTATACAGAGGATTTCTCTTAATAGCAAGTGAAAATTAGCAATAATGAACATATTGCCAACGAAGATTTGAGTTTGACTCTAGGTAGGTAGTGAAGGTATAGAATTGTTCAATGCAAGGCAGGCTTCGGT